CATGTAGTAACAAAAATCGCACCCTCCCTGGCGCAACCATTAAGAAATTTAATTTTTTTTTTGCAGAAACCTTCTCGAGACTATTTTGATCAACTCCCCAAAGTTTCATGGCACTTAGATGAACTGTGTCGAACTGCATCCGACTTTTATTTTTTATATATTGTAGATAGAGAAAAATCGCACCTGTATGTGCTTAAGATTTAAGAAATTAAAAAATAATTTTTTGCAGAAACCTCCCCTGAAGTGTTTTAATCAACTTCCCAAAAGATCCATGGCGATGGGAAGAACTGTGTCAAACTGCAATCGACTGTTTTATTTTTTATATACCATATATAGAAAAGAATAAACTCGCCCGGGCGCCACCAATGCAAATTTGAATTTTTTTCTCTCGCAGCCACCTCCACAGGAATATTCTCAACAACTTCCCAAAGTTTCATGGTGATCGGATGAAAGGTGTAGTAATGCATAAAATACTAACAAAAAAGCAGACCGACATACATTGCTTTTTATATGTATAGATTAGAAAAATTGGCTATTGACAACATAAAACATTAGCAAGCTAAATACAAAATATCAGAACAGAACAAGGATCTAATAATAACAGTTAATAACAGCTTCTATACACAGTGACATGCGCTCATAAAAAAACATTAGCAAACACAGACATTAACTTTGACTGACACTTGATAGTGACCTCACCAACTGAATGTTCTAATGTTTCAACCTTCAATACAACTTTTTCTTTATCTGTTGGGTACTGAAAAAAAAAAATGGAGAAAAGAGCTAAACTATATGGAGTAGAAAGTGGCTAAGATAAAGAAATATTTGAGTCAAACACACTCTTGGCTCAAGTCTCACTGTTGTATCTAGTCTAGTGGATCTGTTAAACTTTTCTTCCAACAAAAACCAATCATTCACCTCACGAACCAATATCAACAACACATGAACCAATATCAACCAACACATGAACCAATATCAACCAACTCATGAACCAATATCAACCAACTCATGAACCAATATCAACCAACTCATGAACCAATATCAACCAACTCATGAACCAATATCAACCAACTCATGAACCAATATCAACCAACACATGAACCAATATCAACCAATTCATGAACCAATATCAACCAACACATGAACCAATATCAACCAATTCATGAACCAATATCAACCAACACATGAACCAATATCAACCAACTCATGAACCAATATCAACCAACTCATGAACCAATATCAACCAACACATGAACAAATATCAACAACACATGAACAAATATCAACAACACATGAACAAATAACAACACATGAACCAATATCAACCAACTCATGAACCAATATCAACCAACTCATGAACCAATATCAACCAACACATGAACCAATATCAACAACACATGAACCAATATCAACAAACTCATGAACCAATATCAACCAACACATGAACCAATATCAACAACACATGAACCAATATCAACCAACTCATGAACCAATATCAACAAACTCATGAACCAATATCAACCAACACATGAACCAATATCAACAACACATGAACCAATATCAACCAACTCATGAACCAATAATCAATTATCATCACTGAGCGGCCAGGCTTTTATCTTTTGTCATACCAACCAGCATATAACTGAAGTAAGGCTACACCAAACAAAAATTTATTTTTTAGAAATTTTTTTTTATTTGTGATTTTTAATTATCTGACGGGAAAAAATCTGAGACTATTCACAGCTGCATCCAGTATAAAATAAATAACCCTAACCCTAATTACTGGTAATTAGTAGGCCGATTTCTTGCCATATTAAAATTAAGGCCCTTAAGATTACTATAACTATTGTATATTATTAGAATATGTCATATGATCTATAATAGTAGTACTGGTTAGACTCAATAAAAACATAAAAGTTAAAAGAGTAAGAAGACAAATAAAAAAACTTAACCTAAACAAACTAACCTTGGTTAAATGGGTATTGGCCACTTGTTGAACGGGATATTTAAATATGTGTTCAATATTAAAAGAAACCACCATTATTTATTTCTTTCGTCACCGTGCACCTCAAGGAACTGATTCAATGTTGCTGCTTTCAAAAACAAGCTAGGTTGAACCTAGTAGGTTCAAATCTAGATCTAGTTCTACAGTAGATGCCGATGTCTAGATCTTAAATCTAGCTAGATATAATCTATAGATCTTGTATAAATCTAGATCTAAATTAATAAATTTAATTATATTAATTAGTTTGCTTAATAATTAGGCTACGGCAAGCAAGGTAATCTATCGTTTTAGGTATGTAAAATGGGCAGAAGCTAATAATGTGACAGAATGGTGACTGATTAAATTTTAGTATTTATTATACAATTTACAAGGATTTATGTTTAACAGTTACAAAAATGTATCATATACCTGATTTTAAACAATTCCATTAAAACTTTTCAGAAAGAAATAAAGATGAACGATGTTTTCATCAAATGTAACCAAGATTGTTAACTTAGCAGCCATCTTTTTACAAGCTTTTACTTAGTTCGAAAAGTCCATTTGTGGATTTGTGGCAAATCTTGTTACTCGTTTTTGACCCACTTCAAACTTTCCAGATACCTTCTTCAATGACAATGAAAGAATATCTATTTTTTAATTTAATTAGATGTTTAATTAGTCAATAAAAATTGATTTTAAGATTACTATATTTGATGACAAAAGGGAAGATAACTAGCTAGACACGACCACCCGATCAGTCTGCTGAGCTGTTTACAGTTTACACCAAATGTTTACAATTGTAGAGACAAGTCTGTGAAGGCTATTATAGGGGCAGATGACTGACAGATGCTTTTTACACGTTTTTATTTAGTTCACAATGTTCGTTTGTGAGTTTTAATACATTTTAAAAGAAATATTTTTTCATTTTCAGTGCATTTAAAAGCTTGTTGTTTTAAAGTTTTTTTTATATTTGTTTTAAGTTTTTTTTGTATATTATAGTCAGAATTTCAGGGTAAACCACTCTAACAGATGGCCACAGTTTATTTATTTTTAATTTCATTAAAATTTCTGGCCAATTTTGATATATTTAGATATTGTGTTTATCTAATAACTTCTATATTCAATCCATATGGATCTATATCAAAATGTATTTGTATTAAAGCCACCCTTCTTTCACATTCCTAGAATCTAGCTCTTTGATTGATTTTACATTCCTAAATGAAAATGATAGATACCGGTAAGGGCGAATGTTGGTTAATTGCGAGACACGAAATAGCGAGGCAGTAAATTGCGAGAAGAAAATGCAAGACATTCCAACGGAGTAGAGAGACACATTTTGACAAGTAAATAGCAAGACAAAATTTGCAACTAAACACGTAGATATATCACAAGTGTTGTATGTTGTTCTTTTTTTTTTTAATTTAAAAAATATTTTATTTCAATATTAAAAAATCTTAACATTGTTGCTTCTATGCCCACTGAAGTTATATTTTATTTCAATATTAAAAAATCTTAACATTGTTGCTTCTATGCCCACTGAAGTTATATTTTATTTAAATATTAAAAAATCTTAACATTGTTGCTCCTATGCCCACTGAAGTTATATTTTATTTCAATATTAAAAAATCTTAACATTGTTGCTCCTATGTTCTTCACTGAAGTTATATTTTATTTAAATATAAAAAAATATTAACATTGTTGCTTCTATGCCCACTGAAGTTATATTTTATTTAAATATAAAAAAATCTTAACATTGTTGCTTCTATGCCCACTGAAGTTATCTTGACACCTTGTCAGCACAAGAAACATACAGCCGTTCAGTGGCGTAGACAGGGGGGCTTACAACCCCCTCATGGACCCCTCTGTAAAAAAATTTTTTACTGTCATTATACCACTGTTACTTATTTAAATCTATTTCTGAAAAAGTATATATGTATAATTATAAATGCATGTTTAGAACAGTCATCTAAAAACTGACGCTATTTTCACTCTGAAGTGCTATCCCCCCCACACCCACCACCTAAAACAGGACAGGCTGTAATTGTGTAGAGCCACATTAATGTCACACCTAGGTATACGCTGGGTAGGATAATTGACCTAAAGTGACCGGACAGTGGTGAATTAAGATAAAACAAGTAAAATCTTGTAAATAAAGTTTGTGCAATTACCAGTAAAGCGGTGTGTGATCAATACAGTGATCAAACCCAAACCTTATCATTATGTTAAAGAATGATCTTTAAAGAACACAAAAAACAGTAGCTAATTAAATAAACCGGGAGTGATCTCCCCTAAACTTTCTTGAATATTCTTATATGTCACTACGGGGGATGGCAACTTGGGATATAGACACTATTGTTAATCCATTTTTAATTTCTTAAACTTTTTAAAATAGAATCTCTTAGAAAAAATAATTATGCATCAAGTCAATGCCAAACAAAATGTGTATAATACATATATATATATACGCAGATATACACACATATATAAACATACACATATACACACACATATATACACATACACATATATACACACATATATACACACATATATACACACATACATATACATACATATACATACATATACATACATATATATACATATATATATACATATATATATACATATATATATACATATACATACACATACATACACATACATACACATACACACACATACACATACATATATATACATACATACATATACATACATATACATACATACATACATACATACATACATACATACATACATACATACATACATACATACATACATACATACATACATACATACATACATACATACATATATATACATACATATATATACATACATATATATACATACATATATATACATACATATATATACATACATATATATACATACATATATATACATACATATATACATACATATATACATACATATATACATACATATATACATACATATATACATACATATATACATACATATATACATACATATATACATACATATATACATACATATATACATACATATATACATACATATATATATACATATATATATACATATATATATATACATATATATATATATACATATATATATACATATATATATACATATATATATATATATATATATACATATATATACATATATATACATATACATACACATATACATACACATATACATACATATATATATATATATATATATATATATATATATATATATATATATATATATATATATATATATATTCTAGCTGTATGCCATTGCTTCGCTATGATGTAAAATAAATTGAAAGTAGGAAAGTAGTACTCTGAAGAAATAAGAAAAATGTAGGCTGACAAAACAAAACAATTTATCACTTGAAACAAAATATACAAACAATACAACAAAAACAACGAATGCAACACAATCTGTTAACAAAATATACAAACAATACAACAAAAACAACGAATGCAACACAATCTGTTTTGTAATCCTTGTAAAAAAAACATTTGACATAATGATTCCATAGAACAATAATTAAGACAAGCAAACTAGGGGAAATAATCGATCTCTTAATATAAATATGTATATTTCATCAAATTTATTGTAAATGTCAAAACAGAACAATAACTACTTTTGTATGTAATATAATGCTTAACACTATTCGATTTGACAAAAATATGTTTTCGACAATCAGAATTAAATATATTGTCATCATAACTACTAAAATATTACAGCATAATGAAAGATTTTGAAATCAAAGTTGGTTAAAAAAATTAGGCTTTTAAAATTAAATCTAATTAGAAAATCTAAATCTAATAGGTGGAATATTCTGAATAACAGCCTACATATAACTAAAATAATGTTCTAGCACTTTATTTTTTAAAATGAGCAACTGTTTTTTGTGTTCTTTAAAGATCATTTTTTAACATATTGATAGGGCATGGGTTACTGATGATAATTGCAAAAACAATATTTATAGAGCTTTACCTGTTTCAAAAACTATCATTCATCATTCTGACAGCGTGGTACTTTGGTACCTCATTACGCGTTTTCCCAAATGTACTTCACATCCTGTCACTTTAGGTCAATTATTCTACCCAGCGTAAACCTAGGTGTGACATTAATGTCGCTCTACACAATTACAGCCTGTCCTGTTTTAGGTTTTTTTCAGAAATAGATTTAAATAAGTAATAGTGGTATTATGACAGTAAAAATTTTTTTTACAGAGTCCATGGGGTGGGGGGGGGGGGGGGTGTTTTGTTGGTGTAAACCCCCCTGCTACGCCACTGATACTTCGTGAAATAATTATTAAATTTTAAGGAGTCACATTACTAGTCGCTGGCGATTTTATGTACCTAAAGCAGGGGTCTCCAAACTACGGTTCGCGGGCCAGATGCGGCCCGCGAACTCCTCTCATCCGGCCCGCGGAGATCTTTTTGTCCAAGGAAAAATCGTTCATTGGTGATGATGAGGAACTTTGCGCAGAAAAATCAAAGACATGCCTGGAAGAAACTGGCCCCCGAACTGAAATTTGAAAGTTAATGCGGCCCTCCGACTGAAAAGTTTGGAGACCCCTGACCTAAAGCGATAGTTTACCCATAAGACACCATATAAGTCATAAACACCTTTAAAAATCAACAAACTTGATATTTTGATCTAGATGGGGGGGGGGGGGTAGGGTTGTCAGGTGTCCAGTTTTGAACTGGACAGTCCAGTATTTGAGCAGACTGTCCAGGATAAAATAAATATAAATACTGGACAAGTATATGAATAATACTCTGTTACCCCCCTTCTTCTGCTTTGCGGCATACCTGAGAAGGGAAGGATGGGAAGGTGTCCAGTATTTTCGGAAAAGGTATCTGGCAACCTTAGGGGGGGGGGGGGACTTTTTTAGTGTTCGACACAAAAGAAAGCTGAAAGAAGTTGATAAATCATCAGCAGGTCCAACGGCAGAAAAATGGGAAATTTAAATTATTTAGGCTATTTAAATTATAATTTAGATCCAGATCTATACTGAGACTACTATCTAAGTAATAAGTATCTATCTATCTATAGCCATCTATACTAATCTATAATAATAATTTACATTATCTTATAGTATATAGTATAATAGATGATACTAGATCTAGATCTATATTCTTAAAATATTCTATACTATAGTATTTATACAATTTACAATACTAATAATTATAATACTAGATCTACCACCAAACAAAACGCCTTTGAAGTCTCAGTCAGAGTTCATTATAAATTTGGTGCATTTATAATTTTCGCAGATAGCTTTGCATTTTACCGCCACCCAGCGTGAGTATCGGGTGGAAAATGCGAGACAAAAATGTCAAGTGAGCGGCTGTTTTCGCACCCTTCTCGCAATTTACCGCCTCGCCAATAGAACTGACGTCACGACTCACCAACACCCGGCTAAGGTTAAATTTTAGACTAGACTCTAGATCTACTCTAGACTAATGTCGACATGACACACTCACTCCCACAGAATGGTAGATCTAGATCTAGATCTAATTAACAAGAGTAACTGACTCTAGACTACAACATATTTTTTATTTTATAGTAATAATAATAGAACTACTTTCGTTTTCAACATTGTGTTTAAAATACAAAAAATAGGCTGAAGACTAGATTCTAGACGTTTGTATTTCCGAAACAATGCATTTAAGTAGTAAACTAGATATAATATATAACTATAGTGACAGTGTATACACTCAACACTGTATGTATAGCCTATAGAAAATATAAGTAGTTTTATTTTAATGAAAAGTGTTTTGATAACAAGCTTTCATATTCATATAAATCTAGTATATTAACATAGTCTAATCTAATTAATTATAGGATAAGAAGTAGAAAACAGTGTTTCTTTCAGGGATCTCTTAGAGCGTCTACCTCCCCCCCCCCCCAAACAAAATGGAATTTATATAGAAGAAACACTGGTTGAAAATAAATGATTTTCTTTTAATAGGATACATTTCTATATGTATATATTTTATAATATAAACTCTATAGTTAATATTGCTTACTTAATAATATAGTCTAGTAATTTAGTAAATAATCTAGATATATATAATATATAGGCCTAGACAAAGTTATATATATATATATATATATATTAATAATATGGTCACTATTTAAATAACTTAAAAACAGTTGTTTTTTTTTAAATCTTTCATTGTTTTAATTTAATTGATATTCCATGTGCTCGCTGATAGAAATAATTAGCTTTTTTTTTATTTTTTACATTTTTTACAAGCTTTTATTTAACTTGCTTCTTCCTCTGCGTCGACATAGATCACAACGCTCGAGCGGAATTTCGGTCACTTCTAACAGACAGATTCTTTTCAAAGTTGGCAAGTGGGTCAAGTCTTGAAGACAATACAATATGACTTTAAATTTGACTTAATTGGATGCTTAATTAATTTTTAGTAATTAATTAACAATTTCTGAAATTAGTAGGCAGTCTTTTACTACTCTTTCCGCAATATTATACGCATATTTTCATGTTCAATTGTTGTGCAATAGTTTTTAGGCATGCAACTACTATCTATCTCTCACTCTCCCTTCCTCTCTCTCTAATAATAATAATAATACACCATTATTTAAATTACTATAAAGAAAAGCATGGTCTGTCATTATAGTTTATAGTATCTAAATTGGATACCTTTATGAATATTTAGGAAGAGACACTCGCTTTTCTTTATAGTAATTTAAATAGTAGTGCATTATTATAATATATTCATTCTTCATACAGTATATTAATAAACCGGGGGTGATCTCCCCTAAACTTTCTCGAATATTCTTATATAACTCGGAATATAGACATGATTTTTAACAACTTAAACTTTTAAAAATAGAATAGAATCTCGTAGAAAAAAGAATTGCGCACCAAGCGAATGCCAAAACAAAATGTGCATAATAGTGCGCAATATTATTAGTACTTTATAAATTTACATGCGTTTCTTGAGAAATCGGAAATAGCGTAAATTAATACTTCCGGAAATTACTCAAAATTTGACAGAAGGTAGAGAATTAGATCTTTTACTTACATGTGAAATTTCATTTATCTATCTGAAATAGTACTCAAGTTATAGGCTTTTGAAAAATTCAAAGCAGAAAAAGTACCACTTCCGGTTATCGGAAATCGCTCAAAAGTTGATACGGATCTACGATTTTGATTAAATACTTATATATATAATTTCATCAACCTAGCTGTAACGGTACTCAAGTTATCGTGTTTACACACAGACAGACAGACAGACACACACAGACAGACATACGGACAAGATTGCAAAATTATGTTTTTCCTTATCAGTGAGGTGTAAAACGTCGAGATTTGTAAAAATCTCGATTTTTTATTTTTGCACGATTACAAGACTTTCTCTATACTTCGTATATCGAGAAAGTAAAAAATGAAAGTCGGAAGCAGTTCGACACCGTTTATCCGAGTGCCATAAAATTTTGGGGAGTTGATGAGAAAACTCTGAAAATTTCGTTCGTCGACACTCGGCAATGTCGGTAGTTACCCATTATCGATAATGGCCGATTCAGCTAGGAATAAAAGATGCTTATTATGTATCTGTTGAAATCTTAACCACTTTTTACCAATTAATAGCATCTGCATCTTATAATTAACTTTAAGATTATTTAATCATTATATTTTTATTAAAAAGACATTATTTTATTTCTTACTGTGTCATTTTAGAAAATTTAGGCCTACTAGCACTGAAATAGAATATCGTTTTCTTAAAACAATAGAGCCATAGAAAATAATCTTGTTTGTAGATCTAGAAGTTGAAAATATTATATGAATTAAAGCTTTTTATTTTCTTTCATCAGTAATGCAAATGGAGAGGCCTTCCAAAACCCTTCATGATTTGGAACTTCTTGTTAATTCACACAAGAACAAGTATACTAACGGTTTTGTATATAGATATCACATTTTTGTGAGTAACAAAAAAAAATGCAAAAAATACAGCAACATATCTTCTGGAATTAGGTGCTCATTCAGATTGTAAAGCTTCATCTTTACAACTTGTATGTAGTTTGAATGCCAGAGTAACTTCACTGAAGACCCATATTACTAGGAACTGGACAAATATTGAATGCTTGTTAAATACTGATTTCCTCTTCCCTGTCTCAGTTGTAAAGCAGCCATTTAGCATTGTACAGCCAAAGATGCCACTCCCATATCACCTCTAAAAACGAGGACAAGTAAGGAATGTTTTTCTTGCGACAAAAAGCAGCAGTGCAACAGAGAATTGTTTAAGGAGAACCTGAAACTTTCCTATAGTGCTGTAAAGAAAGAGAAGTTCCAGTTTAAAAAATCTTAGCAAGTAAATAGGGTTAAGCATCAGCTGGAAAGAAAAGGACTGTGAATCAGCAAATTTCAGTCAAAAGTAAAGACACTGCAGGACAAAATTGCTTCATTGTACAACTCTCTTAAAAGGGCACATCTTAAGTGCAGCATACTTACAAAAGAAAAAGTGCCACAGCCAGCTAAATGCTCTACAGTTGAAAGTAACTGAGCTAGAAAGGAAGTTGATTTCTAAAGATGCTGTCTTGCTAGATGATATACCATATGTTGAAAATGATGCTCAAACTATTGTCAACAAAGTAAATAAAAAGCAGTTCATTTCCTTCTATCAGAATAGTAGTTTACTGCTGCCTAGAACTTAATGTGCCAGTTGAAGCTATATCAGAGTCAAAGGTAATTGCTTTCTGCACTGATTTTGCAGCGTACAAGTTGACCTGCCGTCCGTGTCTACAATTGCACAGATGTGCCGTGAAATGTCAGTTTTGGCTGAGCTTCAAGTTAGGAGGCCATCATTGATTCAGATGTTGTAACCATAGCGTTTGATGATTGCTACAACTGTATCAGGAAAACACATTAATGAAGTTCATTTTGGAACGCCTGAAAATGTTTTCACTGCAAATATTAAGGAACTGGCAGAGCTGAGGACAATGCCAGTCATGTACTCAACAATATACTCTTCATTTTGTAAAGTTGACAAGAAAGAAACAAAAATTCAAAATGTGTAGAAAGGTCTCATCCACATTGACGTATAGATAGAGCCTCAGCTAACCACGCTGCAGTTCTACTGCTGAATTGTCACTTACACCCTCTTGATGGCATAGCCAATGAAGTCAGGAAGACTTTTCAAAAATTTAATTAATTTATTCCCAGTGACACATTTGGTTCAGACTGTCAAGCTGCTAACTTGCCCCCCCCCCCCCCCCCCCGGGAAAACCTGGAAGGTGGTTCTTGCCGATCACTGTTTCTTAAGGGTATTTGTTTTAGTTATACAATCAAGGTAGAAAACAGTTAAATCTGTAACTGCTTGTAGCCGTAAAATTTTTATAACTTTAAAATTTTTAAAATTAAAAACTCCTGCTTAAAATATGCTTTTAAATTTTTTTTACAATCACTTTTTCCTGCTCCCCTAGGATCAGCCCAAAGCTACGCCTCTGGATGAACAACACTCTTTACACACCAAGAACAATGAAATACAAAACTATACACTACCAAGGAATATAAACCACCAACCAGTTTAAATTATTTTGGATGATTTTAATTATCACAGCTTTGCTTCTACAGTTGGGCTACAATACATAAAAGTGAACCACTGGGCCTGATGAGCCTCACAAAACATAGCACTAGAGCAGTGGTTCTTAACCTTTTAAAGGTACCCAACACTACCAGTTTCATGTGCCCATTCACCAAACACTTCTTGATAGCTCTATCATCCGCACTGACAAAATTTGACAGTGAATCATGAGTTGAAAGGGTTTGAACAGCTATCCAAACCCCTAAGACTGACTCACAGAACCCCTGGGGTTCAATCTAACCAAGGTTAAAAACCACTGCACTAGCATGTAACTAGAGTGTTCCAGCCAAGCTCCAGTAACTATTGGTTAGATTCTCTAAGGCCACCTCCTGGTTAGATTCTCACTGACAAGGCCACCTCCTGGTTAGATTCTCAAAGGCCACCTCCTGGTTAGATCCTCAAAGGTCACCTCCTGGTTAGATTCTCAAAGGCCACCTCCTGGTTAGATCTTCAAAGGCCACCTCCTGGTTAGATTCTCAAAGGCCACCTCCTGGTTAGATCTTCAAAGGCCACCTCCTGGTTAGATTCTCAAAGGTCACCTCCTGGTTAGATTCTCAAAGGCCACCTCCTGGTTAGATTCTCAAAGGCCACCTCCTGGTTAGATTCTCACTGACAAGGCCACCTCCTGGTTAGATTCTCAAAGGCCACCTCCTGGTTAGATCCTCAAAGGCCACCTCCTGATTAGATTCTCACTGACAAGGCCACCTCCTGGTTAGATTCTCAAAGGCCACCTCCTGATTAGATTCTCACTGACAAGGCCACCTCCTGGTTAGATTCTCAAAGGCCACCTCCTGGTTAGATTCTTACTGACAAGGCCACCTCCTGGCTACATTTGGAGATATTTTCCACAAATTCAAAACCTTATTCTGCAGATGATAAAATAGAGCTTAATCAAACCTTTTTCTGCAATAATACAATACAGCTTAGAGTAAAAGATTTTTTCTGCAATAATACAAGAAGATTTTGTTTTTCAGAAGTAGGTTCTTTACATATTTAATTATATTACATTTTTATAGAAAAAAACATTTAAAATTTTGAGACAAGCAACATAAAACTACTAACTGCTGAAAGAGCTTCCTGCTCTATAGTTGCCATGGTTACAAGTGGGGCTACTGAAGGTCGGCCATGGGCACATTGAAAAGGGAGTTGACATTTGGCCAAGGTAGCCAACATCAGCTGACAATCTTTTAAATCTAGCCTGTCTCCAAACTTGACTGCACCTGTTGAAAGAAAGACAATATGTAATTAAGGTCCCTGACAACCTACCAACACAGGGAGCAGGACATTAACCCCCAGTCAATTACACCTCACTTCTATATGTATATTAATATGCATACATGGATATATATGGTAATATTTATACATATATATGTATGTTAATATTTAATATAAGTTGTATACATGTTTGGTATATGTGTATTTTTACATATACCAATAGCCCTAACACCATTGTTAGGATTGTTACTAATATTTATAAAGACAGTTACTCAATTTAAACTTTAAATTAATGTTAAATGGCATAAAGACGTAGTTAATATGACTTGCTGTTCTCAACTCCTAGCAACAATAGTTAACCGTCTGTACTACCCATATTTATATATTTATTCATAACAAAGCATAGGATAAAAACAGAAAGCAGTCACTGTACAAAGGCTGGCTTTGACACAAATTGTCAACAACACTCAATATGGACGGACAAGGCTGACTGAAGAAAAGTGACCAAGGAAAGCCCTAAAGCAAAAAACATAACCTAACACAATGATGTGTCCAAATTTATTTTATAATTAATTTTTCTACAGCGTCTTTAAGTTTATTAAATACGAAACAAAAGTTGAGGTTGCTGCGTCAATTATCTTATAGTAGTTTTTAAAAGCTATAATTGTTTTAAACCATAATGCTTTAAAAGTTTATAAATATTATTAATAAATATGCTACAAACAATCACCACCCACATTAATAAATACCCAGAATCTTTCAATTCTCAACAATTAAAACAAAATATTTCTTAGAAGATTTTTGAGACTTTTTTCAGTAACCTTATTTTCTTGACTTTTTTTTTGATAAAATTTTCCTCTTTAACTTTTTTCTGTGACTTTTTATCCCAGCAAAAACTGACTTTTTTTTTCTTCCTGTGACTTTTTACCCACTCACCGTTTAAGTTACCCTTCAAATTATAGTCTGTTTTAGTTATATTGAGATAAAAAGTTTACACATAGTACACACACTCATGCAGCATAGGGAAAATTGGGAGCAAAGTGCCAAATTATGAACTTAGAGGTTAGGTAGGGTATAAAAGGGTGGGGGTTAGCAAAGTTTGGGGTCCATTTTCTCATGGACAACCACAAGTTATTGATGTCTGTTCAACAAGAAATAAAAGAAGATATAAGATAGAGAATCACACACAGACTTGGTGTTGCTTAATTCATCAACAATAGGTCATCTACTGTAGGCAATGTTTCAGATTTTAAAAATTATATTAAACAATTTCTTTGCTGTTAAATTGATTACTGTAACATAATTTTGGGATCAATGTAAGTAAATTGATGACAAATTTGTCGCTACAGTGCTCTATCTGGTAAAATGAGTGCTATACAGAAATAAATAATTTTAAAATAATGCTAACTTGATGCCTTACCATGACAAGCCGTTGAGCACAGAATTTTATGTATGACCAGTGGTAGCCTGCCGCAAGCACCATTTGTACATTTTAAAAGCTACAGAAATATTTTTTTTGAGCAACAAATATTTATATAGTGAATACCATGCTAATTAATTGATTGAGGTTTTTTTAGCTATGTGTTTAATGCTAATTTAAAAAGAAAAAATTAAATAACTAATGATATAGCAAATAACCTGTACAAAGATGAGTAAGATAAAACTATGACTGGAGGGACAGTGAATGATATACAAAACTATGACTGGAGGGACAGTGAATGATATACAAAACTATGACTGGAGGGACAGTGAATGATATACAAAACTATGACTGGAGGGACAGTGAATGATATACAAAACTATGACTGGAGGTACAGTGAATGATATACAAAACTATGACTCGAGGTACAGTGAATGATATACAAAACTATGACTGGAGGGACAGTGAATGATATACAAAACTATGGAGGGACAGTGAATGATATACAAAACTATGACTGGAGGGACAGTGAATGATATACAAAACTATGGAGGGACAGTGAATGATATACAAAACTATGACTGGAGGGACAGTGAATGGTATACAAAACTATGGAGGGACAGTGAATGATATACAAAACTATGACTGGAGGGACATTGAATGAAATACACAACTATGACTGGAGGGACAGTGAATGGTATACAAAACTATGACTGGAGGGACAGTGAATGATATACAAAACTATGACTGGAGGGACAGTGAATGATATACAAAACTATGGAGGGACAGTGAATAATATACAAAACTATGACTGGAGGGACAGTGAATGATATATAAAACTATGACTGGAGGGACAGTGAATGATAAACAAAACTATGACTGGAGGGACAGTGAATAATATACAAAACTATGACTGGAGGGACAGTGAATAATATACAAAACTATGACTGGAGGGACAGTGAATGATATACAAAACTATGGAGGGACAGTGAATGATATACAAAACTATGACTGGAGGGACAGTGAATGATATACAAAACTATGACTGGAGGGACAGTGAATGATATACAAAACTATGGAGGGACAGTGAATGATATACAAAACTAAGACTGGAGGGACAGTGAATGGTATACAAAACTATGGAGGGACAGTGAATGATATACAAAACTATGACTGGAGGGACAGTGAATGATATACAAAACTATGACTGAAGGGACAGTGAATGATAAACAAAACTATGACTTGAAGAACAGTGAATGATATACAAAACTATGACTTGAAGAACAGTGAATGAAATGCTTACATCTATGTGCTCCTTGATAAGATGCTGAAATAAAATGCAATTTTGAAAACTGTAAAAGAACATGATTAAAGAAACTATATCATGAAGGTTGCCCAAACAAGATTTAAAAAAAGCTTTATCACTGTCTCCAACTAATTGCTCAAAAATATCAACACCATTACCCCCATAAAGATAAAAATGACTAATGATTATTGACAATAAATAACTCATTTTTGTTAGCTATATAACATTAAGGTGTAATTGATCAACATAGAGACATTATATCTAGCGAAAATATTTATTTTTTTTATAAAATGGGTCACTGGTCAAGTTCTAAACCTGGAAGACCAGGCTAGCTTTTGTCTGAGTGAAGCTAGTTTTACATTTAACTAAATCCAAACATGAGTAAAGCTAGTTTTACATTTAACTAAATCCAAACATGAGTAAAGCTAGTTTTACATTTAACTAAATCCAAACATGAGTAAAGTTAGTTTTACTTTTAACTAAATCCAAACATGAGTAAAGCTAGTTTTACTTTTAACTAAATCCAAACATGAGTAAAGCTAGTTTTACTTTTAACTAAATCCAAACATGAGTAAAGCTAGTTTTACATTTAACTAAATCCAAACATGAGTAAAGCTAGTTTTACTTTTAACTAAATCCAAACATGAGTAAAGTTAGTTTTACTTTTAACTAAATCCAAACATGAGTAAAGCTAGTTTTACTTTTAACTAAATCCTAACATGAGTAAAGCTAGTTTTACATTTAACTAAATCCAAACATGAGTAAAGTTAGTTTTACTTTTAACTAAATCCAAACATGAGTAAAGCTAGTTTTACTTGTAACTAAATCCAAACATGAGTAAAGCTAGTTTTACTTTTAACTAAATCCTAACATGAGTAAAGCTAGTTTTACTTTTAACTAAATCCTAACATGAGTAAAGTTAGTTTTACTTTTAACTAAATCCAAACATGAGTAAAGCTAGTTTTACTTGTAACTAAATCCAAACATGAGTAAAGCTAGTTTTACTTTTAACTAAATCCAAACATGAGTAAAGCTAGTTTTACTTTTAACTAAATCCAAACATGAGTAAAGCTAGTTTTACATTTAACTAAATCCAAACATGAGTAAAGCTAGTTTTACTTTTAACCTACACATTTGAGCCATCAACTACACATTTGACCTGTCAACTACACATTTGAGCCATCAACTACACATTTGACCTGTCAACTACACATTTGAGCCATCAACTACACATTTGACCTGTCAACTACACATTTGACCTGTCAACTACACATTTGAGCCATCAACTACACATTTGAGCCGTCACCCTCAAGTTGAAGACCCCTTTCAGCAAACAGTCTACACAGAAATGTTTCCAACCTCTAATAACATTGGTACTTGATTTTTCTTGCTGGCTTCAGCTAGACATGCTGGTACTGTGTGGATGTGTACAACATTACGCCTAGCTTCATCTAATGAGAACTTCACTCCTGCACAAACAACAAACTTTTCATCAATATCAAAAGCTAACTGACTCAACAATTCTATCAAATGTTGTCTGACTCAGAAATCCTATCAAATATTGCCTGACTCACCAATTCTATCAAACTCAGTGCTGAATGATTTCATGAGCCTAATGTCATCAGGGTCAAGTGTCACCTCCAACGGGTCTGGTAATTTGGAACGACACAAATTTGTCTTATCTTCTCCAGTCCGCTCTTCATAGCACTCTAGACAAATATTCTAAAAATGTTCAACCAGCAAATATTCTAAAAATGTTCAACCAGCAAATATTTTGAAAATGTTCAACCAGCAAATATTCTGAAAATGTTCAACCAGCAAATATTCTAAAAATGTTCAACCAGCAAATATTCCAAAATGTTCAACCTGCAAATATTCTAAAAATGTTCAACCAGCAAATATTCTGAAAATGTTCAACCAGCAAATATTCTAAAAATGTTCAACCAGCAAATATTCCAAAATGTTCAACCTGCAAATATTCTAAAAATGTTCAACCAGCAAATATTCTAAAAATGTTCAACCAGCAAATATTCTAAAAATGTTTAACCAGCTAATATTCTGAAAATGTTAAACCAGCAAATATTCTAAAATGTTCAACCAGCAAATATTCTAAAAATGTTCAACCAGCAAATATTCTAAAAATGTTCAACCTGCAAATATTCTAAAAATGTTTAACCAGCTAATATTCTAAAGCTTTTGAGACTGTGAGCAAGTTAACTTGTCCAGCAGTTGAAACTCTAACAGGCATTTATAAATCAACCATTTATGAGGTATGCATCTGTTAGATTTTGTCAATACCCGCCACATAATTGTAGAATCTGTTAGATTTTTGTGAATACCTTGTGTCAAGAATTCCAGGCGTATCCTCTCATGGACAGCATGCTGATCAAATAAAACAAGCAGCTGACTTTTACCTGGTTTATTTCAATTAGAAAAAGTCTTAGTTGAAGGGAAACATTAGATTTAGTCTTACTAAAAGGGCAAACATTAGATTAATCTTATTAAAAGGGCAAACATTAGATTAAGTCTTACTTAAAGGGCAAACATTAGATTAAGTCTTACTAAAAGGGCAAACATTAGATTAAGTCTTACTAAAAGGGCAAACATTAGATTAAGTCTTACTAAAAGGGCAAACATTAGATTAAGTCTTACTAAAAGGGCAAACATTAGATTAAGTCCAAGCATTAGAAAGTCTTACTTAAAGAGTGAACATTAGAAAAAGTCTAACTTAAACAACAGATGTAAGAAAATGTCTTACTTGAACAACCCTCTAACATGCAGGCAATAAATTTGTTGTCGACCTGACCAATCACCTGGGAAAAAAAAACAATCCTCAGCACTTTTTAATTTGTTTGTAGTAGGTCTCTCCTAGTTGCCTAACTTTATGCTTTTATTTTGGTGTAGAAGTAACAGTGTTCTGGTAAAGTTTCTAGCAGGGGTCTACCCCCACTACCCTGCCTGGTGGTGTCTGCACCCCCGCCCTGCCGAGTGGTGCCACAGAGTTCAAGTGAGATACCTGTATGTGGTTTAAGTCATCCTTAGTCAATTCCACAGAAGGCAGATCTGGAGCAGCTTTGGCCATTGGGTTGTTGAGCCAACTTTCTTGATCTGACTGTGTGGAAAAATACATCTTTGGACAAGGCTTTTTCTCGTTGGTTTATTCAACATGTATTTTTTTTAAAGATTGGACAGAAGGGTGTTGGGTTGTTTTCTTTTAGGAATAGCTGGGGGTTGGGTTTCTTTAAGAATAGCTGGGGGTTGGGTTTGTGTAAAAATTGGTGTGTTTGGGTGAGTACATAAGACAGCATCAGATAATTCAATTTGTAACAAGTCCAACCTGCTTGAAGTAGGGCAACACTGGATTTGTCCACTTGGACAGCAGCAAAGAAATGTCAGCACCTCTATCTGTGTCTGAACAAAAAGGTAGTTTAACAACCTACAACTTATAATTTATTTATATATATATATATATATATATATATATATATATAAATATATATATATATATGTATATGTGTGTGTATATATATGTGTGTGTGTATATATATACTAGCTGCATACCCATCCACAACACAACCACAAAATTAGAATCACCACCAAACAACACGCTTTCCTAGGAGTCCGCGCCCAAATAGAGCCTTTCCAGCATTAAAAATTGAAGTCACATAAATAGATCCCAGTGGCAGGTGTCACCCGGTGCGGCACTTAATGGTGTCATCCCCCCCCCCCCCCCCCGGGATACACTTTCAATTTGCCCCCCCCCCCCCCCCCCCTCAAACTTTTGATTAGCACTCCCCCGCTCCAAACTTTCTATTTGCACCCCCCACTCCACTATTATCGGGATTTGTCAAATTTGCTCTTAAAAGACTTTTTAACACGGTAAATCTTTTTTAAGTGTACCAACTTGGGAACAGAACAGAACAAAACTCAACACAAACGAACGCAAAAAAAACAAAAAAAAAAACAAACGAAAAAACAAACACAACACTCATAACATAAACACAATTTAAATACAATTATAAAGGCATATTGCTCACAGTCTAGCCCGTAGCGCCAAATCGCGCCCTTTCCGGGCGCCGGCGGATGCACCTGACTCAGTGAAGGACTATAAAAGAGAGGTGTAGCGACCCTTCCCGGCGCCCGGGGACAAACTTTCGATTTGCGCCCCCTCCCCCGCAAATTTTCAATTTCCGTTTCCAACCTATTTTGGCACCCCCTAAGGTCTGCGCCCTGGAACATATGCCCCCCCCCTCGCTACGCCTCTGCTATAAAACCCCTAGCCTTTTATCACTCAATGCTAATTATAATATTCCAACAATAATGTACTCTTACACGTCTGCATAATTTGCATTCACATTTTGCTAATTATATTATTCCGTCTTGGAGATTTTGCATTCACATTTTTTAAATTACCTCCCTTCACAAAATTACTAAACAGTTTAATTAGATTTTTCTACCCTACTGTTTCTTTGTTATTAAAATGTATCCACTTTTTCTGAGAATCTAAATGAAAATGATATTTGACATTGATCCTTTTAATATGTTTTAGCAGTGTGTGTGTATTTAATATTTTCTTGACGTTATGCGAAAAAGTAAAAATAGTGGCAACTATAAAATAACTTTATGTCGTTATATAAACAAACCCTACTCTATCACTTATAATAAGATGCACTGAAAAGCACTGTGTGGTGTGATGCTTACTTTCATGGTTCCAAAATCTATAACTTGGCCGCTTATAGATATGTGTATATATATGTGTAAATATATGTATAAATATATATTATATATATAAGTCATTAATTAATTTATTGATATATTCTATTCATATGTAGATACACCCCTTTCATTATAAAAGTTTAGAACAAAGACCTTATTTTCACAAAAAGTAAAACATTTTCACCGGCTTAATGACTTATATTATAGATATGTGTATATATTTGTAAATATATATATGTACATATATATTATGTATATAAGTCGTTAATTAATTTATTGATATATTCATTTGTAGATACACCCTTTGATTATAAAAGTTTAGAACAAAGACCTTATTTTCACAAAAAGTAAGGCTTAATGACGTCACTTGATTTAGTTACTTATTTTCACAACAAACATCGCAGCTTCCATGGAGGATCATGTTGGAACGCATTATAAAGCTAAATTTTCAGTCGGATAAAGCTTTAACATCTGTTTTCTATTTTTATTAGGTTCCAATACTTTAATCAATTTTCAATAGGATACACTTGGCAGTTCTTCTAATTTGAGTATACAATTAGGCCAAACCAAAATTAGATCTAATTATTTAGAAAAAAAAAAAAATAATAATTTAGTCTCTTTATTAAACTATTTTAGTTTTAGTCCTTACTTGTTTGATATAAATCTTTGCATTTTAGCTTCACAGATAATCTAATTCGAGAGTACAAGGAATTCATCTAGAGCTACGGATAAACTAGACTTGAGCCAGCTGTAGATTGTAGAGTAGCACTCTATCTAGATTCTAAAATCTTGGCCAATAATGTGTTTCTATACTAAATTATTTCAGGCCTTAATTATCTATCTATATATATAAAAAGCAATGTGTGTGTGTGTCTGTCTGTTTGTCTTTTATGCATTTTTATGCATTACTACACCTTTCATCCAATCGCCATGAGCTTGTAGAATGAGTATGGCAGATGTACCAACCATATTGAAGAGTCTTCCCTCCTCTCCATTTGCAAGCTCTCTCTTCAGTGGCCTCTGTCAACAATTGATTGATGCTGTGATGGAAATCAATTTTTTCAGCTTCACCCAGTTGTACAACAGGATTAGATGGCTCTGGTTTTAGCAAGAAACAAAATTTTCATTAAAAAAAAAAAGGCTGTTTGCAGTCAAATACTTGAAGAAACATACAAGGGTGTCTGAAAAGTTTCCCAACTAAATATGAAAATTGTTGCACATGTCAACAAAACTTGTGCATGTGTTTATAATTTCTGATAAAAACATTGGCACTTTTGGATATCCAGTTATTGTTTGCTTATCATTTGAATGAGATGAACCATCTTAGATGTAAATAAATACATGGGTTGGCCGAAAACTACACCCTCTGATAATATCACTCAAGTACAACGCATTGTCCTGGTCAACTATTAAATTAGGGTTAGAGAGAGAGAGCAGATTTAATCAACTTTTTGTTGGATATTAAAACAGCTAGGGTTAAAGAGAGAGAGAGAGAGAGCAGATTTAATCAACTTTTTGTTGGATATTAAAACAGCTAGGGTTAAAGAGAGAGAGAGAGCAGATTTAATCAACTTTTTGTTGGATATTAAAACAGCTAGGGTTAGAGAGAGAGAGAGCAGATTTAATCAACTTTTTGTTGGATATTAAAACAGCTAGGGTTAAAGAGAGAGAGAGAGAGAGAGCAGATTTAATCAACTTTTTGTTGGATATTAAAACAGCTAGGGTTAAAGAGAGAGAGAGAGAGAGAGAGAGAGAGAGAGAGCAGATTTAATCAACTTTTTGTTAGATATTAAAACAGCTAGGGTTAGAGAGAGCAAGATCAGTGGCAAGAGGTGACATGGGCTAGACTAGGAGAGCTGACAGTGGCAAGAAATGACATGGGCTAGACTAGGAGAGCTGACAGTGGCAAGAAATGACATGGGCTAGACTAGGAGAGCTGACAGTGGCAAGAGGTGACATGGGCTAGACTAGGAGAGCTGACAGTGGCAAGAAATGACATGGGCTAGACTAGGAGAGCTGACAGTGGCAAGAAATGACATGGGCTAGACTAGGAGAGCTGACAGTGGCAAGAAATGACATGGGCTAGACTAGGAGAGCTGACAGTGGCAAGAAATGACATGGGCTAGACTAGGAGAGCTGACAGTGGCAAGAAATGACATGGGCTAGACTAGGAGAGCTGACAGTGGCAAGAGGTGACATGGGCTAGACTAGGAGAGCTGACAGTGGCAAGAGGTGACATGGGCTAGACTAGGAGAGCTGACAGTGGCAAGAAATGACATGGGCTAGACTAGGAGAGCTGACAGTGGCAAGAAATGACATGGGCTAGACTAGGAGAGCTGACAGTGGCAAGAAATGACATGGGCTAGACTAGGAGAGCTGACAGTGGCAAGAAATGACATGGGCTAGACTAGGAGAGCTGACAGTGGCAAGAGGTGACATGGGCTAGACTAGGAGAGCTGACAGTGGCAAGAGGTGACATGGGCTAGACTAGGAGAGCTGACAGTGGCAAGAAATGACATGGGCTAGACTAGGAGAGCTGACAGTGGCAAGAAATGACATGGGCTAGACTAGGAGAGCTGACAGTGGCAAGAAATGACATGGGCTAGACTAGGAGAGCTGACAGTGGCAAGAGGTGACATGGGCTAGACTAGGAGAGCTGACAGTGGCAAGTGGGAGAAAACAACTGAATAGAATTGTGTGCAGGCTGACAACAAAACTGGGACTCCACACTACAGATTTTAGCACACGCCTTCTTACTCTCTGGAGGGAGGCCGCTACTCTCTGGAGGGAGGCTGCTACTCTCCACTAAAGTGGGCAAATCTTCTAGAGTGTGTCCAGATTTAGTATTAACAAAAATTCTTTGACCTTAAAAAAAAAAAAAATAAGAACTACAAATACTCTTGTCGGACTGAATTTTTTTTTTTTTACTTAAAGAACAGGAACTTAACCAGTTGAGAAAATACAATCGGCGCTAGTTAAAGAACTTCTCAATACACAATAAAAATGTAAAAACTGAGATCAGAGTAGAAATTAGCACATAAGTAGTGCAATAATTGACACCTTATGGGTCCATAAATGAGACAATGGAATTATACTCACCTTATACAGTCCACTACGTGTGTCCTACTAACTACAGTGTACTGGCAAGTTCTCTACATTTATAAACTGGTCATACAGTCATAGCAAGTTCTCTACATTTATAGACTGGCCATACAGTCATGGCAAGTTCTCTACATTTATAGACTGGTCATACAGTCATGGCAAGTTCTCTACATTTATAAACTAGTCATACAGTCATGGCAAGTTCTCTACATGTATAGACTGGCCATACAGTCATGGCAAGTTCTCTACATTTATAGACTGGCCATACAGTCATGGCAAGTTCTCTACATTTATAGACTGGTCATACAGTCATGGCAAGTTCTCTACATTTATAGACTGGTCATACAGTCATGGCAAGTTCTCTACATTTATAGACTGGTCATACAGTCATGGCAAGTTCTCTACATTTAAAGACTGGTCATACAGTCATGGCAAGTGCTCTACATTTATAGACTGGTCATACAGTCATGGCAAGTTCTCTACATTTATAGACTGGTCATACAGTCATGGTGTACTTGTATTAGATTTAAGAAAAATTTACTAACCAGTTCTGCCATCTAACATATTCCTCCAACAAGTTTCTTTTTCCCCACATTCTTTAGCCACTGGATCTTGGGTTATAGCTGTAGCTTGTTTATCTAATGGATCTTGGTTTATGGCTGTAGCTTGTTTAGCCATTGGATCTTGGGTTATGGCTGTAGCTTGTGTAGCCATTGGATCTTGGGTTATGGCTGTAGCTTGTTTAGCTAGTTGATCTTGGGCTATGGCTGTAGCTTGTTTAGCTTGCCCATTAAGTGACACCCCAGCGATGTTAATCTGACAGCAATGCTTTGTTGCACTAACTGTAGCTGGAGCGCCACCGGCACACCATGCTTCTCTTTGTTCTAACAAAGCTGAATCAGCTTCCATCACAGCTTCCCTTTTTTCTAACAAAGCTGAATCAGCTTCCATCACAGCTTCCCTTTGTTCTAACAAAGCTGAATCAGCTTCCATCACAGCTTCCCTTTGTTCTAACAAAACTGAATCAGCTTCCATCACAGCTTCCCTTTGTTCTAACAAAGCTGAATCAGCTTCCATTTGTTCTAACAAAGCTGAATCAGCTTCCATCACAGCTTCACTTTGTTCTAACAAAGCTAAATCAGCTTCCATCACAGCTTCCCTTTGTTCTAACAAAGCTGAATCAGCTTCCATCACAGCTTCCCTTTGTTCTAACAAAGCTGAATCAGCTTTCATCACAGCTTCACTTTGTTCTAACAAAGCTGAATCAGCTTCCATCACAGCTTCACTTTGTTCTAACAAAGCTGAATCAGCTTCCATCACAGCTTCCCTTTGTTCTAACAAAGCTGAATCAGCTTCTATCACAGCTTCCCTTTGTTCTAACAAAGCTGAATCAGCTTTCATCACAGCTTCACTTTGTTCTAACAAAGCTGAATCAGCTTCCATCACAGCTTCCCTTTGTTCTAACAAAGCTGAATCAGCTTTCATCACAGCTTCCCTTTGTTCTAACAAAGCTGAATCAGCTTTCATCACAGCTTCCCTTTGTTCTAACAAAGCTGAATCAGCTTTCATCACAGCTTCTCTACATTGCCTGGCAGATGTGTGTGTGCATGTTTTAATGTCTTTAGTTGAAATCTCAGGTCTTACTAAGGGCACTGAATAGCTTTCCATGAAATGCCAGTTGGACAGATCACCATTCACCATTGGATGAAGTGAAACAACTGTAACAGGATCAGTGCCAGGTGGCCCAGGTGTCTGGCCAGGCGGCCCAGGGGTCTGGTCAGGTGGCCCAGGGGTCTGGTCAGGTGGCCCAGGGGTCTGGCCAGGAGGCCCAGGGGTCTGGTCAGGTGGCCCAGGGGTCTGATCAGGTGACACACATGTCTGGTCATGTGGCCCAGGGGTCTGGCCAGGTGGCCCAGGGGTCTGGTCAGGTAACCCAGGGGTCTGGTCAGGTGGCCTATGGGTCTGGTCGGGTAGCCTGTGAAATTTGTAATCAACACTTGACTTTTCTTGTGGTGTGCTAAGGACAGGTGAAGTGAGGCATGACTTTACAGTCAGCTTATTGTATGCAAATGTTGACAACATTGGAGAGGACAACATTTGAGAGGACATCAGTTTGACCAGTTTTGTAGCTTGACTCATCTTATGTCTTCTGTCTGCTGGCCCTTGTCTTCCTTTATTGGGCCGTGTGGTGTGGCCATCTGTTGGCCATCTTGAATTTGTAGATGACTTACACCTATGATACAATGTGTCTGAAGTAGAAGAGAGATTCCCCTTTTTCTTATGTTCAGATGACAGTGTATCATTATCCTGGGCTCTGGTATGTTGGTCATTATTTCTAGACAGTTCCCTGCCAGTGAGACATGTCCCATCTATTACACATTGATCCCTGCCAGTGTCATGTTGGCCAAGTATTCTAGAAATTTTGCAGTCATGAATTGGATCTGCTTGTGAAAGTTTTCTCTTGGTGGAAGTCTGTGGAGTTTTATAGAGATCCCCCATGGCCTGTCTAACCAGATGTGTAGAGTCACGTAAACGCTGCAATGTGTTTGAAATTATCTCTGGCACTTTGCCCTTCTCCCGCAGCACCTGCAGAGTGGAACAATAGTTGACAGACTTGCCCAGTGTCACCAGCTTTTTCACAGCTGGTGACTTACAGACTGGGACTGGTGACTCATCCATTGGGGCTGGTGTCTCATCCACTGGGACTGGTGTCTTATTCATTGGGGGTGGTAAATCATCCACTGGGACTGGTGTCTCATCCACTGGGACTGGTGTCTCATCCACTGGGACTAGTGTCTCATCCACTGGGACTGGTGTCTCATCCACTGGGACTGGTGACTCATCCACTGGGACTGGTGTCTCATCCACTGGGACTGGTGTCTCATCCACTGGGACTGGTGTCTCATCCACTTGGACTGGTGTCTCATCCACTTGGACTGGTGTCTCATCCACTGGGACTGGTGTCTCATCCACTGGGACTGGTGACTCATCCACTGGGACTGGTGTCTCATCCACTGGGACTGGTGTCTCATCCACTGGGACTGGTGTCTCATCCACTGGGACTGGTGTCTCATCCACTGGGACTGGCTTTTTGTGGATTGGCAATTCTTTATCAGACAGCAGGCTGCATACATGTGGGGCAGACTGACTAGAGGATAGAACTGGTACAATATCAGTGTGCAGAAGGGTTGTGCCAATGCCAGGAGAACAGCTAGTATCAGCTGAGTTTATCAGTGGAACAGAAGGAATATCTGGGTTACTTCTGCAAACAGATTTAGAAAACAAGCCAAAGTCTGACACAGTGTTGGCAATTTTCTCTGACCTGCTACAGGAAGCTACCTGGTCATTGTCCCTGACAAACTTCTCCAGGCAGGAAGATGACTTGCTTCCCTCGTCACTGCCCTCTCCATCGCTCACACCTCTACCATTTGGCCCTTCAGCACATGGTTCAGAGAGGGAGAAGAGGTTTTCCCTCCTAAGGAAAGCATAGAGCAGCTCCTCAAGTGCAGCAAGCACCTGCCCCCAGTTTTCAAACTCCACCAAAGTTTTTGAGGGTTCAAAGGTCACATCATAGATGCCATGTGGACATGTGACATTGATGACATACATGGCACACCTCTCTGATGTCTTGGCTGGGCTGGTCGCTCCCTCACCTGCTGCTCTACCCTTGCTTCTGACAATCAGAGAAGAACTAAGAATTTTGTTCACTTGCTGATGCAGGCAGGACTTGAGAATCAGACGTTTGTTAATAAAAATAAACTGTAAATCTTTGCGGCTATAGCTGTCTTTACTGATGCTAGCAGAGATGCTGAGGTCCCCCTTCTCCATGGCAACATCCACCAAGTTCCTGGCAGCAGAGAACAGATGGGAGAAGCAGACGGAGGGGCTGCTACACTTGTGTGTCTGCAAGATGACATGACCCACACTATCATCACGAACACTGAAACTGACATGAGGCCACATGAGTGAAACTCCTGCAACACGGTGACGGATTTGTTCAAGCTCAAGTCCTTCCTTCAGCCTGTTCCTCCTCACTGGCAGCTTGTAAAAGAGATTGTGTGCAGTGACGGTGGTGCCTGCTGCAGGCCTGCTGATGGCAGACTCCTGGACCCCTAGTGAGATTCCCTCTTGGAAACACTTGCAGTAGGTGACATTACGGAGTCCAGCTTTAGACACAATCTCAAGGAAGGTGGAGGCATGCCTCAGACTTGCAAGAGCTTCTCCTCTATAGCCAAAATATTTCAATTTTTTCAAATCTTCTAACTTTGCACATTTACTAGTGGCATACCTAATGGGAAAAAAATCATGCTAGGGATATTTGGATAAGTGAAGTTGAGTGCACTATACACTGTTGTAATAAGAAGAAAAAATTTGACATTTGAACATCACAAAGTATAACAAAGATGTCCACTTTTTCTAACCCCTGGGGTGAATGGGATATGAGCTATGGGACTAGCCAGAAATTACCTGGTCAGCCAAGCATCTCCACTGTAATAACTAAAACTTAGATTGCAGATCACAATCACACACAATTCCCAAAGATTGTACATCACCATCACACACAACACTCACTTTAGTTCAAAGATTTTACATCACCATCACACACAACACTCACTTTAGTCCAAAGATTGTACATCACCATCACACACAACACTCACTTTAGTCCAAAGATTGTACATCACCATCACACAACACCCAAGAATTGTACACCACAATGTGACATGACACCAACCTTTCTCCAACCAGAGGAAACTGGTCCAGGGTGATCCCACAACCATTATCAATGACCTGAATCTTGTAGAGCTGCAGGTCAACACGCACAGCCACACTGCTGGCACCAGCATCAATCGAGTTCAGGACCAGCTCCTCTACCGCCTGGGAGAAGCTGCTCAATGCCACGCCAGTTCTTAAGGCAGCTCGAACATCATCAGGCAACTGTCTGATCATTGTTCTCACCTTGAAGTGGATTTTGTGTTACTTAAAGCCATGTGTGTATTTTAGTTATCTACCAGTAACCTAACATCCCCTTTTTAAGACACTGGTATAAAAATTCCCCAACAAAACTAAATGGACCCCAGCAAGAAAAGTCTCAAAGGTAGTCAATCAAAATTTGTCTTACTAAAGTCAAAATTAGGTTAAAAAACTTTTTTAAAAATATTTAATCCATGTCAACAATAATCATAAATTAATCATGGACAGATCTAGTCTAGATCAAGTCCTAGGCCAAATCATCTAACCTAATGATCAGAAGTGTCTCAACTCAAACACTCAAACACAGTCACAGTGTGGTCCTTTTAAAGTTTAAAGAAAGTAAAGTATAATTTTAAATAAATATTAAATAGGCCTAGGCCTAATAATTAAAGAATAGTAGACCTATAACCCAATATAGTAGTATATAGTTGGCCCTATGGGTAAAACTCCATTATAGCGTATATTATTCCCCACTTCACGTTCACCTCCAGTTGAGCGTATCTTATTATAAACACAACAGAAACACAAAAACGTTAGGAAAACACTAAGTCTAATTCTTTGTGAATTTTTGTTACAGTTTTAGATAATTTATTTTTGTTAAAACTTGAGAAAAATCCAACTTTGGAATATTTAATGTGCACTATTTAAATCTAGATTCAGCTTTTTTTTTATTCTTGAAAATAATTATGTTCGTTTCAGTTAAGAATTTTCATGGCGATGAGTAAAGTAGAAACTCATAATTGAAGGCAGTTAAGTTTGTATTGTTAAAAGTATCTTGCACGCATGATACCAAAAATAAACATATATGAACTCACAATGAATGACCCCAACACTGAGGCGACCACAGTTTCAAATAGCAATTGCCCAAGCTATGATGTATGCTGATAATTGATAATTATTTATTAAATTCAATGTGAAATCACGATAAACCCTCGACCTGGTAGGGATTTTTCTCCCTCTGATAATCACGCTTTTTAATTTGAACTGTAATGCATGTGAAGCGGCGAATAAAATATGCTAAAATGGAGTCTTACCTGCCCTATTCCCCATAGACAGTGGTAACTCAGATGTATGTATAGGTAGCCTAGCCTAAATATTTTTAATTTTATCAAATCTAGCTAGACTAGATCAGACTCTCTTCTCTAGATCATGGGTTCCCAAACTGTGGGTTGTGACCCCCAGGGTGGTCGCAATGGGCTTTCCCAACTGGTAGACTAAACCCTAGTAATGAAAAAAAAAAAAAAAATAATTGGAAGAAGATCTGAAATTCCACTTAACTAACATCACTGGAAATGGAATAGAGAAGAAATAATGCGAACTGTGCAAAGTTGTTCACTGTCATTAGACTATGAAACCTTCAAAACTAAAACATCATTTAGAGACGAGTCATTCGGAGCACACCAAAAAAGACACTTGATGGATCAGAAAGTTTTAACCAAGTAAACACAGCATTAGTGCAAGCATCATATGTAGTCGTATTAGAAATTGCCAAGCAAAAAAACCTCTTGTAGAATAGCACAAAATCTCATCAAACCCTACATGATGAAGATGGTAAATTTAATTCTTGGGGATTCCAGTGTAGTAAAGATGTAATAAATATCTGTCTAATAATACTATTCAGCGACATATATCAAATATGTCCAGTAGATGTTAAATAACAAATTTTGAATGGAATCAAGTTTTCACCATTATTTGCTTTTCAAGTTTCAAGTTGATGAATCAACAGATGTGAGTTGGTGTTCACAGTTGCTTGTCTTTATAAAATATATTAATTTAGATGATAGCAAAGAAGAGTCACTTTTTATAAAGATATCATGGAGAAGAAATACGATTTTTAAAACTGGATGATTAAAATGGGAAAATGGCTGTGGGGTTTGTACGGATGGTGCGCTATCTATGTTTGGGTCAAAATCGGGTTTTCATCGGCAAAACGAACTAATGTTATCTCTTTTCATGATAATCTCAGGGCATTTTATCAAAGCTATAAAATTGGCGAAGAAAAATAGACCTTGGAAATATTGCCATGTTTGAGAAACTCTGCAGTGGGGTAGATGAATTGAATCTGTGAGATAAATAAAAATTTGAAAGCGGATTCTTCTAGGCATCTTGAGTCTCTTAAATAAAAACGAAGTGCAGCTTTATTTCCCTGAGCTGAATCAAGAAGAAACTGCTCATACAATTTTGGTGTAGACTCTAGTTATTAGTAGTTAACTCTAGTAGCACCATTCATACGAGTTTTAGTTCCCTTTGTTTTTGTGTCTACTTATCTTCGCAAAAATAGATTTTCAACACTTTTTACTATTAGGCCTATTTTTCTGTGTGGGTCACTTATTAATATTATTAAGTAATATTAAAAGGGGATCGCCACTCGAAAAAGTTTGGGAAACACTGCTCTAGATTCTTGAATTCTAGATCTAGATGTAGATCTAGTATTAGTATCTTTTATTTAGAATTTAGATTTTAGATAGGCCTAATTATTAACTAATATGGTAAGCTATCGTTTTAAGTACGTAAAATCGCCCGCGGCTAGTTATTTAGTAATGTCCGAAAAAGTTACCTCATTGTCAAGTCTTTAATAGAAGTATAGAGTATACTCAGTATAGTTAGTATTAGTTAGTATCTAGGCATTTCGACTTCCGCTGTTTCGATTCGGTACGACCACATCCTGACTTTTTCATCGTACTTGTTGAAATTCGCCATTTTTTAACATGTTAATTCTCGCCATCGGAATCGAAGAATAAAATGTATTCGATGTGAATATTTGAGTTGAATTTCATCTTTTATACATACTAATAAATGAATTAGCTCCCGTTTTACATTGTCCGATACCGAAAGCGATCACCGATAATAGCAAATATTTGTCGAAATGCCGACGCTACCGAACTGGCGCATTGACAACTAAATTTCAGATATAAATAATCCTTTAAGTTGCATGAAAATAGGCTTAAATAGCATGCCAACCATTTGGATACATAGAAATGTCGATTTGAAGGGTTTTTAAGCACGGGCCAATGAGGAGTAGCGCGATAAAACTCGTAGGGGTAGGAACGAGAAAGCATGCGTAATTTCATAATGGCGGCCGGGCTACGAGATATTAATAGATATGCGCATACGATGTTTTTTAATAGCTGTTTGTTTTTAAATGGACTGTTACAATAAAATGGGCTTAAAATAAATATACTTTAGATCTAAATTATTAGATTAAAAATGGAAAGAATGTAATTAGGCCTAATTGCTGCCTAAATAAATTATAAAATTTTAAATTAGCCAGATTTTTATTAACCTTCTTAATACCAGGTTAACTAGGTCTAGCAAACTAGCATTAACGAATTGCAGATAAATAGATTATAAAGGCATTTTCAAGTAGAAAAAATCTATATTTATTGTAAACAGTTTAAAAAAAAAAAGAATCTAGATCTAGATCTAAATGGAAATGAAAACACTAAAACAATAATGGGTCTAGAGAAGTGTAATAATATATATATATATATATATATATATATATATATATATATATATATATATATATATATATATATATATATATATATATATATATATATATATATATATATATATATATATATAAACTATTAGGCCTTAATGTAAATACTGACAGGCCTATCTGTAGTATCTAGATCTATAAAGTACTATAGGCCTAAAGGGCCTAAATTAAAAATAATAATGCCCAATTTTATAAACTGCACTGCATTACAGTTTTAGTTATAGGCAACTATAATAGAAAGAAAACATGAACACTTTAATTAATGTCATTTAAGAATTTATCAAAGGATACGTCAACTTCACTAAACATTTTATAAATAAGAATACTGTGAAATGTCAATCTTTGAGTTTTAGCACACCTCAACACTTTTCATCAGAAACATTACAAGAACCAAAATTTTCTAAATTAATAATAACATTTTTACCATGTTATACACAGACACAAATCCAATGTTTATGGCAAATCGTTAAGTATCTTGATCATATTGTGCTGTATTTGACTTGTAAGTTCCAACTCTATACATTACCTGTACAATATGTATACTAGCATTCTTATTACTAACACCAGAATCAATATGTAAAGTTTAATCTTTATTTTTATAGTAGCAACAAAGAAGTGTAACATATTAGCCTGTAGTTAATCATCATAGTCTAATTGCGCTGTACCATATTCAAGTTCACTATTTATAGTTTTCCTCTAGCTATGTTTATTTTACTTGCATGATTGTATTTTGTACATGCTCTAGTCCTAATATATAAAGTTTCATGATGGTATATGGAATAGCAACCTAGCTGTGCAGTCTGGAAATCCTCGTATGGCAGTCACTATAGAACAGTGCCACACCCCTTAATTTAACTTCATTATTTCTAGTTACCTCTTTTCTAATTTTTATTTTATTTGTAGACTTCTATTGCCTATATCATTGAGTACAAATGTGCAAAGTTTTATCATTATATCTTTAATAGCAACATTGGTATGCAAGTTTAAAGCCATTCACACGTCTGGAATGCAGGTTTCAATGAAACATAACATGTTAACATGTTAAACACATAACTTTGAAAATTCATATAAAAAAAACTATTAGGCCTAGAATGATAAATTTGATATTTTTATCAATGGGGTATATTATAGGATTAATCTGGGTCCATTTTATCATTCTATGATAATTAGGAAAAATTTACCAATAGGCCTAGTTAGTATCTCTCCTATAAGAACTACTAGATCTAGATCTTTCTTGATCTATGATCAAGATCTTCTAGATCTAGAAATCTACATCTAGATTTCTAGATCTATATTTACATTATTTATCTAGATTCTAGATCTAGATTAGATCTAGATCTAGATATTTAAAATTTAAACTCACCTGATCGAATGTTCGTTTCTGTAGCAGAAGTACACTTGTTTTTCCTGTTAATCTTTTTAAATTTTAAATGATTGGATTCAGTGAGTAATTTTGGGATCCTAATTTTTTACTTTCTCGTACACAGTTTCATCGAGGCGTCTTTTCGGGGTGGGGAATGCTTCCCCCCCCCCCCCGAAGAAGGTTTACAGCCCCCCCCCCCGAACGAATCTATATAGAGATATATAATTTTAACAGTGTCCGCCCCCCTCCAGGAAATTTTAGTCCGCCCGACCTCCGGAAAATTTTACGCTTATTTGGATTTCACATAAGGGGTCGTCCGTAAATGACGTCACACTCGTAGGGGGGAGGGGGTCCGTAATGTTGTGACGGTGTGTGATGAGGGTGAGGGGGTTCAGATGGTGGGACGTCACACTTTTGCATTATAAAAAAGCAATGTTAGAAAACGAATTTTAGCCGTTATTTCGCGTTTTAGAAATTTTTAAATCTGATTATCGGATTGCTAGGGTTGGCCTATAACGGTGCTTGTCTGAATGCTTGCGAGTGAAAGTTAATAGTGCCGCCCTAATAGCTACGCCTATGTGTGTCGTCCACACGGATCCGAACCTCCGATTCCCCCCCCCCCCCCCCCCCACAATCTACACAAATCGATTTTATTTTAACCCCCCCCCTCCCTTCCGTGTGGACGTTGTAAATTGATGATTACCAATGAAACTTTAAATCGAGGGGTGGGGGGGGGGGGGGTGCGTTCTTATTTCTTTCCCGGGTCGCATTACTTATACGCTCGAAGTTTTTAATAAATATCAACAAATAAAAAGTTAAATACTGCAGGTCTAAAGTAATTTAAAAGTAGGCCTAATAATTGTAATTGTAATGCATTAGGGCTAGGGCCTATCATTAATAATAATTTAATAAGTGCAGGCCAATAGGATGCCTGTGGCTGATAATAAATGAGGAAATAACAATGTAGGCTTTATGTTACTCATTACTAGTACGTAGATTAGTCTATCATTAGGGCATCTATCAATATAGACTCTAAGCGAAATGACATGATCGTAGGCCTATTATTTTATTTTTTTTAAAAAAAGAAGAAAAGAAAGTTTGTTCACTGTTGCTATGCGCTACCGCATAAACAACAATGGCGCCACTATCTGACTGTTTTTCTAATGTGCTAGGCTAGTAAAATACTCAATAAGGACAGTCGATGTAATCTAAATTTATATCAGTCACCAGCTATTGATTTAGACGAATTTGCAGACAAAAACCTTTCTCTCTGGTAAGTATTTAACTACGTTTTTAATTTTATTTAGTCTAGTCAAGTTGAGGTTTTTACTTTTGTTTTTTCTTTACAAAATAAAATATTAGACTAAAACAAGTTAATTAAAAAAGTCTAGTGACATTTGTGCGCAATTTCCTTATGTTATCTAAAAATAGCTCTGACGTATAATGTTGGGGTGCGTTCAAGCTAGAAGAACAATCGGTTTGTAGGTGTTTATGTAATTTTAAAATTTGTGACCGAACGAGAGAATATTTTTGAAAACTTTCTTCGGCAATATTGTTCTAAATTATGACAGGAATCGATTGGTACATGTTTCAAGTCGCTAAGTGGTCTGGTTGCCGAGATATGGGCCAAAAACTGCATTTTTTCGAGGTTTTTTGGCTTTTCCGGGAAATACATGAAAGAAACCCGGAATTTTTATGGCCTATGCTCATTCTCGTAACTTGCTTAACATAATTGCTTTTGGAACTATTCATCGATATTGCTTCGTTGAGGAGGAGATACGACTTAAAGCCCGGACACACATTCATCCATCCATCCATCCATCCATTCCCAGAAATGACGAGTTAATAAACGCAATTCTCCAGAATGGAAATTGCGCTAAAAAACTATGGTCTCATTTAAAGCGCCACCTACATTATCATTGTACCAAAACATTAAAAACTTTTTGTTTAGAGATCTACAATGCTAGGTCTAGAATCGAGTATGATTTATAGTTAACCTAACCGCTAACATAAATCCACTAAATCGTTTTTTAAGATATTGATAAATAGATCTAGCTGTTGCGACCTGTGGTCGTTATAAACAAATAGATTGAATTATTATGAAAAAAATATAACAACAACAGTTTTGTAAATATGACTTAAACATTTCATGTTATATCGGCAGCCGAAATAGCTCAGTTGGGAGAGCGTTAGACTGAAGATCTAAAGGTCCCTGGTTCGATCCCGGGTTTCGGCACCAAATCCGGCGGCTACCTCATTTTTTTTAATTAAAATATTTTGTTGTCAGTTTTTCAAGGCGTTAAATTATTTTAATTAGCATACTTTTACTAGATTTACCTTCTTGCATGATGTATATTATCGGTTCCCACCAACGTCTTTACAGTTCTCGGCAGTGAACTACGCCGAAGATGGTGGAAGTCTAATGGTCGAATTGTAAGGTTACCTATTAGTACTCAAGTATTAGGCTTTTATTTTGCGACAAGGGGACATGGGCCTGGTTTGAGGCTGGTGGTTGAACACTGGCGGATTTTTTCTTGAGGGGGGGGGGGGGGTGAGGGGGGCAGCAGCTAGAGGCCCCCGATTTTCAGGGGACCCAAATTTTATCCCACAAGCCATAGTAAAATTCCCTTTACTCACTAATTGTTTGTTTTTACTAAAAAGTCATTGTTTTATTGCTTAAATCGCATTTTTATTTCATTTTGTTTCTAAATAATAGTACATTTCAAACACAAGAACACCGTCTAAGGTTGAAATCATCGTACATACTTATTAAAATTTTCCTGTGAGATATTTGTCTGAGATATTTTGTCTGAGATCATTTGTCCTTGATATCATTTGTCCTGCTATATTTTGTCCTGGTATCTTTTGTCCTTGAGATCATTTGTCCTTGAGATCATTTGTGATGAGATCATTTGTCCTGAGATCATTTGTCATTTGTACTAAATTTTAATTTAATTATTTAAACCATTTACTAATACAGTAATTTAACCTATTTTATTGCAAAGTATATTTTGCTCTTACTCATTTCGAGCGAGTATAATCGTGTTTTAAAAACGTTTGTAACTCATTTTAACCTTTTGTTAAAAAATATACTTTTATTATCAATATATCATTTATATCCGTTTAAAATTGTGAAAAAAAAACGTAGTCTGGCTAGCCGGTCAAAAGTATTAAAAGACGGAGGATTAATATGTTTTATGGCTTCCCGTGTTTGTTGTATTCTTGTGTTTTTCTGCATTTATATTAATAATTTTGAACACATTTCTTTTTTACAACTGTGTCATTCTTTAGTATACTTTAATTTAATAATAGTAAAGAGTAGAAATTGCTTTTTAGTTTGCTTAGTACAAAACTATTAAAATGAGCTTTTCGTGCACCACTATTAGACTATTTAAATAGGGGCAATAAGTCATTGAAGAGGTTTGAAGGTTTGCCTATCTTAACATTACAGCTCAAGTAGATGTTTTTGTCTATGCAATAGTGTGTGTTAATTACTACTAGACTACCCGTCACCCGTTGGATAACTGTGGGTTTCGGGCAGTGGCGGAACTAGAAAAAATGGGCCACCCCGCAAAAAAATTTTTTGGGCCCCACATATATATATATTATATATATATATATATATATATATATATATATATATATATATATATATATATATATATATATATATATATATATATATATATATATATATATATATAAAACAAGGTTCGCTCTCAATTTAAAAAAAAATTACATCTGGTACACGAATAAATCAGAGGTTTTCCAACACACGAGCTGGCCCCTTTCTAAATCTAGTCCAACACACCAAACTGAGGCTTTCATCAAAACGTTACTAACCGTGTGCCCTGTTTTCCAGAAGTTGAATTAAATGTTAACAATGTCGGCAGTTCATTTCTTGGATCTTAGGGCGCGGGTTTGTCCACACTACCAACTAGACACGCCAAGGCATGCTGTAAATCCCTCTGCGACGGCCCAGGTGTCAGGGGAGTCACGGGGCTCTTGGAGCTACCGGTTACATTACTGCACGGGTGATGGGTGTGACACATTGTTTCTTCCGGCAGAGCTCCCCCCCTCCCCTCCCCCGAAAACAGTCTACCCTGGAAGAAACATTGGTGCGACACCTAATTAGATTTAGTCATCGAGTGTTGTAGCGAGACTTATTCCTAGTGTTATGGGAACTTTTAAATGACTGTCTGTGGGGGCCAACTTGCTCATATGTGATGCGCTCAGGATGACACTGACGCCGGTTGTATTCAAGTAGTAACCTCATCCGCTCATGCAGTATCACGGGGCGCTAAATCACATATTTCCGTTAGGAGTCCCCACTCAAATATGTACAAATGTTAGGCCTATGACAGAAACCTTTGGGGGGCTGTACTCAACAGCTTCCCAGGTTTTCATGGCGATTGGGTGAATGATGCAGTAATGCATAATAATATTAGAGAGAAAAATGTTTTTCACATGTACAACTGTATGTGGCCAGGTCACGCGTTGGATAACCTTCTGATTTAGGGGAGGGGGGGGATTAACAAAAAGCCAGACCCTCACACACCCCCACCTCAATGACTATTAATAATGTTCAATTAATTCTAAACGTTCTAATTAATTTCTAAATAATTATATAAGAAATAATCTTACCTGCCCTGTTTTGTGAATTAGATTTGCCTAATACTATGAAAGTAAATTAATATGTGTTGACTAGATCTAGTGCTGTCTAGTGTCTGACAAAATGTGCTGAAGTGGTGAATCGTACGGTTAGGAAGTAGTTCATAAACGATACATTTATCTCCTCGATACTTGTGAGGTTGAGAAAGAGGGATGGGATAGGGGTCGGCTCGGGAAAAAAACTTGAAAGGGACAACAAAACGCCTTGATCTATGTACGTCAGCATCGCCCATTGTAAAACTTACTCAGGGGAGATAATTTGAAGTATAGGCCTTAAAAGTTTACTATATTTCTTGTAAAATCAAAAACAAGTAAACGTATATAAAACTGAAGTTTCTAGTATTATATTATTTTTTTTAAATTATTTGTACGATACAAGATAGTACAGGATACAAATTCAACCACTATCACAAACACATATTAACATTGAAAAATGTACAATGGATTTCGGGTCCCCTACCAATGCCGCGAATAAGCACCGCGCATCATGATAGTATTGAAAGCCCACTTCATATGTAGCGGCTTTTCGTGCTATGGACTTTGTTGTTTTTTTTTAAAAGAATTTTGCCGGCGACAGCGTGTGTTTGATTGTAGGGAAATAGAACTCGGCCTTGACGATGGTTAAAAAATACAACTATAAATAACTGTTTTAAATATGTAAAGAATTTGTCGACAATTTTTTAACCCCCTTTTTGGTCCCCATCCCCTGCCCCATCCACCACAGTATACTTTGGAAGATCGGTCAAACAGTTACGTGTCCTCTATTTAGCTATCAAAGGGAGGGGGGGGGGGGGCAACGAGTCAAAGAAGTCATTCAAAATTTGAAGAGTAATGTAATGGATTTTATCTTTTGCGGAAGAGCGTGGTACAGTACAGTAGTTCATAGACGGTTTGTTAATCTACGCATTACATCTTACTGTAAGAGTAAGGGTGTGGTGAGGGGTAGAGGTGAGGGGTAGGGGAGAGGAGAGAGTTGGGAAGGTTCATTGGAAGGGGACAAGAAAGTGTCGATAAACATCTACATCAATAGTGCCGACTTTATCCGGTCGTCTAGAAGACCAGGATAGTCGCCGACTCGCCGGTCGCCGCAACATTTCCCCAGCCCGATTTCAAAGCGTGCCGGCAAAGTCAAATTTCAAATGCTTCGCTGAAGGGAAATAACTTATACTTTTACAAGTTTATTGATACAGTTGTTAAAGTAAAAATGAACGCAATTATAAATGTATGAGATCGAAATAAATAATTATATTTTTTGTAGAATTCAGGCCAGTAGTTTAAACACATAATCATAGATATGTGTTTTAATAATGTAAACAATATAACAATGTTTTTACTTTCTCGTATATACGAAGTGTAGAGAAAGTCTTGTAATCGTGCACAAAAATCACATTAAATTTTACACTGTAGTTTGTGTAATGGATTTTATCTTTTGCGGAAGAGCGTGGTATAGTGACTGTAAAATAAAGATAATCGTACCGCAGCTAGTGTTTTTCTTTTACAAACCAAATATTAAGGCAAAAATTAAATTCAAAATTAAAAAAAAAAAAAATTGGTCAGCCGTGGGCCCCTAAACGGCCTCCCCCCCCCCCCCCCGCGCATTGCGGGGTCTGGCGGGACTGTAGTTCCGCCCCTGTTCATCAGGTAAATGAACAACTACTGACTAGTGTTTTTAACAAAATGTGCAGAAGTGGTCAGTTTACAGTTCATAGACGGTTCGTTAATCTATGCATTACATCTTATTGTAAGAGTAAGGGTGTGGTGAGGGGTAGAAGTGAGGGGTAGGGGGGAGGGGGGGGGAGAGAGTTGGGAAGGGAAGGGGACAAGAAAGCGCCGATAAACATCTACATCAATAGTGCCGACTTTTTCCGATCGTCTAGAAGACCAGGATAGTCGCCTCGCCGCAACATTTCCCCAGCCCGATTCCAAAGCGTACCGGCAGATGCTTCGTCTTTGAAGTTGTCTATATGTCTGGCGGTCTCTCGAGCTATAGTCAGTGCATTTTTCTCAAAGACGTTTGCCGACTATCGTGTTTGTTTGTAACTGTAGAAGAAAGATAACTCGACCTCCACCTAATTTATTTTTTTTTTTTTAATAATTTAGCCAGGATTTTTGGGCCCCCAATTGGTCTGGGCCCCCCCGCATTGCGGGGTCTGGCGGCACTGTAGTTCCGCCCCTGAGTTTCGGGGGTCATCCATAAAAAAAAAACGAAGTGTCTACTCGGAATAAGATTTTTCGGCAAAAGATAGTTCTGCGCATGCGCAGTGACCTATGGCTAGGGTTAGGGCTAGAATGAGTGTTAGGGGTAGGATTAGGGATAGGGTTAAAAAAAAAAATCACGTCTGTCGCTCAGAGGCGTAGCGACCCTTTTCTGCGCCCGGGGACAAACTTTTCGATTTGAACCCCCCCCCGCCCCCCGGCAAGATTTTGATATGCACCCCCGTCAACCTTTCAATTTATTTTTCCAACCCATTTTGGCGCCCCCTAAGGTCGGCGCCCGGGGACATATGTCCCCCCCCCCGCCCCACCCTCCTCGCTACGCTACTGCAGTGTCACTTATCTTCACAAAAAAACAGACCCCACATTCAAACATATGTTTTTTATCTTTTAAAAACACCGAAAACAACGATTTCGGACTATCCCTTCATATACTGACGTCACAGGTGACCTACTCAACTCTACTTCACCTGCCCAGTGTCCCGCCAAGTCTCAGACAACATGTTTTTATCGTTTAAAAAACCGATTCCAGCCGAGCATGTCTCTGACCACACTATCCCTTCATATGCTTTTTTATCTTTTAAAAACACCGAAAACAACGATTTCGGACTATCCCTTCATATACTGACGTCACAGGTGACCTACTCAACTCTACTTCACCTGCCCAGTGTCCCGCCAAGTCTCAGACAACATGTTTTTATCGTTTAAAAAACCGATTCCAGCCGAGCATGTCTCTGACCACACTATCCCTTCATATGCTTAGGACAAACAAACAGGTGAACTCTACTTCACCTGCCCTGTGCCCCGCGAGGTCCTGATAGTCAACCTTATCATTCACATATAGGCCTTAGGAAAAATAATTGAAAACATTGTTGTAAAAAGAAAATATATCATTTTACTATTACTACAGTCATTGTTCTAAACTTTTATATACAATGTTGTTAATTTACCCATGAATATATCAATAAATTAATTAACGGCTTTAAATTAGTTTGTAATTAACAGTGTGTTTAAGAAGGAACAATATTTACCACTCAAAATACCATTTCACAGCTCTACACATAATGAAGATTCTCCCCAATAACAAATCAGAAAAACAAACAAACAAAAAAATGAGTTATCAAACATCACTATTCAGTCAAAGTTAAGCCATTGTTCTAAAACTTTAAAACAAATGTGGTTTATCTACCTATGAATAAATCTATAAATTAATTAACGTCTTTAAATAAATGTGTGATTAACAGTCTGTCTGCAATAAAAAATTGTTCTCTACCTACATACTTTTTTACAGCCCCCCATATAGAGTAGTTTCCTTACAGTACCAAATCAGGCAAACAAATAAATATTCAAACATGTAAACAAAGTTGAGTTTTAGTAGTATATAGATAGAACAATCACTGCTTTAGTAGATCTTTAAAAAAAAACATTAGTCTATCAAGGTGCAAAAAATAAATTAAAAATTGTGTTGTTTTTTTATCGGATTTTCGGCGCCCTATATGAACTACCCCCCACCTCCCACCCAGCACAGGGGGTCGGGCGTCTTGGTAGTTCCGCTCCTGGCTCAAGCAGCCCCTGTGGTTGGACATGAGATCTATGACGTTTGTTGTTGAGGAAAACTGCTTTTGATACAATCACTCCTCGCACTATCTAGCAGCTCGAATGGTCTCTCCCATTAGGTAATCTCTCACACAACTCCCCCATTATTCACAAAAGGACCTGCCGTACACCTCTCTTTGACAGAGCAGCCCCTCCCTGGGCTTATTATGAAGTCGCTTTCAACTTGATTAAAGATAGACGTTCTATTGTTCCTAGTTATGACTGTCGTCCATCTGTCACATTGTATATATGAATGTCTTGTTTGTCATACAACAACACAAGTATTATGTCACTTCTGAGACTATTGTTATGACCCGGTCTTTTTACTTTTTCTATTGTTATGTTATGGCCAGACATGTTCAGACCCGGTCTTTTTACTGTTTCTATTGTTATGTTATGGCCAGACATGTTCAGACCCGGTCTTTTTACTGTTTCTATTGTTATGTTATGGCCAGACATGTTCAGACCCGGTCTTTTTACTGTTTCTATTGTTATGTTATGGCCAGACATGTTCAGACCCGGTCTTTTTACTGTTTCTATTGTTATGTTATGGCCAGACGTGTTCAGACCCGGTCTTTTTACTGTTTCTATTGTTATGTTATGGCCAGACATGTCCAGACCCGGTCTTTTTACTGTTTCTATTGTTATGTTATGGCCAGACGTGTTCAGACTTTGGCCCGGTGATGCTCAGTGGCCAGCAATACTTGATCCGTCCTCACCAAGTCGACCTCGCCACGATCGGCAGACATCAGACAATGCGGGGAGAACATCCGGCCTACGGAGGAGACGCGGCGGACCGGAAGCCGTCTAGACTGGAGCAGATGAGAGCAGACTACCAGAGGAAGTTGCTGAAAGAAAAGGAGGAGAAGATGATACAAGCATACGAGGACAACCAACGGAAAGCGATGGTCAGGATCACCAGAAATGGGAGTGCTGGTAAGGACTGGCTCATGTGGGTTTGTGGCTCATGTGGTGTTATGGCTCATGTGGGTTTGTGGCTCATGTGGGTTTGTGGCTCATGTGGTGTTGTGGCTCATGTGGTGTTGTCGCTCATGTGGTGTTGTGGCTCATGTGGTGTTGTGGCTCATGTGGGTTTGTGGCTCATGTAGGTTTGTGGCTCATGTGGTGTTGTGGCTCATGTGGTGTTGTGGCTCATGTAGGTTTGTGGCTCATGTAGGTTTGTGGCTCATGAGGGTTTGTGGCTCATGCGGTGTTGGGGCTCATGTGGTGTTGGGGCTCATGTGGTGTTGGGGCTCATGCGGTGTTGGGGTTCATGTGGTGTTGGGGCTCATGTGGTGTTGGGGCTCATGCGGTGTTGGGGTTCATGTGGTGTTGGGGCTCATGTGGTGTTGGGGCTCATGTGGTGTTGGGGCTCATGTGGTGTTGGGGCTCATGGCGAATTGCTGTCTGCACCGAGTGACATCATTCGGGGTGACCGGACGAAAATTCGTAAAATTCACAATGAAAGCAATAAGTTTTATCCAGTTAAAATAGCAAAATAATAGAGTGGGAGGGGATGACACAAAACCGTAAATGTAAAGGTATTTGAGGCGGGTGGGATGACATTCTCAATATTTTCATTTACCTTGTAGTGTGTTTTTTAAAATACTTTTTAAAAATTATTTTCTGATGCAATAAACAATCGTCCGATCACAACAAATAGGCTAGAAAACTAGGTCACGCATTTAAAAAATACTCAATCGGTAACAATCAAATGTCATCATAACGAAAGTTAAAGTAAATAAAATACCTTTTCAATCCTAGTGGCCCATGGGGCAGATAAAGTAGAGCTCACCTGTTTCAGTGACCACGGGATATAAAATGATAAAGTAGAGCTCACCTGTTTCAATGACCACGGGATATAAAATGATTGTGTGGTCAGCCGCCCTTACTTTCCCTAATATAGTCAGGTACGTTTCCGAGCTTGAAGGACACAGAGATGTTCTACCGGCACGGTTAGTACACGTATGCTCTACTATTCGACCGTGAGTCCTTTTATTGGTGCATTAATTTTTTTTTTTTAAGATCGCAGCAACGCGCTGCGGGTACGTTAGTTTGAACTCAACTAAATTGTATATTGGTTGCTTCAGGTGCAGGAAGTGACCTGGCGACTCCACACAGCGGCAAATCTGTTCGAGACTTCTTCAACGAACGAAGAAAGCTCGAGTCTAAGGGCGCCCCAGTCCCGCCTATCGACAACCATTATCGCCTAGTCAAGGGCGAAGCCGGCAAAAAACTGAGTGCCGGAAGAGATCGGTCCCAACCGCTCGCTCCACTCCACCGGCTAACTGATGAACAGACTGGCGGTGGGAAGTCGGGAATTCCCCTTCGTAAAGGTCAACACGGACAGGGCGACGAAAACCCTTTCAGCGCCAAACCCCGAATGGTGAAACACGCCCCTCTGCCCCCAACACACCCTCCCCCCACACAGACTGACAACAACAACAACGGGGGTAGGGTGGGCGCACGTCACCACAGCGCCAATAGACCAGCAGAACGCTTGCCATCTGGGGGGGAGCACAAACTCACGGACTTCCAAAAGTGGCAGCTCGAGCAGAACAAGACGAGAGAGAAGCGACTCCAGAAGATGAACAGCAAGAAACACGAGCTGGAGCCTGAGGAGCGCGGGTTCGGATCCCGGCCACCCACTGGCGACACGGAGAGGATCAAAGAGCTGGAGAAACAATTGCTAGACAAGATCGCACGGGAACAGGCAGCCTTGAGGAAACTTCAGATTGAGAGAGAAAGAGAAGAAGAGGTAAATAAAAGATGGACAGAGAAGAGGTAGAGGTAAATAAAAGAGGGACAGAGAAGAGGTAGAGGTAAATAAGAGGGACAGAGAAGAGGTAGAGGTAAAATAAAAGAGGGACAGAGAAGAGGAAGTGTTCCCACTCTGGCCCATGTTCCTTGTTCACTGTGTGTCTAGTGGTTCCCTGTGTTCCATAATCGCACCGTGTCCCATGTTCCTCCCCATTTTCTGTGTATGTGCGATGACATCCTTTTTTATGTTTTACAGGAGCGTAAAGAATTAGAGAGAAGGAAAAAGAGAGAAGAGGCAGAAAGAGCCAGACAGAAGAAACTCGAAGAGGCAGAGAGAGCCAGACAGAAGAAACTCGAAGAGGAGAAGCGTAAAGAGGAGGAGAAAGCACGCAGGCATGAAGAGGCAGCAAGAAAGAAACTAGTACCAGAAACGTATGAGGACAGTCAAGATGAGGAAGAACCGCCCCAAAGGACTCAATTGAAATCTTCAAAATACAGCACCCCGAAACAGCCAACCCCGTCACGGTCAAAGGTCAAGCTGGATGAGCACGAGGAAGAGCACGTGCCGTCATCTGACGCCAACTACTACCTGCAGGCTGCCACGTCGTCAGAGGCCACCGGCTTCGTAGGCAGCTTGGCCAAGTGTGCCGTCTGCGGTCGATCATTTGCACAGGAACGTCTTAGAAAACACCAAGACGCATGCGCAAAGGCAAATAAACCTAGGAAAGAATTTGATTCTTCTAAAAAGAGAGTGGAAGGGACCGAGCTAGCAAAATATGCTGGAAAATCGAGAAAACCCGAGCCACCGGTAGGTTTTCTACACATCTAATTTTTATTATTAGTTCGCAACATCTGTTTGTGGATACGTTTCAAATCTTGTAATTCAATTTTGACCCACTTCTAATACAGCGATTTAGTTCAAATTTTGCTAGATACGCTCCACTTCGATTACAATATAAGTCTATCTATTTTTTAATTAAATTAGATGTTTAATTAGTCATTAAAAATCAATCAAACGGTTTCGAAACTAAGGAAAGTTAACAAAATTAAATCACCCGATAGATTGTTATAACAGAAGGGGAGATAACTACTAGACGCGATCACCCTAACTTTCTGGTGAATTGTGGTTCACGACAATGTTTACAATCGTAGAGCCGATCGATCTTGAGAAGGCTATTAGGGGCAGGTAATGAGGTTTTTAAACGATTATATATATATATATATATATATATATATATATATATATATATATATATATATATATATATATATATATATATATATATATATATATATATATAATTCTCATCTTGGAGACGTTAGAAAACAAGCTGTAAGCGCGCCTTGCAGTCCCCTCTCTTCCTCTCTAGAAAGTCTCGTGAGCTGTGGTTCACGCTAAATGTTTACAATCATAGATCCGGGTTAAGTGACGGCTATTAGGGGCAGATAATGTAGTTTGAAACGATTTTAAACTTAGGGGAGTAGCTAAGAGGAGGCTGCTTTCACGGGGGGTGGGTGGAGGGGTTGGGGGAAAGGAGGGGGGGGGGGGGTTATCGTCCTTAACGACTTACTGATAGTGTTTTAAAGCAAATATTTTCAGTGACAGCAGTGGTACTGTCGAATTCACAAATTATGAATTACTGAAAAGTAGAAAATAAAACAACTAAATAGCGGCGTATGATACCCTGCGGGTCGGCTCGTGTGTATATATATATATATATATATATATATATATATATATATATATATATATATATATATATATATATATATATATATATATACACAATTCTCTTCATGGAGGGACCATGCGGGACACCACCACGTAAGCACGCCGACCCTCCCTCGCTCTCCAGGCATACTCAACAGACCATATCGCTACCACCCCCAACCCCACCAGTCTGGTGAGCTGTTTACAATCATAGAGCCGGGTCGAATTAGTGACGGCTATTAGGGGCTGATAATTTCGTTTTTAAACTATTTGAAACTAGAGAGAGGTAATAACAAGTTCTGCTTGATATTTTCATTGTCTTCTGTAAACTGTTGTCACGGATGACTGCTTTAACCGGGGGGGGGGGGGGGGGAAAGGGAGGATGAGGATAATCGTTGTTTACGAGCTACTGATAGTGTTTTAAAGCAAAATATTTTCATTCACAGCATTGGTAGTGTCGAATTCAAAAATTTTGAATTACTGGAAAATAGAAAATAAAACAACTAAATAGCGGCGTATGCTACGTCGCGAGTCAGCTCGTGGGCATGTAACAAGATTAAAAACAATTCTTTGCTTGATCAGCTTGCTTTTGTCTGTAAACTGTGATCACGGACAGTTACTTTCACGGGGCAGATAATCTTCTTTCGGATGTCGCGAGCTACTGATGGTGTTTTTTAGTCGTGTCGACTCCATAAATCATGAATCACTAAAAATTAGAAAATAAAATAAATATAAAAAAAAAAAACAACTTTTAAATGCACTGCATATAAGAAAATAAAGTATTTTACTTTCTTTTTTCGGTCACTCATGAGATCTTTTACATATTTTAGCGACACGAGCTTTTATTTAAGAAAGAAATCAGTTTTGTTTTCTTACTAGCCGTTCCAGCCAGGCCCTGCACTGGCCTCTGTGAAAAACCTATCTGTAAAGAACCGTGACTCGTGTGTTTTTTTAAACGACATATACCCGGCATACTGTCCGGGTTTAGGAAATATGTTACTTTTCCAATTAAATGTCATATGCAAATATGGGCGCATAACCTTAAACCTAACTTTAACTGTAAACTTAACCCTAACCACAACCAACCACAACAAAAACATAAACGCAAACAAGCGCAAACACGAAAGCAAACAAAACACAAACGTAAAAGTAACGAAAACATAAACATTAACACAAACGCAAACATAAAAGCAAACACAAACGCAAACACACTCGCAAACACAAATGCAAACATACAAAAACGCAAACGCAAAAAAAATGCAAACACAAAAGCAAACGCAAATGCGATAGCAAACACAAACACAAACAAAACACAAATGCTAGCGCAAACACAAGCATCAAAACAAACTTTTTTAAAAAGTGTTATTAATTTTTTTTTAATAAATTTTTTTTTGTAAATCACATGTATTTGGTACAAAGGGACGTAAACAGAAATTGAATTTTCGTAAATGGTATTACATTTATTTTAATTTTGATCTTTTCATGTTATTTCAATCAAAATGATAAGTTGAAAAATAAAAATTTAGTTTAAAAATTATCTTTATTGAATATTTTTAATAATCCATTTCGATTTTATTTTAAAAGTAAACATTAAGAATATTACACTATGGCGATCAAATCAAGTTTTTTTACTATATACATGTCTTCCATTGGTCAGCCAATTACAGAGCCACGGAGTCCATTTCAACTTTATATACTTGATTTTCAGTGAATTTAAAAGCTTGTTGCTATAAAGTTTTTACGTTTGTTTTATTATTTGTTAACCTTAATCCCACACAGCCACCCAGGCTGTTAACAACTGTCAATGGCAGTTGTAATTTTTAACAACTTTCATTAGCAATTGTACCTTGTAAGAACTAGAAAATGTGTAAGGGGTACATTGCTTATATGTAAGAGACGTTAGAGAACTTTCGATAGATGTAGAAGGCCAGACGTCATAAACGATTTCTTTTGTTTCCAGAAGAAAAAGTCCAACTGGAGAGCACACCACGAACAGTTCATCGAATCTCTACGCTATGCAAAGAAAGTAACACAGATTGAAAAAGAAGGAGGTGACTTACGAAGTTTAGCCCCTCCCCCCACAACCGTTGACCCAGATCTGGTCCCGTGTCCCCACTGTGGACGGACGTTCAACGAGACGGCGGCCGAGCGTCACATTCCACGCTGTCAGGCCCTCAAGACTCGACCAGCACCAAGCAACACGCGGAGAAAGTAACTTAGTCCACCACACATTCCACCACACTCCACCACACACTCCATCACACTCCACCACACACTCCACACACACTCCACACACACACACTCCACACACACACACACTCCACCACACACTCCACCACACTCTCCACATACACTCAACACACACTTCAACACACACACTACAACACTTACACTGCAAAAAATGCTGCAACAAACAGTGAAGTAAAAACAGCAAATCACGCCTAAAATCTACCACACAACAGTAAATCGCGCCTAAAATCTACCACACAACAGTAAATCGCGCCTAAAATCTACCACACAACAGCAAATCACGCCTAGAATCTACCACACAACAGCCAACCACACCTAGAATCTACCACTAAAACGTGAGACTGATACAAAACATGGGTAAGGCGAAACAGCTGATTTGAATGAGAAAATCGAATGTTTCTACTCTAGTTACTTTTGTAGTTTTGAAGTGTTTTATACATCTTGAGGCTTACAGTGACAATATCCGGGACGGGGTGACACCAAATGACATCTATATAGTATACTGTCCATGTTGGCGAAGTAGGTGACACCCAGAGTTCCTGCATCGGGTTTACTGGAATCTACTCAAGACTTTCCATTTTTAAAATGATTTGTTACACCACTTTCTATTGGTCACTGAACATGTTTCGTCTCTCGTCACTGGTCAGCTAGAGCCCAATACTCATACAACCGTTCACCTTAGCACTCGCATCTTTCACTCAGCCGTGGTACATGAGTGACTCATCCCTCAAGTCTTTGTCCGTCCCACTGACCCGTCCCACCAAACTGACCCGTCCCACAAACTGACCCGTCCCACAAACTGACCCGTCCCACAAACTGACCCGCCCCACCAAACTGACCCGTCCCACAAACTGACCCGTCCCACAAACTGACCCGTCCCACAAACTGACCCGTCCCACAAACTGACCCGTCCCACAAACTGACCCGCCCCACCAAACTGACCCTTCTCTCCAAACTGATCCGTCCCACAAACTGACCCGCCCCACCAAACTGACCCTTCTCTCCAAACTGACCCGTCCCACAAACTGACCCTTCTCTCCTAACTGACCCGTCCCACCAAACTGACCCCCGTCCCACCAAACCGACCCGGGAGCAGTACCTTGACCCAGCAAACGGGATTAAGATGATCCCCCTGGATTAGCCCTAGTCAAATCTGATTACTCCTCGCGTTTAACAGCTTGGCAATAAAGTTGATTTGAATTTCTAGCTTTCTCTTTCAATTTCTTTGTGACTGCAAGTTGTGTGACTGTGTGTGTGTGTGTGCAGGGGCGTAGCGAGGGGGGGGGGGGTGCGGACCGCACCGGGTGACACCATTTAGGGGGGTGACACCAAGGCAAAAAATAGCAAAATATATAGAGAAAAACTTGGGGGGGGGGTGCAAATCGAAAACTTGGAAGTTTGTCCCCGGGAAGGGTCGCAACGCCTCTGGGGGGGTGACACCATTAAGTGCCGCACCGGGTGACACCCGACCTCGCTACGCCACTGTGTGTGTGTGTGTGTAATCCGTGGGGAAAGAATACAAGTCATGAAAGAAATCCTTCGACAGAGAAATACAGGAGACTGAATTGACAATGGTGGAACTTAAAATTAAATAAACCGGGAGTGATCTCCCCTAAACTTTCTCGAATATTTTTATATAAAATAACAGGGGATGGGAACTCTGGCTATAGACATGATTTTTAATATAACACTACGGGGGATGGCAATTCGGGATATAGACTTCTAGACATGATTTTAAATCCATTTTAATTACTCAAATAGAATATAATCTCGTAAAAAAAGAAATGCACACCAAGTGAACGCTAAATAAAGATGTGCATAATAGTGCGCAATATTATTAATACTTTATAAATTTACATGCGTTTTTTTGAGAAATCGGAAATAGCGTAAATAAGTACTTCCAATCAACGGAAATTACTCAAAATTTGACACAAGGTAGAGAATTAGATCTTTTACATATCAAATTTCATTTATCTATTTGAAATAGTACTCAAGTTATAGGCTTTTGAAAAATTCAAAGTAGAAAAAGTACCACTTCCGGTTATCGGAAATCGCTCAAAAGTTGATACGGATCTACGATTTTGATAAAATACTTATATATGAAATTTCATCAACCTAGCTGTAACGGTACTCAAGTTATCGTGTTTACACACGGACACACACACACACACACACACACACACACACACACACACACAGAGAGAGAAACATACGGACAAGATTGCAAAATTATGTTTTTCCGTATCAGTGAGACAGTGGCGTAGGCAGGGGGGTTAGGGGGGTCATAACCCCCCCCCCCCCATAGACCCCTCGGTATATAGAAAAAGTATGAGGGGGGGTGCAAATCGAAAGTTTGAGGGGGGGGGAGTGCAAATTGAAAGTTTGAAGGGGGGGGGGTGCAAATCGAAAGTTTGTCCCCGGGTAAAAATTGGACCCCCCCCCCTTGAGACGATCCTGGCTACGCCACTGCAGTGAGAAGTAAAACGTCGAGATTTTCAAAAATCTCGATTTTTTTTTTGCACGATTACAAGACTTTCTCTATACTTCGTATATACGAGAAAGTAAAAATAAAAAATAAACCGGGAGTGATCTCCCCTAAACTTTCTCGAATATTCTTATATAACTCGGAATATAGTCTATAGACATGATTTTTAATTACTTAAACTTTTAAAAATAGATTAGAATCTCGTAGAAAAAAGAATTGCGCATAACGCGAACGCCAAAACAAAATGTGCATAATAGTGCGGAATATTATTAGTACTTGATAAATTTACATGCTTTTTTTTTTTTGAGAAATCGGAAATGGCGTAAATTAGTACTTCCGGTCAACGGAAATTACTCAAAATTTGATAGAAGGTAAATAATTAGATCTTTTACAGTATTACTTACATGAGAAATTTGATTTATCTATCTAATCTGAAATAGTACTCAAGTTTATAGGCTTTAGAAAAAGTACCACTTTCGCTTATCAGAAAACGCTCAAAAGTTGATACGGATCTACGATTTTGATAAAATACTTATAAATGAAATTTCATCAACCTAGCTGTAACGGTACTCAAGTTATCGTGTTTACACACACACACACACACACACACACACACACACACAAACACACACACACGCACAGACATACGGACAAGATTGCAAAATTATGTTTATCCGTATCTCAGTGAGGTGAAAAACGTCGAGATTTGTAAAAATCTCGATTTTTTTTTTGCACGATTACAAGACTTTCTCTATACTTCGTATGTACGAGGAAGTAAAAAAGCAATGTATGTGTGTCTGTCCTTTATGCATTACTACACCTCTCATCACATCGCCGTGAAACTTTGGGAAGTTGTTTAGAATATTCCTGGGGAGGTTTCTGCGGGAAAAAAAAAATTTCAAATTCGCAGGGGTGGCGCCCCGACAGGGCGCGATTTTTTTTCTATATACGTTATATAAAAATAAACGTCGATAGCGGTTTCACAGGGTTCATTTAATCGCCATCAAACTTTGGAAAGTTGATAAGAAGACTATGGTGACGGGTTCTGTAAAAAATCATTTTTAATTTCGCAAGGGCGGTGCCACGGGAGGGTGCGATTTTTCTCTATATACAGTTTATAAAAATAATAAAAGTGAATTGCAGTGACACCATTCACACTATCGCCATGAAACTTTGGGAATATGTTGAGAATATTCCTGGTGAGGTTTCTGCTTAAAATACATTTTCAAATTCGCAGGGGTGGCGCGTTCATTCGATCGCCATAAAACTTTGGAAAGTTGATTAGAACACTCCAAGGAAGGTTTCTGTAAAAAAAAACATTTTTAATTTCGCAAGGGCGGCGCCACGGGGTGGTGGGATTTTTCTCTCTATACGGTATATAAAAATAAAAGACGATTGCGGTTTAACACAGTTTATCCGGGTGCCATAAAACTTTAGGGATTTGATTAATACTCCCGATAAGGTTTCTGGGGTGGGAGAGGGGTGGGGGTGGGTGGTGGTGGGAGGGGGATTTAATTTTGCATTGGAGGCCCCCCCCCCCCCCCGGCAGGATGCCATTTGGCACCCTGTTCTTTACCGTGAGCGCTATGGCGACTACGCTGAGTCTAAACAGCGTGATAGACAATGGATAGGATGTAGCGTTACAAACGCTCACTAAATTGAATCAGGCGTGTCCGCCGGCGCCGTGATAGGGTGCGATTTGGCTGCAAACAAAAATTTCAGTTTCGGCCCCCAAAGGCTCACATGGGCCGCTGAGGGCCATGTAATACGTTTTATATTAATAATCAGAAAAACTAACCAAGGTTAGATTATAAACTGGGTGTGTTTCTTTCTGTCCGTAAAAAATCCAGTTTCGTCACGAATGATGCAATTAGCATCTATTTTTAGACAATCAATCAGAAATTGAGGTCGAGCATCTAATAATAGACTATTAGTAACGCTAACATATTGCAACAGTCACACTGATGTTTAAAACACGTCAAATACTTTTTTTTCGTGCTAAAGAAAATAATCCCTGTTCATTTGTGTCCCTTTTGCGAATTACGCAATCTGCATTATTGTTAACAGGATGCTATTTGGCAGAATAGCACCTGTTAGTTTTAAGGAGCCAGGGGCCGTACGTGGCGCCTATGCGGTAGTGTAATCGACTGGGGGGGGGTGCTCCTGAGAGCGCCCCTATACGTCCCTGACACATGGGTGGTCACTGAAGTGTGTTCTACCTGATTATTTCTGTGAGTGATTAATGTAAACATAAGGTTTTCACGCGGTAGTGTAGGTAAACCCGTGTCCCGGTATTTATGATCCAAGCGCAGGCATTGTTTACATTTAAATAACCCACTTTTAAAAAACAAGGTTACGCGTCTAAGAATATAGGATTGGTAAGGTATGGATGAAACCCTTCTTCTATCCCCGCGGCAACGCGCGGGGACGGGTACGCTAGTAGTTTTATATTAGAATATTCGAGAAAGTTTAGGGGAGATCGCTCCCGGTTTATTTATTTTATGGTGACTTTAAAACAATTTCCAAAAATAGTATATTACTGTTTTGGGTCATTAGTTAAGATGCACAAAGTAACAAAGCTGTTTATAAAAATTGCTGAGTTAAATGGTATATAGGCCTATATATATATATATATATATATATATATATATATATATATATATATATATATATATGTGTTACCGAGTCTATTTACTTGTAGTGCCAAATGTTACCGAATGTATTTACTCGTGCTATCTTTGACCAGCACACAACATCGACCACAATACAGATACTCGGAAGTGCAGGTTTACATTGATCTCTTTATTACATGAATCAATAGAAATGCTCCACATAACAATGCATCAATGTTCCACAAGAATACAATGAACCAACTGACCCCCACTGTCCTCACTAGTCCTCACATATCAGAATGCACGTGTCCATCGTTCCTATTCTCACAAATCACAACACGTCCACACAGTTCAGTCTTCAACTCGGTTCTGCCGTTCTCTACCAGTCGCCTTCCCATTATATCCCACGTATTCGTAATACTTTCCATTCGTTGCATCAGACTATGAACTACGCAGTTCTGTCGTATCGCTTCCCAAAATACGCAGTGGCTTTGTGATCGTTATCAGTCCACACCCCCTGTATCAGTTGCATCAGCCCAGTTTGGCCTTGATCGTGTCTTTAGTTGACAGACTGTATTGCGTTCTTATCGTCTTTAGTAACTACACTAGTTACATATATATATATATATATATATATATATAACTAAATTATGTATGTGTGTCTGTTTTTCTGTCCTTTATGCATTGCTACACCTTTTATCCAAACGCGTCAGCCTTTCTTCTAAGATCGCAGCAACGCGTGGGAAGCTTACGATAGTCTATAATCTATATAAACAAATGTAAATACGCCTATTTTACTGTATGTCAGTCCTTTATGCATTACTACACTGTTCATTCGATCGCCATGAAACTTTGGGAAGCTGATGATAATACTCATGGAAAGATTTCTGCGTAATCAAATATTTAAATTGCTTCTCCCCAAATAAAAAAAATAATTAATTTTGTGTAATTACAGGAATTAAAAAGCTTAGATTATTTTCCAAATAAAATTAAAAAAGAACTTCTGCCTGGAGGTATTGTGCTATTGGGCGTCATCAGTTTCCCCACTACCTATCAACGCATGGGGTCAGTTGAATTATGTTGAATTATGTATGTCCAAGATAACATTATTGCTGGAATAATATAATTAACTTGGATTGATAAAATGCAATATGGTAGGTAAAACACAGATACTTTAAATACAGCCTTTTATTTATTTTATACACTGAACGTACTGTTTACTAATTATTATTTTAATCAATAACAGTTTAGAAGTCGCCCCTAAATGTCCTCTATGTTTACTTCTATCTTTCGGTTTGCGGACAACCTGGTTTTTACTTTCTCGTATATACGAAGTATTGAGAAAGTCTTGTAATCGTGCCAAAAAAAAAAAAAAAACAACAACCCCAGATTTTTACAAATCTCGACGTTTTACACCTCGCTGATACGAAAAAACATAATTTTGCAATCTTGTCCGTATGTCTCTGTGTGTGTGTGTGTGTGTGTGTGTGTGTCTGCCTGTGTGTAAACACGATAACTTGAGTACCGTTACAGTTAGGTTAATGAAATTTTATATATCAGTATTTTATCAAAATCGTAGATCTTTATCAACTTTTGAGCGATTTCCGATAATCGGAAGTGGTACTTTTTCTACTTTGAATTTTTCAAAAGCCTATAACTTGAGTACTATGTAGGACAGATAAATGAAATTTCACATGTAAGTAAACGATCTAATTCTCTACCTTTTGTCAAATTTTGAGTAATTTCCGTTGACCGTAAGTACTAATTTACGCTATTTCCGATTTCTCAAAAAAAAACGAATGAAAATTTATAAAGTACTAATAATATTCCGCACTTTTATGCACATTTTGTTTTGGCGTTCGCTTGGTGCGCGATAATTTTTTTCTATGAGATTCTATTCTATTTTAAAAGTTTAATAATTAAAAATCATGTCTATATTCCAAGTTATATAAGTTTAGGGGAGATCACTCCCGGTTTATTTTTTTATAGTCGTTCACTAAATCAGGCGCGTCCCCCGGTCTCGGGCAGGATTCGATTTTGAGCGATGGGCTATCATATCAGCAATATGGGTTAGGATCAGCCCCTGGGTTGACTGTGAGCACTATGCGTTTATGCTTGTACTTAAGTTTGTGTTGATGTAATGTGTTGTTGTTGCGTTTAGGTTTGCGTTTAAGAGTTGCGTTTGCGTTAGCGTTTGTGATTGCTTTTTCGCTTGTGTTTTTTTTTAAGCGTTGGCAATGTGTTTGTGATTTCTGTTTAGTTGGTTTTTGCGTTTTCTTTTGCGTCGTGCTCGCGTTTATGTTTTCTTTCGTGTTTGTGTGTTGCGTTTTTTTGCGATTGTTTTTGCGTTGTGTTTGTGTTTTCTTTTGAGTTTGTGTTTAGTTTTGTTCTTTTCCCAAGTTAGTAAATTTAAACAAGATTCACCGTGGCGGAGCACGGGTTTGCGGCTAGTATATGGGGAGGCACCAAATTGAATTAATGTTTATCCCGGGCGCTGGAGTGTGTCGCTACGGCTCGGGGTGGGGGGGGGGGGGAGGGGCACATACATTCCCGAGGTGTGGGGACACTAGTTAAAGTATATATTTTCTATATAAAAAGTATTATAGTATAGCATATGGGGGTGAGTGCTAAAGTGATAGTTTTCCCAAGGTCGTCGAAATGGTCACTACGACTCTGATTTGTGCCCTTCACACGAGCATGTTTTAGTTTTAGGTTTTACAAGTTAGTTTTGAATATTTCGTTAGGTAGAGATGTTGCGAAGCAATGCAGTACGCAATTTGATAACAATTTACAAACAGTACAAAGTACACATTCGCATATTTGCAGAAGTCAAATTCTTATCTAGAAATCTACTTGCAGACCTTTATTTTTTTTATTAGATAGATCTATCTAGATCTAATGAAATTAAGATCTACCGAAACTACTCTAAAACAAATATAAATTGAACAAGTTTAACAAGCTATGGATCCTTTGTTTATGGCAAATAGCTATTTTAGAAGACGAAAATTTAAAGAAACCGTTGAAATTTGCACAGTTATCCTAGAGAAAAATCCTTACGACCAGGTACTTACTAGATAGGTTGAATTATGGATTTTTTAAAATAAAATATTCTGTTATTTCAAATACACCATTAACTTCCTTACCCCTTAAGAGAACATTTGACACCACATTTAAATATCTAGCTTACTCGGTTGACGAGAAAAGAGAGAATTTGAAATTTTTCCGATATTGGAAAATGAAAGACAAAACCGCGTTTTATCCCCTCGACCGGCATAACATTACGTCGTGGACTTGTGTCCACGAGCTTTTAATTCCCGCCATGGTAATTGCGTCAGCTTAGGTTATTTACTCACCGGAAAATAACAAAAAGCAACTGGTTGATAATAAAACTAGATCTAGTTATTTTATTATTTATTAAATTCTACTCTACATGTTATTCATACCATTTTATGAAGTAATGAACACCTGCATAAATCAAATGACCATAATAAATATTTTTATTTCAAATAATAAATATGCATAAAATAATATGATAGTAATTGCTAAGATAGTTTATAAATACAAATACATTTTACACTCAATCACATTATATTGAGTCAACAGTGTGGCAGCTGAGGTTCATACATGGTATTAGTGTCCCCCTTTTTTTTTTACATTACATTTTTTTTCATCTTGAAAACATGACGTATGTGATTTTTTTTTTTTAAAATAAAATCTCCAAACATCGTCACTCGCGTGATTGCTTGCTTATGTTTACCATCCTGTGGATGAAAAATCCCACCACGGTCGCGGGGTCACCGTGACCTATAGTACACGTCATAGAATGAACACGCGTACACGAGATGGTCGGTGTCTTCACTTCTCTCTCTCTTCCCCCCCCCCCCTTCTTCAAGCAAATTGAATAACAGACCTACTTCCCTACTTCTGGTCATTTTTTTTTTTAAAGTTCGGTCATTTTTTTTTAAAGTTCACATATCAGGCATGCTAGACAGCCAGCTGTATAAAAAAAAAATTTAACTAGATCTACGTCTAGCTTAAAAAAAATAATAAATAAACGCGTAAAATGCCCGTAAACAGATTATTTAGCGCCAAAAAAAAAAAGGCAGCTGAACGAGCATTTTTTTTTAAAATACGCAGCAATGAAAAGGGCTAACGGCCGATCAATTAAGTCTAAAAATCACCCGTAATTAGGCCTAGCTCTGAAAAAGGCCACTGAACGAGCATCACTGATTATATAAACGAATAGGCCACGCAGCGTTGACGAGGTTAACCACCGGTCACGAATGCAGCAACTGTCGGCCCACAGTGAAGAAAAAATCAATATACTAATAAAATTACTAATACAACAATAATGTCCATAATTTTACTTTTTCCACACATGCTACAATTGAATTATAATTAAAATACTAGACTTAACAGTTCATTCCGTAAAAAACAAAAACTAGTTGTTTCAGTCTGGCAACTAGCGTAGCAATGACGTCATGATACTAAAAATAGCGGATAGAAATGTCAGCGTGGGTACCTCATTTTGGGATAAGATTTTGGAAGCCAGAATCAATAATTATGTAAATATACAAGGTAAATATCTCAATTATATATTAATTTAGAGGAGGTCGGGCCGTTTTCCCCGGAGGTCGGTCGTTTTTAGCGGCGGTTCAGTTTTTACGGAGAGCGCTCTACTAGAAATCCTCTCATTATTTACAACAACAAATCTCTCGATTTTTTCTGGCATTCTAAGGCATATTATCCATTTTATTAGCATTCTGCATTAAAATAATGATGAGAATTTGCGAGATTAACAGTTTTTTCATTTGTCGTGGATGGGACCCCTAAAATAAACGTAAAAACCGTCTAAAAACGACGCGTGACGTTTCAGGGTCAGAGGTCAATCCAGCCATCTAAGCAACGCGCCAGACTATTACTAGATTCTAGATCTAGATCAGGCTAGATCTAGAACTAGGTAAAACCTTAGTTTAGCGTCGGTTATTATTCCGGAATCGTATAGCAGTAAAAAACAGTAAAACAATGCCAAAGTCTGTCACACACTTCCGGAATTCACCGAAAGTACTGTAAACCATACTTTATTTCAAAATATTTGGCTTCATCTTTTATTTTTATACAGAATGTTTAAAATTTGGATAGATTTATTTTTGTAATCATTTTTACATTTTGTAATCATTTTTAGTATTTTCGTAAACTAGATTTTTTTAACTTGGCCTAGCAGCTAGATATCTAGCTAGATCTAGATCTAATTAATTAATGGTCACAAATCCGCTGCAAGCCAAAAACATTAAATTATTACATTTGACTACTACATTATTTATATTTATATTAATATATGTTTTCTTTTTATTTTTAGATCTACCAATTTAAATTAACTATTATATATATTCTTGTTTCCTTTTGTCGATTAAACTTAAAAAATTAAAACATAATTTACTACAATCGACTTTCAATTTATTTATATTTCAATGGTCAAATAAACCATGGTTTACCGTAACTCTAGTTACCGAAACTCAACAAACATTACCCGATAATTTCCGACGCTAAACTAAGGTTTTACCTAGAACTAGATCTACACGTCGGTTAAAAAATTGAAATTAGCGATATTTTTTATTTAGGCATATAGATATTTAATATTTGGTAAAACCTTAGTTTAGCGTAGGAAATTATCGGGTAATGTTTGTTGAGTTTGTTGTTTGTTGACAATTATTTCAAAATATAGCGTACCAGTTTATAGGCCTAATAAAGCTTTTTTCAATAGGCCCTGATTATTCTTGAAAAACAATTATAGCTATTCCCTTTAAAAAATGTTCTAAATTTAGGCTTTTAGAAACCTTTTGGAGCCAAAGATATAACAGTTGAATATATATAGAAAACATTAATAGTAAATAATGTCTATACTCCCATTTTGACTACGGTTGCAACATTTACATGGCTCATTATAACTGTTTAGAACTGTAAACATGAATTGAAAGTTACCACCCTGTCTGCAACCTAGTTTAAATAGAAGAGGTGAACCGGGTGAACATAAAATTAAATAATACAATTTTATTTCAATTGGTCTTGAACAGAAAGTATAACTAGAACTGTTCAAGGACTGTTCCATAAACCACTTTAAATTATTATGCAGTTGTTATAATGCTACCTAAAATAAATAAGATGGATTAGACAGAATTAAAACATAAGAATTCTTAAGATCTGGAATCTTGTAGTGGTGAGCGAATATTACTGATTGTTTGATTTACGCAGTTATCAAATAGACATTTTAAAAAGCAAGCTAAAAAGTCTAGAACGAAATACAAAAATCCCTTAAAAAATGTTGTAAAATTGAAGTGTATGCTTATATCTTTATTTCAATTGAAATTCACCCCTAATTTCTAAATATATTATTACACACTATACAAAAAATATTCTTCGACATACTAATATAAAAAGTGTCACTCACATTGCTTGCATGGTCAGCCACTCAACTCTCTTTTGCAAAAAGTTGAATTATAAACATATTTAAGGGGTCAGCGTGATCGAGTCAGTAAAGCTCATGGTTGCTAAACTGAAAAAAGTCAAGTTCAAACCCTCTGGGGAAGATGCGGCTCATTGGCTCTTTTTCTATCCCTAATTGTGTTTGAGGCGTGGTCAAGTCGGCAAAGCTCATGGTTGTTAAATTTGAATAAGTCTCGAGTTCAAACCCTCTGGCAGATAAGGCTCGATCCCTTCCAACACTAATTATTAAGAACAAAGAAGAAGAAACATATTTAATGAAAGTAGGTAATCCTAAATAAAAAAAGTAAAACGACTCACATTTCAACAACAGCAGGCACTTAATTCAAAACTTTACAGAGTTAAAAGATTTTATTTTCTTTTTAGCTTTAAAGAAATATTTATTTGTTATTTCTCATGCGTTCCAACAATTGTACCACTTTTATCTAACAATAAATATTAGATAAGTAAAGACTCAATTATTGTAAGAATTAGCCTTTGACACTGTTTCTAAGAAACACACTCGCCCAAAGGTTATTATCAAATTTTAGGCAATAAATCTTTTTAAGTTTGATTTAAAATAAATAGCTTAAAGTTAAAAGTAAATTTTAATTTTAAAATACTTAACCCTTTTTAAACTAGAGAAAATTATATGTTGCGTCCTATTAAACTAATTTCATCAATTTAAAAAAAATGATGAAGGGTAAAAAAATAATAACTTGATTGAGACAACAGCCAACTAAGCCCGCCCATTTAATAAAGCATTTGGGTTTGGGTTTTTGTTTGCATTGTGTTTGGGTTTTGGTTTAAGTTTGCGTTTGTTTTCTATTGTGTTTGTGTCTTCCGTTTTGTGTTTGCGTTAGTGTTTCTTTTGTATTTGTGTTTAGTTCTGTTCCCAAGTTGGTACATTTAAAAAAAAGATTCACTGTGGCAAAGCACGAGTATGCAGCTAGTATTACTATACTGCTACATGTTATTTTGCTCTTGAACAGTTTATTACTAGATATATATCGTGCAGTCGCTCTGTTACATTTTAACTGTCTTCACCAGCAGCTGCTAATTCTATTGTTTCCACTGACTAAATGTGATTGAAAATCATATGAGTCTGTCGTGTGTCTTGACCTCCACTGAACCCCTAAGACTGACTCACATAATCAAATCCAGGTTAAGAACCATTGCTCTAGCATTATCACACACTAATATAATTAAAAAAGCTTATTGGTGGGCTTAACCTGGTATGTTTACACGAGGAATGATCATTTCAAGTAGAATTGTCACCATTACAAGCTGTCACCATTACAAGCTGTCACCAATACAAACTGTTACCAATACAAACTGTCACCAATACAAACTGTCACCAATACAAACACCAATACAATACAAACTGTCACCAATTCAAACTGTCACCAATACAAACTGTCACCAATACAAGCTGTCACCAATACAAACTGTCACCAATACAAACACCAATACAATACAAACTGTCACCAATTCAAACTGTCACCAATACAAACTGTCACCAATACAAGCTGTCACCAATACAAACTGTCACCAATTCAAACTGTCACCAATACAAACTGTCACCAATACAGACACCAATACAAACTGTCACCAATACAAACTGTCACCAATACAAACTGTCACCAATACAAGCTGTCACCAATACAAACTGTCACCAATACAAACTGTCACCAATACAAGCTGTCACCAATACAATACAAACTGTCACCAATACAAACTGTCACCAATACAAACTGTCACCAATACAAACTGTCACCAATACAAACTGTCACCAATACAAGCTGTCACCAATACAAACTGTCACCAATACAAACTGTCACCAATTCAAACTGTCACCAATACAAACTGTCACCAATACAGGCACCAATACAAGCTGTCACCAATGCAAACTGTCACCAATACAATACAAACTGTCACCAATTCAAACTGTCACCAATACAAACTGTCACCAATACAAACTGTCACCAATACAAGCTGAAATTGTATTTTTGTACTTTAAAGGCTGCTTGGCATTTGAAGACGAGAGCTCTGACTGGCCAGGTGTATGTAGATGAGGTGGACGTAGATGAAGAAGGCATCGCTGAGATATTAATGGACGACAACATCATAGCCAGTGTCTCGCGGCCGGGTACATCACTCAGAGGGCCAACAGCTAATCATGGTGGGCCTAGTCAAGGAGTTAGGTAGGTCATCTTAGTGGGCCAACAGCTAATCTTAGGAGCAAACAGCTAATCTTAGTGGGCCAACAGGTAATCTTAGTGGGCCAATAGCTAATCATGGTGGGCCTAGTCAAGGAGTTAGGTAGGTCATCTTAGTGGGCCAACAGCTAATCTTAGTGGGCCAACAACTAATCTTAGTGGGCTTATAGCTAATCTTGATGGGCCAACAGATAATCTTAGTGGGCCAACAGATAATCTTAGTGGGCCAACAGATAATCTTAGTGGGCCAACATCTAATCATGGTGGGCCAGCAGATAATCTTAGTGGGCCAACATCTAATTTTGGTGGACCTAGTCAAGGAGTTAGGTAGGTCATCTTAGTGGGCCAACCGCTAATCTTAGTGGGCCACCAACAAATCATGGTGGGCCACCAACAAATCATGGTGGGTCAAGTCAAGGACATAAGTAATGAATTGGTTAGTGGCTAATATTGTTGGGTGTTGTCTGTTAATGATGTCTGCAAAAAGTTAATCATTTAAAAAAAGATGTAACAAGTGATGTCTGCAAAAAGTTAATTATTTAAAAAAAGATGTAACAAGTGATTATATAAACACTGTTGTTATTGCTTTAGACCAACAAGCCAAAGTGGTCGACCTCTGTCAGGATTTGTACGACCTGGAACTCAGTCAGGTCGACCTGGCACCATGGAGCAGGCCATGAGGACACCACGCACAGCACACACAGCCAGACCAGTCACCAGCGCCTCGGGCAGATTTGTTCGTCTTGGAACTGTGAGGGGGCACTCATGCTCATCTTTGTTTCTCTCTCTCTCATGCTCATCTTTGTTTCTCTCTCTCTCGTGCTCATCTTTGTTTCTCTCTCTCTCATGTTCATCTTTGTTTCTCTCTCTCTCATGTTCATCTTTGTTTCTCTCTCTCTCATGCTCATCTTTGTTTCTCTCTCATGCTCATCTTTGTTTCTCTCTCTCTCTCATGCTCATCTTTGTTTCTCTCTCTCATGCTCATCTTTGTTTCTCTCTCATGCTCATCTTTGTTTCTCTCTCTCATGCTCATCTTTGTTTCTCTCTCTCTCATGCTCATCTTTGTTTCTCTCTCATGCTCATCTTTGTTTCTCTCTCTCTCTCATGCTCATCTTTGTTTCTCTCTCATGCTCATCTTTGTTTCTCTCTCTCTCATGTTCATCTTTGTTTCTCTCATGCTCATCTTTGTTTCTCTCTCTCTCATGTTCATCTTTGTTTCTCTCTCTCATGCTCATCTTTGTTTCTCTCTCTCCCATGCTTATCTTTGTTTCTCTTGTCAAGGCTAACTTGTATTTCCATCCCTAAGGCTAATGTTTCTGTCACTAAGGCTAATGTTTCTGTCACTAAGGCTAATGTTTCTGTCACTAAGGCTAATGTTTCTGTCACTAAGGCTAATGTTTCTGTCACTAAGGCTAATGTTTATGTCACTAAGGCTAATGTTTATGTCACTAAGGCTAATGTTTATGTCACTAAGGCTAATGTTTCTGTCACTAAGGCTAATTTTTCTGTCACTAAGGCCAATGTTTATGTCACTATGGCTAATTTTAATGCCACTAAGGCTAATGTTTCTGTCACTAAGGCTAAAGTTTCTGTCACTAAGGCTAATGTTTCTGTCACTAAGGCTAATGTTTATGTCACTAAGGCTAATTTTAATGTCACTAAGGCTAATGTTTCTGTCACTAAGGCTAATGTTTCTGTCACTAAGGCTAATTTTAATGTCACTAAGGCTAATGTTTATATCACTAAGGCTAATGTTTCTGTCACTAAGGCTAATGTTTCTGTCACTAAGGCTAATGTTTCTGTCACTAAGGCTAATGTTTATGTCACTAAGGCTAATGTTTCTGTCACTAAGGCTAATGTTTCTGTCACTAAGGCTAATGTTTATGTCACTAAGGCTAATGTTTATGTCACTAAGGCTAATGTTTCTGTCACTAAGGCTAATGCTTCTGTCACTAAGGCTAATGTTTATGTCACTAAGGCTAATGTTTATGTCACTAAGGCTAATGTTTATGTCACTAAGGCTAATGTTTCTGTCACTAAGGCTAATGTTTATGTCACTAAGGCTAATGTTTCTGTCACTAAGGCTAATGTTTATGTCACTAAGGCTAATGCTTCTGTCACTAAGGCTAATGTTTATGTCACTAAGGCTAATGTTTATGTCACTAAGGCTAACATGTGTTTCTAGGCCTCTATGCTGTCCTCACCTGAGGGTCCTTTCATCAACTTGGCCCGACTGAACATGACAAAATATGCTGCACGGCCTAGCCTGGCTAAAGGTTTATTTGAGTACATTTTTCATCACGAGAATGATGTGAGGAATGTAAGTTCACTGTTATGTGTTGGTCAGTTTATAAGTCTGTCTACTGCCATGTCTGTCTGTACTTGTCTGTCTTTACTTGTCTGTCTGTACTTGTCTGTCTAATGCCATGTCTGTCTGTACTTGTCTGTCAATACTTGTCTGTCTGTACTTGTCTGTCTAATGCCATGTCTGTCTGTACTAGTCTGTCTGTCTGTCTACTGCCATGTCTGTCTGTACTTGTCTGTCTGTCTGTCTACTGCCATGTCTGTCTGTACTTGTCTGTCTGTCTGTCTTAGTGTCTACTGCCATGTCTGTCTGTACTTATCTGTCTGTACTTGTCTGTCTACTGCCATGTCTGTCTGTACTTGTCCGTCTGTCTGTCTACTGCCATGTCTGTCTGTACTTGTCTGTCTACTGCCATGTCTGTCTGTACTTGTCTGTCTACTGCCATGTTTGTCTGTACTTGTCTGTATTTCTGCAGGCACTTGAGCTTGCAGCACTGGCTACAGAGGCCTCACAGTTCAGTGACTGGTGGTGGAAAGTTGCTTTGGCTAAGTGCTACTACAGGTAGGTGGCTGGTGCTAAGTGCTACTACAGGTAGGTGGCTGGTGCTAAGTGCCACTACAGGTAGGTGGTTGGTGCTAAGTGCTACTACAGGTAGGTGGCTGGTGCTAAGTGCTACTACAGGTAGGTGGCTGGTGCTAAGTGCTACTACAGGTAGGTGGCTGGTGCTAAGTGTTACTACAGGTAGGTGGCTGGTGCTAAGTGCTACTACAGGTAGGTGGCTGGTGCTAAGTGCTACTACAGGTAGGTGGCTGGTGATGTATGACTAAAGTTGACTGCTGGTGTATGGCTGACTGCAGTTGTGTGGCTGGTGATGTATGACTAAAGTTGACTGCTGGTGTATGGCTGACTGCAGTTGACTTTGTGTGGCTGGTGATGTATGACTAAAGTTGACTGCTGGTGTATGGCTGACTAAAGTTGACTTTGTGTGGCTGGTGATGTATGACTAAAGTTGACTGCTGGTGTATGGCTGTTGACTTGTCTTGTAAAGGCTTGGCATGTACCGTGAAGCTGAGAAGCAGCTGAGGTCGGCCCTTAAAACAGATGAAGTGATAGATAGCTACCTGCACCTGGCCAGGGTCTACTGCAGACTGGACCAGCCCCTGGCTGCTCTAGAGGTTTACCAGCTGGCCCTCAAGCAGTTTCCCTGTGAGACCACCCTGCTGACGGGCATGGCTAGGATATATGAGGTAGGCAACCACTTTCAGTCCTCAGCAACTCTGTCATCTCAATGTATTTGAAGTCACTGTGATGACCTTTAACCCCAGGGTCTGACCAAGATGGAGGAGGCAGTCAAACTGTACAAGCAGGTCCTGACACATGACAGCATGCATGTGGAGGCCATCGCTTGTATCGCCACCCACCATTTCTACTCAGACCAGCCTGAACTGGCCCTCAAATTCTACAGGTTTGTGCATTCAAAATGGTTGAAACTGTCCATAGCTAACTTTTTATATAACTTTTTATCCTAAGATCAAAGGCATCAATTTTGTTAAGACAATGCTTTGTTAAGGCACCAGTTTAGTTAAGACAATGCTTTGTTAAGGCACCAGTTTAGTTAAGACAATGCTTTGTTAAGACACCAGTTTAGTTAAGATGCCAATTTTAAGACACCAATTTTATAAGACAACTCTTTTGTTAAGATACCAACAAAAAATTATCAGGGTCACTGAATAGTGGGGCATTTAAATATAAAAATATGGCGGGGCATTTAAAGATAAAAAATATGGTGGGGCATTTAAAGATAAAAAATATGGTGGGGCATTTAAATATAAAAATATGGCGGGGCATTTAAAGATAAAAAATATGGTGAGGCATTTAAATATAAAAATATGGCGGGGCATTTAAATATAAAAATATGGCGGGGCATTTAAAGATTAAAATATGGTCGTTCATTTAAAGGTAAAAATATGGTGAGGCATTTAAATATAAAAATATGGTGGGGCATTTAAAGATTAAAATATGGTCGTTCATTTAAAGGTAAAAATATGGTGGGGCATTTAAAGATTAAAAAAATATGGTGGGGCATTTAAAGATAAAAATTGAAAATATCTTTGTGTTAAATTGACTGTTAACATGTGGTGATGATTGATAAAAGATCAGCATGGCCAAGTGACTGTTAACATGTGGTGATGATTTGTTTCTTCCAGACGTCTGCTCCAGATGGGAGTGTACAATGGGGAACTGTTCAACAACCTTGGCCTTTGTTGCTACTTTTCCCAGCAGTATGATATGACCTTGACCTGCTTTGAGAGAGCCTTGGCGCTTGCAGAGAATGATATTGTTTTAGCAGACGTCTGGTTCAACATTGGCCATGTAGCAGTCGTAAGTATCAACACAATATTTGCCACACATCATTGGCCACACTACATTGGCCTCACAACATTTGCCGCACAACATTGGCCACACAACATTGGCCGCACAACATTGGCTGCACAACATTGGCCGCACTACATTGGCCACACAACATTGGCCGCACAACATTGGCCGCACAACATTGGCCACACAACATTGGCCGCACAACATTGGCAGCACAACATTGGCCACACAACATTGGCCACACTACATTGGCCACACAATATTATCCATATATTAAGTGTGCACACAACCAGGGCTTCTCAAATCATTGAATTGCGGCCATTGGATCTTTTCATCCCCATCAGATTGTGAGCAGAATGTGAGAAACCAAACTTCAAGAGATAACTTTTTCTTACTTTTGAGCCATCTAAAAAAGGGAGAACACTCCTACATAGGAAAATGTGCATGTTTAGCTCCCTTGCTAGTTAAGCTTTCCAGTCTGTATAAAGTAGCTAGTTGCACAAGTAAATAAAATTTGACGTCACAGGCTCTAAACCTTTCGTGCACAATAAAATCTAATTCAAATGTAGTCGTTCGCATTGCTATGTTAACCATTTAAAAAATGATAGAACGCGATTATGATTCCAGTCATATATGCACTCCTTATTAGCAGCGGTTATTGACCGTTACCGCCATATAATTTTTATTTCAACTTTTTACCTGTTTTTGTTAATCTCATATTGAGTTTAAAAGGTGAGTTTAAAAAAAATTTACATAAAATAGTAAAACATTGAGACTAACTCTGTTTTTAGTGGAATTATCTTCAATTTTTTTTTAATCTTTCTAAATAGCATATTTATTTTAGGTTTATCCATTTAGCAGACTATGCAAAATGTCTCACAAACTAGGTACCCTATTAGTGGTATCGATACCGCATTTTAATGTTCAATCATTTTATAGCAATTATGTCACCAATTTTTATACATTATTTTCTTAAAGAATTTTAATAATTAAACTAGTAAATTAGAGGATTCAAAGATAATAAATTAACCTTTTTAAAATAGTAAAAATTGTATGTTGCGGCCTGTACTATGTGCTACTAATGATTGTATTAGGTATATGATAACTCAACACAAAGTTGAAATTAAGTTATACATAGAATGATTTAAAACTAAAAATAATGATCCTAGGTTCGATTTGAGTAAGACTATACGATTTTTAATTTATTTTTTTGACTACGAAAATCATCTTTTTCGTAATGCATTATAGTAGAGGCTTAAATCTAAAAATCGAGAAAAACTGTATCGTAATGTTTTGTCGCTATATCCATTGGTATTTTGATCGATTAAAATAAGAAAACATTTAGACTTAATTTGAATTTAGTGTGAGTCGGTACATTTTTAATGTTATATTCACAAGTGTTTTTACTTTCTTCTTCAGACGTTCACAAGCTGTAAAACTCGACTAAGTATTAGCAATATCGATTTTACCTTTCTCCGCTTTTGTATTCCGTTATATTTGTTTTATATTATTAGGCCATAAGATCTATTTAAAATGTAAAATAGATCTATTTAAAATGTAAAATAAAGATGTATCTAAGCTGTCTTAAATATTATAAACCAAAGGTCGAAATTATTAATTGAATAGTGGTTCAATTTACCAAGTAGACTGTGTGGGATCCAAATCTTATTAATCTAAGAAATATTAGTTAAAACACAACATTTTATGAGTGTGTTCATTCTAAATTCTATTGTAACAAGCTGAATGTGTATACTGGTAGTCATCATTTACTTCATAACCCATTAGTTTATCTTGCTAAAGAATAAAACATACCCTTGTAAACAAATGCCTATATTTATTTGCTTGATACCCACTCACACTCAAATAACGATTGTATGAGGAGTGGGGTGGGGGGGGGGGAGACTTTCTGAGTTAAAGACCTTTGAGTCGGGTGCTAATTGAGTTAAGTTAGTGTGATTGATGTTTTCGAATACTACATCTAAAAATGAAGTTGAAAGTATCTAAAGTACTGTTGATAAGTTAGCTAGGTAGTAATGGGGTACCTTTTGCTTTTCTAAACGTGGTACGGTATTGAATCTGCCCTTCATCGTCCACAAATAAAGTCACTCTTTTTTACACACATTCCCCTCCCCATCCATAGCTTATCCTCATGGTTGCCAGACGTTTTTCCAGACCCCGTATTCCCAAGATTTTGTTAAATGTTATCACAACTGGACAGCGTGGTCTAGTATGTAGTAAGCCCGCTAACTAAACTGATAGTTCGGTACCCGACCTGGAGACCGTAGGTCATCCGACGACCAAGCTGTCCCTCACGTTCAAAACCAGGTGGCAAGATGTCATATTTAAAACTGGAGGCAAAGTCAGACAGAAACCCTCGTGTCTAGCGTCAGTCTATGTAGCTCTGTGAAATGCTCGATTCTTGATAACGTTGCTGCTTGTTTCGCGCCAGCTATGTTCAGTTATCTAACGACACCCAAAGATTATCTCTTAACTGACATGCTTCCAATAAGTCAAAAACACTCATATATGTTGCACTGTACTGAATGGTTTTTTTTTTTACTCAGCCAGTTTCTTTTATTTTTACTATTACTGTGACGTTTGAGTTAAAGTATTGAGTCTATCCAGTGGTATTATTTTATTTAAATGATTTTTAATAAACCACTTTTAAATTAAATAATACTTATTTGAAAATTTTATAATTGTGCGCCTACCCAGAGTTATTACCCATTTGCCTTTTTTCTCTACTTTCGGCATGACCAATTTTTGTTTTGATTTTCCATAGTCTTAGTTGTCCCCGTAATTTTTACACTAAAACCGTCATATCTAGAGAACCATTTATCCTATAAACATAAATTTGGTATCATTTTGCAACATTTAGTCCCCTTAATACAACCCGGTCATTATTTTGTCATTTTAATTATTTTAAAAAATGTGTGCAACTAGCTAAAAAAGTATAAAGTTTAATTCTGTATTTGGCGGACGGGCGGGTAGAAGGACCAATGGTAACAAAGAAAGTTTGCAAAAAAATTTGACTTAATCGCCATAGTTTAATATATCTAAAATTATCTAAATTAATGATTAAAAAAATTAATATTGAAGGCTTTTTAAAACAAAGTTCATTTCCCAAACTTATAGTGTTAATTGACGGCATGTGCATTAAACAAAATTAAAGAAAATATATCACCCTTCACAAAAATTCTAATTACCGGTAGGGTTCTGTTTGATGCCCTGGGCTATTCTGTGAGCGCTTTGGTGCATAATTTTGTTTTTAAACAGTGCGATAGACTATGGATAAGAAAGGTTACTATAGTCTTTAACTGAATTGAATTCAGACATCCCCTGGAGCTTCGACATGGGTGCTATTTGGCTTCCCGGGCCTTCCCGTGTTCACTATTGCGCCTACGTTTGTTTGAGTGCAAAAGACTATGAATAAGTTGGGGTACTATAGTCGTTTACTAAGTTGAATCAGGCGATGCAGCCGGTGCCCCAGCATGGTGCGATTTGGCACCCCCGGCTAGACTGTGAGCACTTTGCGTTTATGTTTGCGTTTGTGTTTTCTTTGTGTTTGGGTTGGGTTTGTGTTTGTTGTTGGGTTTGTGTTTAGATTTGGTTTGTTTTCATTTGCTTTTTTGCTTGCATTTGTGTTTATTTTCTTTGTGTTTAAATTTTGGTTGTGTTTATGTTTTTGTTTGTCATTGTTCAGTTTTTTTGTGTTTTGGTTTGTCATTGTTTAGTTTTTTTGTGTTTTGGTTTTGGTTGGTTGTGGTTAGGGTGGGCAATGCCAGGTATATGCTGATTACTAAACACACATGTCATGGTTCTTTACAGATAGGTTACAGATAGGTTTTTCACAGAGGCCAATGCAGGGCCTGGCCGGGACAGCTAGTATATGTATACATCTTAATTTTAAAATGTTAACAGCAATACGACAAATTTATGCGGCAAACATTTCTTACAATTATTACATAAGCCTATAAACAACATTAAATATAGTATACAAAACCAAATGACAGTCAGTAAAAATGTTCAAATGAACTAAAAACATCAATATACTATACAAATTTTGCTGTGAGATATTTTGTCTGGGATATTTTGTCTGAGATCATTTGTCCTGGTATATTTTGACCGTGAGATATTTTCTCTGGGATATTTTGTCTGAGATCATATGTCCTGAGAGCATTTGTCATGGAACCTTTTTTATATATAAATGTATATGTATATATATATATATATATATATATATATATATATATATATATATATATATATATATATATATATATATATATATATATATATATATATATATATATATATATATATATATATATATATATACACATACATACATACATATATATATATACATACATACATACATATATATATATATATATATATATATATATATATATATATATATATATATATATATATATATATATATATATATATATATATATACACATATATGGTTACTGAGAGTGAGTCCCTCCCGACCTGGTTGGCCCTAGGCCCCGATAGGATGATTGGCCCAAGGCCCCGCTAGGATGGTTGGCCCTAGGCCCCGATAGGATGGTTGGCCCTAGGCCCCGCTAGGATGTTGGCCCTAGGCCCCGCTAAGATGTTGGCCTTAGGCCCCGCTAGGATGTTGGCCCTAGGCCCCGATAGGATGGTTGGCCCTAGGCCTGCTAGGATGGTGTGCCATAGGGCCAGCATATTCCTAATGTTGGCTCTGTATATGATTGTGTGTATGTGTTTTAAACCTGAGGCTCAATAGCTGAGGATTGGAGTGGCACTTAAACCTGAGTATATAGCACTTAAGTAGATACTTTGAGTGCTTTATATTGCATATTATAAATAGGGTTGCGTCATGTGATAGTGTGAGGGTTGCGTCATGTGATAGTGTGAGGGTTGCCTCATGTGATAGTGTGAGGGTTGCCTCATGTGATAGTGTGAGGGTTGCCTCATGTGATAGTGTGAGGGCTGCCACATGTGATAGTGTGAGGGTTGCCTCATGTGGTAGTGTGAGGGTTGCCTCATGTGGTAGTGTGAGGGTTGCCTCATGTGATAGTGTGAGGGCTGCCACATGTGGTAGTGTGAGGGTTGCTGCATGTGGTAGTGTGAGGACCTACATGTGGTAGTGTGAGGACCTACATGTGGTAGTGTGAGGGTTGCCTCATGTGGTAGTGTGAGGGTTGCCTCATGTGGTAGTGTGAGGGTTGCCTCATGTGGTAGTGTGAGGGATGCCTCATGTGATAGTGTGAGGGCTGCCACATGTGGTAGTGTGAGGGTTGCCACATGTGGTAGTGTGAGGGTTGCCTCATGTGGTAGAGTGAGGGTTGCCTCATGTGGTAGTGTGAGGGTTGCCTCATGTGGTAGAGTGAGGGTTGCCACATGTGGTAGAGTGAGGGTTGCCACATGTGGTAGTGTGAGGGTTGCCTCATGTGGTAGTGTGAGGGTTGCCTCATGTGGTAGTGTGAGGGATGCCTCATGTGGTAGTGTGAGGGTTGCCGCATGTGGTAGTGTGAGGACCTACATGTGGTAGTGTGAGGGTTGCCTCATGTGGTAGTGTGAGGGTTGCCACATGTGGTAGTGTGAGGGTTGCCTCATGTGGTAGTGTGAGGGTTGCCTCATGTGGTAGTGTGAGGGTTGCCTCATGTGGTAGTGTGAGGGTTGCGTAATGTGATAGTGTGAGGGTTGCCTCATGTGGTAGTGTGAGGGTTGCCTCATGTGGTAGTGTGAGGGTTGCCGCATGTGGTAGTGTGAGGACCTACATGTGGTAGTGTGAGGGTTGCCTCATGTGGTAGTGTGAGGGTTGCCTCATGTGGTAGTGTGAGGGTTGCCTCATGTGGTAGTGTGAGGGTTGCCACATGTGGTAGTGTGAGGGTTGCTGCATGTGGTAGTGTGAGGACCTACATGTGGTAGTGTGAGGGTTGCCTCATGTGGTAGTGTGAGGGTTGCCTCATGTGGTAGTGTGAGGGTTGCCTCATGTGGTAGTGTGAGGGTTGCCACATGTGGTAGTGTGAGGGTTGCCACATGTGGTAGAGTGAGGGTTGCGTAATGTGATAGTTTGAGGGTTGCCTCATGTGGTAGTGTGAGGGTTGCCTCATGTGGTAGTGTGAGGGTTGCCACATGTGGTAGTGTGAGGGTTGCCTCATGTGGTAGAGTGAGGGTTGCGTAATGTGATAGTGTGAGGGTTGCCACATGTGGTTGCCTGGTGTGGTACTGTGAGGGTCTCCACATGTGGTTGCCACATGTGGTAGAGTGAGGGTTGCCACATGTGGTAGTGTGAGGGTTGCCTCATGTAGTAGTGTGAGGGTTGCCTCATGTGGTAGTGTGAGGGTTGCCACATGTGGTAGTGTGAGGGTTGCCACATGTGGTAGAGTGAGGGTTGCGTAATGTGATAGTGTGAGGGTTGCCTCATGTGGTAGTGTGAGGGTTGCCTCATGTGGTAGTGTGAGGGTTGCCACATGTGGTAGTGTGAGGGTTGCCACATGTGGTAGAGTGAGGGTTGCCACATGTGGTAGTGTGAGGGTCTCCACATGTGGTTGCCACATGTGGTAGAGTGAGGGTTGCCACATGTGGTAGTGTGAGGGTTGCCTCATGTAGTAGTGTGAGGGTTGCCTCATGTGGTAGTGTGAGGGTTGCCACATGTGGTAGTGTGAGGGTTGCCACATGTGGTAGAGTGAGGGTTGCGTAATGTGATAGTGTGAGGGTTGCCTCATGTGGTAGTGTGAGGGTTGCCTCATGTGGTAGTGTGAGGGTTGCCACATGTGGTAGTGTGAGGGTTGCCTCATGTGGTAGTGTGAGGGTTGCCACATGTGGTTGCCTGGTGTGGTACTGTGAGGGTCTCCACATGTGGTTGCCACATGTGGTAGAGTGAGGGTTGCCACATGTGGTAGTGTGAGGGTTGCCACATGTGGTAGTGTGAGGGTTGCCACATGTGGTAGTGTGAGGGTTGCCTCATGTGGTAGTGTGAGGGTTGCCACATGTGGTAGTGTGAGGGTTGCCACATGTGGTAGTGTGAGGGTTGCCTCATGTGGTAGTGTGAGGGTTGCCGCATGTGGTAGTGTGAGGGTTGCCTCATGTGGTCGTGTGAGGGTCTCATCATGTGGTAGTGTGAGGGTTACCTCATGTGGTAGTGTGAGGGTTGCCTCATGTGGTAGTGTGAGGGTTACCTCATGTGGTAGTGTGAGGGTCTCCTCATGTGGTAGTGTGAGGGTTGCCACATGTGGTAGTGTGAGGGTTGCCTCATGTGGTAGTGTGAGGTTTGCCTCATGTGGTAGTGTGAGGGTTTCCACATGTGGTAGTGTGAGGGCTGCCACATGTGGTAGTGTGAGGGTCTCCTCATGTGGTAGTGTGAGGGTTGCCACATGTGGTAGTGTGAGGGTTGCCTCATGTGGTAGTGTGAGGGCTGCCACATGTGGTAGTGTGAGGGTCTCCTCATGTGGTAGTGTGAGGGTTGCCACATGTGGTAGTGTGAGGGCCTCCTCATGTGGTAGTGTGAGGGCTGCCACATGTGGTAGTGTGAGGGTTGCCTCATGTGGTAGTGTGAGGGTTGCCACATGTGGTAGTGTGAGGGTCTCCTCATGTGGTAGTGTGAGGGTTGCCTCATGTGGAAGAGTGAGGGTCTCCACATGTGGTGGTGTGAGGGTTGCCACATGTGGTAGTGTGAGGGTTGCCGCATGTGGTAGAGTGAGGGTCTCCACATGTGGTAGTGTGAGGGTTGCCTCATGTGGTAGAGTGAGGGTTGCGTCATGTGATAGTGTGAGGGTTGCCTCATGTGATAGTGTGAGGGTTGCCACATGTGGTAGTGTGAGGGTTGCCGCATGTGGTAGAGTGAGGGTCTCCACATGTGGTAGCATGAGGGTTGCCTCATGTGGTAGCGTGAGGGTTGCCGCATGTGGTAGTGTGAGGACCTACATGTGGTAGTGTGAGGGTTGCCACATGTGGTAGTGTGAGGGTTGCCTCATGTGGTAGTGTGAGGGTTGCCTCATGTGGTAGCGTGAGGGTTGCCACATGTGGTAGTGTGAGGGTTGCCGCATGTGGTAGTGTGAGGACCTACATGTGGTAGTGTGAGGGTTGCCACATGTGGTAGTGTGAGGGTTGCCTCATGTGGTAGTGTGAGGGTTGCCTCATGTGGAAGCGTGAGGGTTGCCTCATGTAGTTGCCTGGTGTGGTACTGAGAGGGTCTCCACATGTGGTTGCCTCATGTGGTAGTGTGAGGGTTGCCATGTGTGGTAATGTGAGGGCTGCTGTGTGTGGCTGTTGTTTAAGGAGCACACATGTTAGTACATGTTTTAAGGTTGAGGATGGGAACACTCTAGGCCAGGAAGTTGAGCAGGAAATTTGCGGTCTGTGGATAGGAGGAACAAGAGTTGGGTAAAGCCTGACCCGGATGTTGAACAACTAGCCAAGTGTCACCACTATAGCAATATCACAAAAGACATGTGTCTCCATTCAAATAACAGACATGTGTCTCCATTAAAACAACAGACACGTGTCTCCATTAAAACAACAGACATGTGTCTCCATTAAAACAACAGACATGTGTCTCCATTAAAACAAAAGACATGTGTCTCCATTAAAACAAAAGACATGTGTCTCCATTAAAATAACAGACATGTGTCTCCATTAAAACAACAGACATGTGTCTCCATTAAAACAAGAGACATGTGTCTCCATTAAAACAACAGACATGTGTCTCCATTAAAACAACAGACATGTGTCTCCATTCAAACAAAAGACATGTGTCTCCATTAAAACAAGAGACATGTATCACTGTTGAAAACATGTCACCATTAGAACATAGACATGTATCACCATTAGAGTAACAAACATGTGTTACCATTAGAACAACAGACATGTGTCACCATGAGAGCATGTAATTGTTGAGTAGGGCTAACATGTCTGAATGTTCTGTGTGCAGTGACATCCATTTGCACAACTCATGTCTTGACATTCATTTAGGACCACCAGCTGTAACATTGCATTGTCCATGTTTCAGGGCATCTGTGATATTCTAATGTCCATGTTTCAGGGCATCTGTGATATTCTAATGTCCATGTTTCAGGGCATCTGTGATATTTTAATGTCCATGTTTCAGGGCATCTGTGATATTCTAATGTCCATGTTTCAGGACATCTGTGATATTCTAATGTCCATGTTTCAGGGCATCTGTGATATTCTAATGTCCATGTTTCAGGGCATCTGTGATATTCTAATGTCCATGTTTCAGGGCATCTGTGATATTCTAATGTCCATGTTTCAGGGCATCTGTGATATGAAGCTGGCCTTCCAGTGCTTCAGACTGGCACTGTCACACAACAACGACCATGCTGAGGCCTACAACAACCTGGGCGTGCTGGAGCTCAGGAGGAATCACCTGGATGCTGTAAGTCATCAGCTGGCTGACTTAAGTCATCCAGTGCACCTCACACCATCCTAAGTCATCAGCTGGCTGACTTAAGTCATCCAGTGCACCTCACACCATCCTAAGTCATCAGCTGGCTGACTTAAGTCATCCAGTGCACCTCACACCATCCTAAGTCAGCAGCTGGCTGACTTAAGTCATCCAGTGCACCTCACACCATCCTAAGTCATCAGCTGGCTGACTTAAGTCATCCAGTGCACCTCACACCATCCTAAGTCATCATCTGGCTGACTTAAGTCATCAATTGGCTGACTTAAGTCGTTTAGTTTACTACTATTTTGTGACTCAATCTACTGACTCTTGCATACATGACTGCTGACTGTTAGTTACCTGACTGCTGACTGTTAGCTACATGACTGCTGACTGTTAGCTACATGACTGCTGACTGTTAGCTACATGACTGCTGACTGTTAGCTACCTGACTGTTAGCTACATGACTGCTGACTGTTAGCTACATGACTGCTGACTGTTAGCTACCTGACTGTTGACTGTTAGCTACATGACTGCAGACTGTTAGTTGCCTGACTGCTGACTGTTAGCTACCTGACTGCTGCCACCTTGTTGTTAGGACTTGCTAGTGTACCATGAAATGTAGTGGGACATTGTTTACCACTTGGGTCTCTATAGTAGACAAATCTATTTTTAGCTTTGTTGGTAACATGAGAGGCTCTAGGCTGGCTGTACTTTAGTGCCCCCCCCCCCCCATCACCCTCACTCCCCCCCCCCATCACCCTCACTCCCCCCCCCATCACCCTCACTCCAAACCCCCATCACCCTCACTCCCCCCCCCATCACCCTCACTCCCCCCCCCCCCCTGTACCAACAGTATGTAGATGACAGCAGAGAGCTCATTTATTTCCCCATCTGTAAACTAGCTGACCTACATACTTGGACTGACACTGTCCCCAAAACCATCTGACATATCTGCCCGAATTCTTTCAAAGTGTAGACCATGTTTGTCACCCGTTTGGTGTGATGGCAGAGAGGGGCATCTGTGTTTGGTGGCAGAGAGGGGCATCTGTGTTTGGTGGCAGAGAGGGGCATCTGTGTTTGGTGGCAGAGAGGGACATCTGTGTTTGGTGGCAGAGAGGGGCATCTGTGTTCTCTAAAGCATTAAGCACTGCTAACTGTGCATGAACCTTGTGCTAAAGCCTTGAACCTTGTGCTAAAGCCTTGAACCTGGTGCTAAAGCCTTGAACCTGGTGCTAAAGCCTTGAACCTTGTGCTAAAGCCTTGAGCCTTGTGCTAAAGCCTTGAACTTTGTGCTAAAGCCTTGAACCTTGTGCTAAAGCCTTGAACCTTGTGCTAAAGCCTTGAACCTTGTGCTAAAGCCTTGAGCCTTGTGCTAAAGCCTTGAACTTTGTGCTAAAGCCTTGAACCTTGTGCTAAAGCCTTGAACTTTGTGCTAAAGCCTTGAACCTTGTGCTAAAGCCTTGAACCTTGTGCTAAAGCCTTGAACCTTGTGCTAAAGCCTTGAACCTTGTGCTAAAGCCTTGAACCTTGTGCTAAAGCCTTGAACCTTGTGCTAAAGCCTTGAACCTTGTGCTAAAGCCTGGAACCTTGTGCTAAAGCCTTGAACTTTGTGCTAAAGCCTTGAACCTTGTGCTAAAGCCTTGTACCTTGTGCTAAAGCCTTGAACCTTGTGCTAAAGCCTTGAACCTTGTGCTAAAGCCTTGAACCTTGTGCTAAAGCCATGAACCTTGTGCTAAACCTTGAACCTTGTGCTAAAGCCTTGAACCTTGTGCTAAAGTCTTGAACCTTGTGCTAAAGCCTTGAACCTTGTGCTAAAGCTTTGAACCTTGTGCTAAAGCCTTGAACCTTGTGCTAAAGCCTTGAACCTTGTGCTAAAGCCTTGAACCTTGTGCTAAAGCCTTGAACCTTGAGCTAAAGCCTTGAACCTTGTGCTAAAGCCTTGAACCTGGTGCTAAAGCCTTGAACCTTGTACTAAAGCCTTGAACCTTGTGCTAAAGCCTTGAACCTGGTGCTAAAGCCTTGAACCTTGTACTAAAGCCTTGAACCTTGTGCTAAAGCCTTGAACCTTGTGCTAAAGCCTTGAACCTTGTGCTAAAGCCTTGAACCTTGTGCTAAAGCCTTGAACCTTGTGCTAAAGCCTTGAACCTTGTGCTAAAGCCTTGAACCTTGTGCTAAAGCCTTGAGCCTTGTGCTAAAGCCTTGAACTTTGTGCTAAAGCCTTGAACCTTGTGCTAAAGCCTTGAACCTTGTGCTAAATCCTTGAACCTTGTGCTAAAGCCTTGAACCTTGTGCTAAAGCCTTGAACCTTGTGCTAAAACCTTGAACCTTGTGCTAAAGCCTTGAACCTTGTGATAAAGCCTTGAAACTTGTGCTAAAGCCTTGAACCTTGTGCTAAAGCCTTGAACTTTGTGCTAAAGCCTTGAACCTTGTGCTAAAGCCTTGAACCTTGTGCTAAAGCCTTGAACCTTGTGCTAAAGCCTTGAACCTTGTGCTAAAGCCTTGAACCTTGTGCTAAAGCCATGAACATTGTGCTAAAGCCTTGAACCTTGTGCTAAAGTCTTGAACCTTGTGCTAAAGCCTTGAACCTTGTGCTAAAGCTTTGAACCTTGTACTAAAGCCTTGAACCTTGTGCTAAAGCCTTGAACCTGGTGCTAAAGCATTGAACCTGGTGCTAAAGCCTTGAACCTTGTACTAAAGCCTTGAACCTGGTGCTAAAGCCTTGAACCTGGTGCTAAAGCCTTGAACCTTGTACTAAAGCCTTGAACCTTGTACTAAAGCCTTGAACCTTGTGCTAAAGCCTTGAACCTTGTGCTAAGGCCTTGAACCTGGTGCTAAAGCCTCGAACCTTGTGCTAAAGCCTTGAACCTGGTGCTAAAGCCTTGAACCTTGTACTAAAGCCTTGAACCTGGTGCTAAAGCCTTGAACCTGGTGCTAAAGCCTTGAACCTGGTGCTTAAGCCTTGAACCTGGTGCTAAAGCCTTGAACCTTGTACTAAAGCCTTGAACCTGGTGCTAAAGGCTTGAACCTGGTGCTAAAGTCTTGAACCTTGTACTAAAGCCTTGAACCTTGTGCTAAAGCCTTGAACCTTGTGCTAAAGCCTTGAACCTTGTGCTAAAGCCTTGAACCTTGTGCTAAAGCCTTGAACCTTGTGCTAAAGCCTTGAACCTTGTGCTAAAGCCTTGAACCTTGTGCTAAAGCCTTGAACCTGGTGCTAAAGCCTTGAACCTTGTACTAAAGCCTTGAACCTTGTGCTAAAGCCTTGAACCTGGTGCTAAAGCCTTGAACCTTGTACTAAAGCCTTCAACCTTGTGCTAAAGCCTTGAACCTGGTGCTAAAGCCTTGAACCTTGTACTAAAGCCTTGAACCTTGTGCTAAAGCCTTGAACCTTGTGCTAAAGCCTTGAACCTTGTGCTAAAGCCTTGAACCTTGTGCTAAAGCCTTGAACCTGTTGCTAAAGCCTTGAACCTGGTGCTAAAGCCTTGTACCTTGTACTAAAGCCTTGAACCTTGTGCTAAAGCCTTGAACCTGGTGCTAAAGCCTTGAACCTGGTGCTAAAGCCTTGAACCTTGTACTAAAGCCTTGAACCTTGTGCTAAAGCCTTGAACCTGGTGCTAAAGCCTTGAACCTTGTGCTAAAGCCTTGAACCTTGTGCTAAAGCCTTGAACCTTGTGCTAAAGCCTTGAACCTGGTGCTAAAGCCTTGAACCTTGTACTAAAGCCTTGAACCTGGTGCTAAAGGCTTGAACCTGGTGCTAAAGTCTTGAACCTTGTACTAAAGCCTTGAACCTTGTGCTAAAGCCTTGAACCTTGTGCTAAAGCCTTGAACCTTGTGCTAAAGCCTTGAACCTTGTGCTAAAGCCTTGAACCTTGAGCTAAAGCCTTGAACCTGGTGCTAAAGCCTTGAACCTTGTGCTAAAGCCTTGAACCTTGTGCTAAAGCCTTGAACCTGGTGCTAAAGCCTTGAACCTTGTACTAAAGCCTTGAACCTTGTGCTAAAGCCTTGAACCTTGTGCTAAAGCCTTGAACCTTGTGCTAAAGCCTTGAACCTTGTGCTAAAGCCTTGAACCTGTTGCTAAAGCCTTGAACCTGGTGCTAAAGCCTTGAACCTTGTACTAAAGCCTTCAACCTTGTGCTAAAGCCTAGAATCTGGTGCTAAAGCCTTGAACCTTGTACTAAAGCCTTGAACCTTGTGCTAAAGCCTTGAACCTTGTGCTAAAGCCTTGACCCTTGTGCTAAAGCCTTGAACCTTGTGCTAAAGCCTTGAACCTGTTGCTAAAGCCTTGAACCTGGTGCTAAAGCCTTGTACCTTGTACTAAAGCCTTGAACCTTGTGCTAAAGCCTTGAACCTGGTGCTAAAGCCTTGAACCTTGTACTAAAGCCTTGAACCTTGTGCTAAAGCCTTGAACCTTGTACTAAAGCCTTGAACCTTGTACTAAAGCCTTGAACATTGTGCTAAAGCCTTGTTGTGTTTTCAGGCCAGATCATTCTTCCAGGCGTCTTTTGTCATAGCTCCCCATCTGTATGAACCCCATTACAACTTTGCTGCGCTAGCCGATCAGGTGGGTAACACATCATTGGGTAACTAATTGGGTCACAAATCATTGGGTCACACATCATTGGGTCACACATCACTGGGTCACACATCATTAGGTCACACATCATAGGGTCACACATCATTGGGTCACATCACTGGGTAACACATCATAGGGTCACAAATCATTAGGTCACACATCACTAAGTCACACATCATTGGGTCACACATCACTGGGTCACACATCACTGGGTCACACATCATTAGGTCACACATCACTGGGTCACACATCATTGGGTCACACATCATAGGATCACACATCACTGGGTCACACATCATTGGGTCACACATCATTGGGTCACATATTTTATTGAATTACATATTACTGAGTAACATCACTATGTAAGACATCACTGTGTAAGACATCACTGTGTAACACATCACTGTGTAACACATCACTGGGTAACACATCACTGGGTAACACATCACTGGGTCACACATCACTGGGTAACACATCACTGGGTAAGACATCACTGGGTAAGACATCATTGAGGAACATATAATTGAATAACATATTACTAAATAAGCCATCACTGGGTAACATAAGTAGAAAATAAAACTAAAAAACAACTTTATAATAATAAGCTTCTAACTGCACTGAAAACAATAAATCATTAGAAGTATAATAAAAGCTGTGGCAGCATAAGGTAGCCTTTATCAAAGTAAGCTGTATTATTTTATAACTTTGAACATTCTCACTGCATATAACATTTTGTTATTATAAATGTTTTTTTTATATTTGTTTTACTTTCTCTATTTTTGCTTCAGTTGGTGACCTCTCTATTTTTGTTTCAGTTGGTGACCTCTCTATTTTTGTTTCAGTTGGTGATCTCTATATTTTTGTTTCAGTTGGTGACCTCTCTATTTTTGTTTCAGTCAACTTTGTGACCTCTCTATTTTTGTTTCAGTTGGTGACCTATTTTTGTTTCAATTGGTGACCTCTCTATTTTTGTTTCAGTTGGTGACCTCTCTATTTTTGTTTCAGTTGGTGACCTCTCTATTTTTGTTTCAGTTGGTGACCTCTCTATTTTTGTTTCAGTTGGTGACCTCTCTATTTTTGTTTCAGTTGGTGACCTCTCTATTTTTGTTTCAGTTGGTGACCTCTCTATTTTTGTTTCAGTTGGTGACCTCTCTATTTTTGTTTCAATTGGTGACCTATTTTTGTTTCAGTTGGTGACCTATTTTTGTTTCAGCTGGTGACCTCTCTATTTTTGTTTCAGTCAACTTTGTGACCTCTCTATTTTTGTTTCAGTTGGTGACCTATTTTTGTTTCAGTTGGTGACCTATTTTTGTTTCAGTTGGTGACCTATTTTTGTTTCAGTTGGTGACCTCTCTATTTTTGTTTCAGTCAACTTTGTGACCTCTCTATTTTTGTTTCAGTTGGTGACCTCTCTATTTTTGTTTCAGTTGGTGACCTCTCTATTTTTGTTTCAGTTGGTGACCTCTCTATTTTTGTTTCAGTTGGTGACCTCTTTATTTTTGTTTCAGTCAACTTTGTGACCTCTCTATTTTTGTTTCAGTTGGTGACCTCTCTATTTTTGTTTCAGTTGGTGATCTCTCTATTTTTGTTTCAATTGGTGACCTCTCTATTTTTGTTTCAGTCAACTTTGTGACCTCTCTATTTTTCAGTTGGGAGACCTACAGAGCAGCTTTGTGTCAGCCAAGCGTGCTGTTGAGTCCTTCCCTAGCCATGTGGATTCTCAAGAACTCTTGAAACAGCTCAAGCAACATTTCTCTCTCCTCTAAACCCTTATCTCTTCCAGACCCACCTTCCTTGTAGACCCCCCTCTCTAGACCCCCACTTTCTCTAGACCCACCTCTCTAGACCCCCACTTTCTCTAGACCCCCTCTCTATACCCCCACTTTCTCTAGACCCACCTCTCTATACCCCCACTTTTTCTAGATCCCTCTCTCTATACCCCCACTTTCTCTAGACCCCCCTGTCTATACCCCCATTTTCTCTAGACCCACCTCTCTATACCCCCACTTTCTCTAGATCCCCCTGTCTATACCCCCACTTTCTCTAGACCCCCCCTCTCTCTAGACCCCCCATGTCTAGACCCCCCTCTCTATACCCCCCTGTCTATACCCCCACTTTCTCTAGACCCCCCTGTCTATACCCCCACTTTCTCTAGACCCCCCTCTCTATACCCCCCTGTCTATACCCCCACTTTCTCTAGACCCCCCTCTCTATACCCCCACTTTCTCTAGACCCCCCTCTCTATACCCCCACTTTCTCTAGACCCCCCCTCTCTATACCCCCACTTTCTCTAGACCCCCCCCTCTCTATACCCCCACTTAGACCCATCCCTCCCCTACACCCAACTCCCTTCTAGTCTCCCTTATACACACCTCCCTTCCAGAGGCGTAGCGACCCTTTCCGGCGCCCGGGGACAAACTTTTCGATTTGCACCCCCCCCTCGAGATTTTGATTTGCACCCCCCCCCTTCAAACTTTTGATTTGCACCCGCCCCCCCCCCCCCCCCCCCTCGAGATTTTGATTTGCACCCCCCCTCAAACTTTCAATGTGCACCCCCCTCAACCTTCCAATTTATTTTTCCAACCCATTTTGGCGCCCCCTAAGCTCGGCACCCGGGGACATATGTCCCCCGCCCCGCCCCCCTCGCTACGCTACTGCTCCCTTCTAGACCCGCCTTTCTTCTGGACACATCTCTTTCCACTTCCTCTAGACCCACCTCTCCACTAGATACACCTTTTACAAGTCTCTTTAAGGCAAATTTGTTTATGGGGGACCACTCCGTCCATTCATTTTTTTCTTCTATATTTTATTGTACCTAGCCTGTTGTATTAAAACGGTTTTACAGACATCTGTTTACGTGTCGAGTATTTTCTGAAGTCAGTACTTAAGTTACTTTATCCCCGCTTTTTAAAAAGAATAGAGCATCAAACCCTAGTAAAAACTATTTGTTTTCTGACAGCAATACTAATACTAATAGTGACTTTCAGTTTTGTCTATCTCTAGATGCAGTAAGAATTTGACATTCCCCACTGGGATGTGTTGTAAACTATTTACAAATAATGACCCCGCCTAGAGGCGTATATCAGAGCAACCCTCAGCGCTTATATCTTAGTCATGCGCGATGCTCGTGTAGGTAGAAGCGTTTTAACACTCTGAGATAAAAATAGCTATCCCGTTTTATGCTAGCCTAACGTGCTCAACACTGCAACTCATCTGCTCCAGATACACGGGGTTTAACTCACTTCTCCCCCTCCTCATGACGTCACGTTTTAGGGAGCAGCCTAGAAAAAAATTCCGCATTCTTCAAACATGAAACGACCACTCTGATTGGTTAAGTGTGGTTTATCATCCACTGCATACACAGCGGTGTAAACCATATGCTACGTTCTTTAATATTTGCAACAACAGACACATTTAAAAAAAATAATATGATTAAAGAAAACATTCGGAATTACACTTTTAAAGTTTTCAAAGCATTTATTTTTAGATTCATAGTTGATAGTAGGTTTTCGACCAATGAAAACTTCCGTTATGCATGGTCTTGTTATTTGCATTTGGATTACACCTTTCCAAATAGGGGCATGTTGACTTAACGTGAATGGGAAACACCGTTAATTTGATCACTTTTTAGTGATCGGATAGATCAATACTTCTTTTTGGCGTAGTTTTATTATTTTCGCCGTATTCCTTGCTTAGCATGAGTGGGGTGTGGATGAATCGGAGAAGTAAACTTGCATTTCTCTTTTTCTCCACCATATTTCAGCCCTCTCTTGCATGACCTAGATCTAGATCTAGTCTAGTTCTTAGTGTGCCCGCTGTGTTGTAGGCCGACAAGCGCGCGCGTTGTTGTCATTGGATTCTTTTAGCCCATTTGGTGTACGATGACGTTTGCATCACAGATTTTACCACTGGAAATTTAATTCTCGACTAGAATCTAGATCTAAATCTAGATCAAGTGATATCAAAAACATTTCTTGTGTTATTATAGGATTACCAACAATTTGATCTTGCATGAAGTGGTTCAGTTGTTAAACTCGTTAGACATGTAGACTAGACTTAAAAGTGTGCATTTTCGTCCGACTGCTCTGTACTTCAGTGGAGATAATTTTTAATTATAATTAATAATTAAGCTTGTTGATTACGCATATTTCCCTTTTGGATTACTATTCTAGAATCTAGAGCGTAAATCTAGATTCTATAAATCTACATTAAAAACCATGTCGTCTGCGTACCATTATGTCGCCGACGGCGAGGTTGTGGATGGTTCATGGGAGCTGAATATTCTCGTCACGGATTTACAGCTGGAGAGAACTTTACGAGTAATGGGCGACACCCATATTGGAGGTGTTATGGTCAAACTGGTTCAGGCTTTAGGTACGTATGTATGTGGATATCTAGAGATCTAGAATCTAGTTGTAGGTAGATCTAGACCTCTTTTACTATTCTATAGGCCTATTTTACTGACAGGCCCTTTTGTTGGGAGGCTATAGGTACTAGTACTATAGACTACTATAGGACAGGGTCTATTGTATTTGTCACTGGCCTTTTTGATACAGCAAGTTTTATATTTCAATAGCATTAGCCATGGTAATAGTTGCATTTAAGAGGGAAAGATTCTCAAGTCAAAGAGTTCATTGTTCACATGTTGCCAATATGTAATAATATTGTTACATCTTGTGGGTAGGCCTACTACAAAATATTCTAACCTTTTTCACACTAAATAGCGGAGAAATTAACATAAAAAATATTAAAAATTGTATTTTGGTAAAATGTTTGAACATGAACATTCTTTTTTGAAAGTCAAGTACATCAGAAACTTTTTATGAATCATCAATGAGACAAGCATAACTATCATCATTTGGATTGCTTTCTGTTGAAAATTAAAGAAAATGACTTATTGTGGGAAATGATATTTGACGAGATTATAATAAATATATGATATTTTGCTAACGCACATAGCCACAAAATTAACATTGAGCATGTGTTCTTAAAAAACAAAACAATTGAGTAGTGTACTTAAAAGAGCTGGTGTGAAGAACATATTTGTTGTTGCTGCCACAATACTATATTATCCCTCCTATCTCCTCTCCACACATGCTCAGCATGCTGAGAGGTCGTCTTGTATTTCATAGCTAAATTTTCATGTGTTTTTACAGCACTTTAAAAATTAAAAAGAGGTGTGAATGATTTAACCTAAAGCAGTTCATTTGTTCCTGTTGTTTTGTGAACTTATTGAACTGGTTGTACTAAACTAAACCGGTTGGTAGTGTAACCATTAGTTATTTAACTTTTTAAAGAGCCACCAGGACTGGTGTGTTGACTTACTTAGAAATTTTGGTTTTTAGTTTTAATTCCCTAATGCTTTGAAATTCTACTGAAATATCGCACCACCATTTAAAAGATGCTTTTCGTTGTTTTCAGATATTGCACTTGATTGGTCAGATCATGCACTGTGGTGGCCAGAGAAAAATAAATGGCTTCACCGTGCCCGGTCCACTCTTGATCAATATAATGTCCAGGCAGATGCTAAGCTGCAGTTCACGCCAATGCACAAAAACCTGAAGGTCCAGTTGCCAGACCTCCAGGTGCTGGAGCTAAGTGTGGACTTCTCCATCAAGTGTTTCACTGCTGTGGTGCAGACATGTAAAGAATTAGGTCAGTACTCTTAAGCTAGCTGTGTGATTGTAAGACAAATAAAGTCACAGAACAAAATGCATAGGAAAAAGTCTCAAATGTGTATTTGCATGGAATTTATTAATACTTTCATGTATTAAATACTCAGAAAGTGCAAATCAACTGATGATAAATTAAATATAATGTATCATGCGTAGGTATACATATAGTAATATTTATAACCAAGTATGTAAAAATATTACGTAATTTAAGTATCTAGGCTTTTGATTCTGCGATACATATAATATTTAATAGGATTTAATAGAATGTTTAGACCTCCGTTTTCATAAATACTATTTTTAAATTGGCGTGAAATTGCATAAAGTAAGATGTAGTTAGTTTGACTTGAGGTCCTCAACTCATTGCAACAGTATTTCAACCACTTAAGTACTGCCCATATTTATCACGCTCATTACATATTTATTCATTTATTCAATTACGGTAACAATAGTAGGCACGGAAGCCTTTTTTTCACATTGGCCGTTTTAAATAAAAAAATAAAAACAACAATTTAATAACAGCATTTAAAAAAGCAAAAGCATAGTAACGACATAGCAGTAACATAGCACTAAAAATGTGGAATAAAGAAATAATATTACAAGATGAGATAAAATAAGAATATAATAGATGAATGAGAAATGTTTCAATGAGTCAGTTAGAGAGGTCATTAAATAATTGTTGTTTTAGTTTACTTTTGAATATATTTTCAGATCTAGATAGTTTTATTTTGTTAAGAAGATTGTTCCACAAATTAGAACCAGAGTAGGCGAAGCTATTTTTTGGAAAAAAGTTGTATATGGGATCGTAAATTAAGACAATTTAATTTTGTGTTAAAAGAAAATAGGTCTGATAAGTAAGAGGGGGCTGTTTCGTGGAATATTTTATGTAAGAAAATTGCTGTAGTATATATAATATTTTTATTTAATGGAAGTATATTAGTTGTAATAAAAGAATCAAGCCAGTAATCAGTTTTATAGCCCTTTTTGGTAGTGAAAGTAGAGGACACTACTTAGTTATAAAGCTGCCGCTCCACACTACAGAAGCATAATCCAACCTAGATTGAATAAAAGCTTCATATAAAACCAGCCTGCTCCTATAGTCCAGAAAGTTCGTTATCCTTGCTAGTTGAAAAGTTGTCTTTAATAGGGACATTTTTTTTAGAAGATTGATATGACCGGACCAAGTGAGGTTGTGATCTATAACAAATCCTAGGCATTTGTAACTGTTAACCTGTTCAATGTTTGTATTGTCTATAATAATACATTATGTGGTGGAAGGAAGACTAAGGCGTTTCTGAAGTCGTAATAATCATTGACTTGGTTTTATCGGGGTGATGTTTCATTTTGTTAAATTTTGTCCAAGTAGCAAGCTGATTGGCACATGTTTGAAGTTTGTAACTTAAACTAAGTGAGTCAGCATTGCCTGCAAAGACATGTAACGAAGTATCATCAGCGAACATCTCGCACTGACCTGCGTTGATGTGCAATGCAAGATCATTAATGTATAATGAAAAAAGTAAAGGACCTAAGATTGAGCCCTGTGGAACCCCTATATTAACATATTTCTGTGAAGAGATGGTATTAAGGTGAAATACGTTGAGATCTGTTAGATAAAAAGGAGTGAAGTAACCTAATTGTAAATTCGTGGAATTTGTAAGGAATTAGTTTTTTAAGAAGTATGGTGTGATCAATAGAATCAAAGGCTTTTCTGAAATCGACAGCAGAAAGCCGACTAGGTACTATTGCTGTCATTAACGCAAAACATAAACAACACACAATGTGGACAAACAAGGCCAACTGAGGAGAAGCCTACTGAGGTGCTTTTATTTGAGTTTGTGTTGTGTTTTGTTCTGTTCTGTTCCCAAGTTGGTTCATTTAAAAAAGATTTACTGTGGCGGAGCACTGGCATGCAGCTAGAGTGTATATATATATATATATATATATATATATATATATATATATATATATAACCTCTCTTCATACAAAGCAATATGTGTGTCTGTTTGTCTTTCATACATTACTACACCTTTCAACCACACGCCATGAAACCTTAGGAAGTTGTTGAGAATACTCCTGGATAGATATCTGGGAAATAAAAATCCAAAATAGTAGGGGTGGCGCCCTGGCAGGGCTCGATTTGATTCTTCTATAATATGACACCGTTCATCTGATCACCATGACTTTAGTTTTAAACAGTGCGATAGACAATGGATAAGATTGGGGTGTTATAGTTGTTAAGTAAAATGAATCAGGTGTTTGGCGTCTTGAGCTATCCATTTAGCACTATGGTTAGTTTTAAGGAGCACTGTACAATACTGACACTGTGACACACAACATACAATGATTAAACCTCGCCAAGGGCCGAACGTGGCGCCCCTGCTGTAGTGTAATCGAGGGCTTGTGGGAGTGCCCATGCTTTGCCACTGTGTGAACCTCCGCAATATTCTTTTTGGGTGATAGAAGAGAATTTTACTTGCCATAAAAGAACTATGAATTCTTGTGAAATAAACACTTATTTCTCAAAATCAGGTATTAAAAAACATTATGGAGAAAATTTTTAAAAAAAAAGCCACGTTCCAACCCACATGACACCATGATCCCCAAACTGGACCCCACACTCACCCTGCTTCCCCCTTACCAACATGACAAAAAACCCATTATACCACAAAGGGTAACCCAAAGCTCACTCAATCAACCCCACAATCCACACCCAGTCATTCATCCCACACCATTCACACGATTCATGATAACCAAAGCACACATACAAAAAGGCAACACTGTGTAGATCAAAACCCACACCACCTGACACAGTATGACACCATGAACAACACCCAGAACCAAACCTCAATAGCCCTGGTCCACATGTCACCACACTCTTTGAATGCCACCCAACAACTGAGAACCACAACATGGGGTCAGTTCGTTACTTATAATAAGACAATGTGATGCAAGTAATGCATGGCATGTATTGTTTACTTTTATGTTTCTAGATTCTATAGCGATGAGAGCTTATATTGTGTGTGTGTGCATGCTAAATTTAAAAAATATTTTGCATTGTTTCTTTTTTCCAGGAATTCGTCATCCAGAGGAGATGTCATTTATGAGAAAATGGGATAGGGATGACCTAAAGAAAGTGGCAAAGGAAGTCCACAAAAGAAAAAAGCGTGGTGACCCTGACCAGAATGGTCCACTCAGCTCCAATGGTACACATCATAACTCATCAGGGAGCATAGAAGGGGGAAAACTCAGCCCATATCCAAACAGAAGTCCCATGGGTCCATCACCAACTGTAAGTAAGCACAAGAGCTCTCTCCCTCACCCTAAACATCCAGTCCATATCTCACTGACCACCTCAGTCCATATCTCACTGACCACCTCAGTCCATATCTCACTGACCACCTCAGTCCATATCTTACTGACCACCTTTGCATATCTCACTGACCATCTTTGCATATCTCACTGACCACCTCTGTCCATATCTTACTGACCACCTCAGTACACATCTCACTGACCCACCTTTGCATATCTCACTGACCACCTCTGTCCATATCTCACTGACCACCTCTGTCCATATCTCACTGACCACCTCTGTCCATATCTCACTGACCACCTCAGTCCATATCTCACTGACCACCTCAGTCCATACCTCACTGACCACCTCTGTCCATATCTCACTGACCACCTTTGCATATCTCACTGACCACCTCTGTCCATATCTTACTGACCATCTCAGTCCATATCTCAATGACCCACCTTTGCATATCTCACTGACCACCTCTGTCCATATCTTACTGACCACCTCAGTACACATCTCACTGACCATCTCAGTCCATATCTCAATGACCCACCTTTGCATATCTCACTGACCACCTCTGTCCATATCTCACTGACCACCTCAGTCCATATCTCACTGACCACCTCAGTCAATAACTCACTGACCACCTCTGTCCATATCTTACTGACCACCTTTGCATATCTCACTGACCACCTCTGTCCATATCTCACTGACCACCTCAGTCCATATCTCACTGACCACCTCAGTCCATATCTCACTGACCACCTCAGTCCATATCTCACTGACCACCTCAGTCCATATCTCACTGACCACCTCAGTCCATATCTCACTGACCATCACTTTTGTCCTAACATCAGAGCACTTTGGCCAGGCCAGGGAACACTTCCTACATGTCCACATCCAGTTCAACCTACAACACTTTCAATGGGACCATGTCACCTGGCTCCATCAGTAATCTGGCCTTTGAAAATGTCTGGGAAAACTCATTAGCCAACTCACCCCATATGCCAACAAAGGATGCTAGCCAATACTTGTACAGGCCTAGAAACTTTGCAGAGAAGGCTAGAATCAATTGCGCGTAAGTTTTTATTTGATGACATTGATTGCAGTGTGGCTTATTTGTAGCTAACCAATTGTTTAAGATATGCTGAGAGTGGTTTGCCCTTGTTACAGGTGGCTTGACTCCTCCACCTCACTGATGGAACAAGGCATTAAAGAAAATGATTTCATTATGCTCAAGTTCAAGTTTTATAACTATTACGACCTCAACCCTAAGGTAATATTTGTATTTTTGATCTGGTCAGTCAGCAATAGGCATTTGACCACAATGATAGTTTACCATACTCTTCCACTCAGTGTTTGCACAGACTGTTATTGTATAGAATGAATACTTGAGTACTGTTTCAGTTTGTTGACAGAAAAATTTCATACATAAGATCTTATACTGGGAGAAATTTCAATTTTTGAAGGACCTCTGATATCCAGAAGTGGTACTTCACTCCATTTCAGGTTTATGAGCCGACCCGCGGCGTAATATACGCTGCTATTTAGTTTTTTTTCTACGTTTCAGTAATTCATAATTTGTGAATTCGACAGTACCAATGCTGCCACTGAAAATATTTGCTTTAAAACACTAAAACCCTCTCCTCCTTTCCCCCTTCCCCCCCCGCCCCCCCCCCCCCCCCCCGCAACAGCAGCTTGTTCTTAGTTACCTCCCTGAGTTTAAAATCGTTTCAAACTAAATTATCTGCCCCTAATAGCCGTCACTAAACCCGGCTCTACGATTTTAAACATTTAGCGTGAACCACAGCTCACCAGACCATATGGGGGTGGTAGCAATATGCCTAGAGAGAAAGAGAGGGGGCTACTAGGCGCGCTTACAGCTTAGCCTGGTGATTTCTATACCTCCAAGAAGAGAATTATATATATAGATGCTATTTTCAATTTCTTTCAAACTTTTCATGTAGGTCAGGGCCACATGACTAGGTATTGTGACATTAAATGAGACTTTATGTTTACTTATAATTTTAATAAAATAATCAATCTCTTTTACAAAGCACTAATTTTCCACACATATTTTTAGTTTATTTGGTGCAAAATTCTTTTTTTTAACATGATTCTACTCTATTTGTAAAAAAAATGTAACAATAAGAATTTTAGGGGGGGATCACTCCTTTTTTACTTTCTCACAAAGTATAGAGGAAGTATTGTAATCGTGGAAAAAATTGAAATCGGGATGTTCACAAATCTCAAGTCGGAAAGCATAGTTTTGCAAATTGTGTTTCTGTGAACACGATAACTTGAGTACCGTTACAGCTAGGTTGATGAAATTTCATATATAAGTATTATATCAAATTTGTAGTTCTTTACCAACTTTTCAGCGATTTCAGATAACCGGAAGTGGAAATTATTTTACTTTTGGTTTTTCAAAAGCCTTTAACTTGAGTACTGTTTAGATAGATAGATGAAATTTCACATTTAAGTAAAAGATTTAATTTTTGCCTTCTGTACAGTTTTGAGTAATTTCAGTTTTCCAGAGTAGTACTTCACGCTATTTCCTATTTCTCAAAAAATGCATATGAATTTATAAAGTATTATTAATCCGCACTATTATACACACATTGTTTGTTATTCACTTGGTGCACAATTCTTTTTTCTGAGATTCCAAATAAGTTGATTAAAAATCATGTCTATCCGAAGTTGCCATTCCCCCTATTGTTATATAAGTGTATATTCGAGAAAGTTTAGGGGAGATCACTGCTGCATTATTTATATTTTTAAAAGAAATTGTTACCTAAACATTAAATTTGTATTGAGTTTGATTACCATTTCAATAAGCACTATTAATTCTCCTTTTTGGATCTTGTAATTATATTTGCTGTTATTCATTATGTTATTTTTGTTTTAGTATGATGCCATAAGGATCAACCAGATTTATGAACAGGCCAAGTGGTCACTCATCTCTGAGGAAATAGATTGTACTGAGGAAGAGATGATGGTGTTTGCTGCTCTCCAGGTAAGCTCTCAAAGATGTGTGCTCATTTCATTAGCATCTTCAATAGATCAGATACCTTGACTAGCACTGTTGTAATCCCTCTTACATCAATGTGACATGGAAGTATTGTGTTGTGGCCTCTAATGTGACATGAAAGTATTGTGTTGTGGCCTCTAATGTGACATGAAAGTATTGTGTTGTGGCCTCTAATGTGACATGAAAGTATTGTGTTGTGGCCTCTAATGTGACATGAAAGTATTGTGTTGTGGCCTCTAATGTGACATGAAAGTATTGTGTTGTGGCCTCTAATGTAACATGAAAGTACTGTGGCCTCTAATGTGACATGAAAGTACTGTGGCCTCTAATGTGACATGAAAGTATTGTGGCCTCTAATGTAACATGTAAACTTTCAGTACCAAGTGAGAATACAGTCTGGCCAGCCCCAGCCTGACTTTGACCTGACCCAAAACAACCAATCAGAAGACGATGAAATTGATGCTGCTCTTAAAGACCTTCAGGAGTCTCTAGAGGGGTCGGCCATTTCCTCTCATGGTGACATAACTCACATACCTGAGTTATCAGACTACATCAGAGTTTTCAAGTGAGTGACACCGCTGTTGGCATCCTTAACTGACATACTTCATATCACTAGCAGGGATGTGACTTTTCCGAATTTTAGCGGAAATCCGATTTTTCCGTTTCAGTTGCGATTTTCCTCCGCTGATTTAATTTTCGCCGAATTTTTTCCGCCGACTTTCGATTTTTGTCGATTTTTTACGAAATTTTAAAAAAGTAGGAAAAAAAACGGAAATGTCTTCTACCGAAAGGGCCAACATGCTCATTCCACTTATTCGTATTTAAATTTAAATTGAGAACTACTGTACTATACTTAGGTCAAACGGACACTCGAATATGCGCATTTCTTTTCGATTGGTCAATTGCGCTAGGTCTGACAGTGCTAGATCAAGATTAAATGTAGATTAAGATTCGGAATTTCGGCGGACTTTCGAATTTTTCAAAGCACACTTTTTTTAGTCCAAATTTTCCGCTATTTTCAGTTTACTATTTATCAAAAACACGGGGAAAAGGTAATCTAAAATAATGCAGTTATTCAAATGAAACTGACATCTCTTAAGCCTGGTTATCTAGCTATCGATATAGCCTAATTTACCTATCGGTATTTTAACCCGCCTAAATCTAGAGTTTCTCTCTGATTCTATTTTATTTCGCAATCTCAAATTAATATTGAAATCCTTGCAAAATGACTAGACTAACCCGCCCCACCCCGTAGCAACGGTGGCTCTTGTGACCTCACCTTGACCCCCAAGTACGTGTTCGGTACTGCTTGTGGAAAAAAATGACGTCACAGTCAATTTCAAATAGCTGTTCCTGCAATACGTATGCTGCGTAGGCCTACAGATTAAAAAAAAAAAACTCAACGTGACTACGACCGTGTCTTGTTTGTGGAAGAAAAAATATGTTCAGAGGTCTTCCATAAATAACGTCACACTCGTAAGATAGTGTAACGTCATATTTTTGTATTTTAAAAAAGTAACGTTAGAAACAACTGCATTTTAGCCGCTATTAAAAAACTGTTGTAAAGCATTTTAATAGATTGAATAAAATACCCTTTGTTGGTCGACCTCAGACAATATTTTAGAAAAAAATCGATGTTTTAAAAAAAAATCAAATTAATTTCGAGGGGGGGGGAGCATTTGATGACTGAGATGTGACGTCATTATAGGGGGTGGGGGAGTCTGGTTTTTGTAGGAGAGAGGGGAGGTAAATATCGTCAAAAAAAACCGTGGATGACCTAACAATTTACATTTATTCCAAAAAAACATAAATATCCATATGGCTTGGCTATCAAAATGATTAACTTTGGTTCACACGTCAGACCCTTTCTAATTTTAGCTGGTCCATCTCATTTTTCATCACATGAACCTAAAACTTTCAAATTATAACTAATCTTAATCTAGGCTCTTTACAGTTGAAGACAAATATTTTTACCAATCCAATCTTTAAAAGAATATAAGGCATTAGGCCCCCTATTTAAAATTGATAACAGGAGTACATCTAGAATGTACACTGGATTAGTACAGTTTAAATTAGCTTAATGATAAAATAAAACTTAATTGCTACTTTTTTTCCATTGTAATTTTTAAAAAGTTGTTTATAAGGGGTAACATAAACTTCTTGTATTAAAAATATTAACTTCATTAAACAATTAATTAGTACAGTAACAGTATGAAGCTGCTTAACTGCGGTATGAAGCTGCTTAACCGTGTTAAAAAGTAGATAAAACATATTGAGTTATTATCCGAACAAAATTTCCTAATTTTTTTTCCTGATCTGGTCACATCTCTGTACTAGGATAAGCTATCTCTATCTATACAATATATATAAAAGAAAGTATGTTTGTCCTTTATGCATTACTACACCGTTCACCCGATCACCATGAAACTTTGGGAAGTTGATGAGAGTACTCCTGGAAGGGTTTCTACTGGGAGATTTTTACATTTTTTTGCAAGGGTGGCATTCCAGCAGGGCGTGATTCAATTATTCTCTATATGTGGTATATATTTTTAAAAAGTCAATTGTTTGTTAACTTGACACTTGGTTTAGCTGACATTGACTCTTTAGATTTCCTTACTAATTTTGATTTAAAATCTTTTTATAAATCTCTACAGACCAAAAAAGTTAACACTAAAAAGTTACAAGAGGTACTTTGCTACATTCAAAGACACTTTCATAGCATTCTATCGCAGTAAGGAGGAGTCTCATGGTCCTCCGGTCATGGCAAAGATTGATGTTAGGGGTAAGTCTTGGTGTTGTAAGTCTGTTGATGTGAGTGGTGAGACGTGCTGAAATATATGTGTTTAGGTTGTATATGTTGTAATTCCCACCTTTAGAATGTTTAGGTTATGTATGTTGTAATCCCCCACCATTTGAATATATAGATTGTGTATGTTGTAATCCCCACCATTTGAATGTTTAGGTTGTGTATGTTGTAATCCCCACTATTTGAATGTTTAGGTTGTAAATGTTGTAATCCCCACCATTTGAATATATAGATTGTGTATGTTGTAATCCCCACTATTTGAATGTTTAGGTTGTGTATGTTGTAATCCCTACTATTTGAATGTTTAGGTTGTGTATGTTGTAATCCCCACTATTTGAATGTTTAGGTTGTGTATGTTGTAATCCCCACCATTTGAATATATAGATTGTGTATGTTGTAATCCCCACCATTTAAATATATAGATTGTGTATGTTGTAATCCCCAAAATTTGAATGTTTAGGTTGTGTATGTTGTAATCCCCACCATTTGAATATATAGATTGTGTATGTTGTAATCCCCACCATTTAAATATATAGATTGTGTATGTTGTAATCCCCAAAATTTGAATGTTTAGGTTGTGTATGTTGTAATCCCCACCATTTGAATATATAGATTGTGTATGTTGTAATCCCCACCATTTAAATATATAGATTGTGTATGTTGTAATCCCCAAAATTTGAATGTTTAGGTTGTGTATGTTGTAATCCCCACCATTTGAATATATAGATTGTGTATGTTGTAATCCCCACCATTTAAATATATAGATTGTGTATGTTGTAATCCCCAAAATTTGAATGTTTAGGTTGTGTATGTTGTAATCCCCACCATTTGAATATATAGATTGTGTATGTTGTAATCCCCACCATTTGAATGTTTAGGTTGTGAAGCCCAGCCAGATGTCAACTTGTCCTCTCACAAATATGGCATCAAGTTGTTTGTTCCTGAGCCAGATGGCATGAGTGAGATTTGTCTGAGATTTGACATGGTAAGTCATTTAGTACATGTAAACATGGTCTTCATCAGTGCTAGCTATTTCAGGTTTAATTAAATGTACAAAGAAATTTTAACAATGTCATATGACCTATTCATTAGTTCACTATCCATACATTAGAAATGTGTTTAAGAATGATCTTACTACCTTATTAATTATAAATTCCAAAAATGTGCTAAGAACTGAGCTGATCAATTACAGGAAGATCATTATTGTCGCTGGATGGCTGCCTGTAAACTGGCCTCCAAGGGTAAAACAATGGCTGACAGCTCTTACGAAGCTGAGGTCCAGGCTCTGCAGTCTTTCCTTGGCCTTCAGCACACGGCCGTCTCACCCTCCTCCCAGTCTTCTCAGGGCTCTACAGCCATTGAGATACAGCCAGAGGACTACATCGCAGCTAGATTTTTCAAAAAGCTCAAAGGCAAACCTGTAAGGTTCATTTCTCTCATAATGTCTGTTTTCTATCAGTCTGTGTTGTCCTGATGTCTGTCAATGTCTCAGCAGAGATATTAATTTTTCCGCTTTTTTTTTTTTTTTTGGAAAGCCACCTTTTCAATTTAAGAAAATGTTTTTGGCTAAAAGCATCAGAAATATTCTGCTGGGGAAAAAAATTGACTTTTTGCCTGACATTTTTCAAAAAACATTGTTAATCTTTTCCGCGATTTATTTTTTCCATTTTGTCAGAAATAAAGAAGCTAATTTATTTGGTCTATTTATATAAACAAGCTCGTGTCAGGTTTTGAAAAATGTCAGAAACTTAATTTTAGAAGTAAATCTTTTCTACGATGTCTATATTTTCCTACTAACAAAAACACCTCTTAAGTGATTTTACTTAATTTTTTCCCCAACGCAAGCACAATTACACGGGTCTACACTTACACAGGTCTACAATTGCTCAATTTTACCCATTATTTTTCATAAAGCTAGTTAGACATCGCATGACAAAAACAAATGGGCGGCTGTTGACAACTATTTTATGACATTTGTGGTGCGACTGTTAATGACAATATGGGTTGGTGAGTAAACTTGGGCTTTTAACATGTCTTGATCGATAGTCAGGCGCTTGGCTGCGCAATATAGGCCACATCACTTATTTCTGTTTTTACGGAGCAGGTTTTTTTTCCAATTTAGAAAAATTGTCAGCCAAAAACAAAAACAATATATTTCTGCTAATCATTGGTTTCCAAATAAATAAAAAAAACTAAGGTGGAAAGTTTTGCGCCAATCTATTTTGTATAGCCAAAAAGAAAAGGCAAATCAATTTGAAGGACTATTATAAATGTGAAACAGAAATTGTAGAGAAATGCACTGTTCACATAATATTACTTTTACTTAACTTTACTGACACTTTCTGCACCACGTGACTCCATAACACACACCACACTCATCAATTTCCTGGGAGACTGACATTTTCCCAAAAAACACTTGCCCGAATGCCAATTGCCTGAAGGTTGATTTCAGGCATTTGTCGCATTCAGGCAAGTGTCCATTCTGGCATTTGTCGCATTTGGGCAAGTGCCCATTCGGGAAATTGGCCTTCGGTCAAACGGCTTTTGGGCAAGTGTCTTTCAGGAATTCATCCTGATGTTGTCCTGATGTTGTCTGTCAATGTCTGTTGTCCTGATGTTGTCTGTCAATGTCTGTTGTCCTGATGTTGTCTGTCAATGTCTGTTGTCCTGATGTTGTCTGTCAATGTCTGTTGTCTGTCAATGTCTGTTGTCCTGATGTTGTCTGTCAATGTCTGTTGTCCTGATGTTGTCTGTCAATGTCTGTTGTCCTGATGTTGTCTGTCAATGTCTGTTGTCCTGATGTTGTCTGTCAATGTCTGTTGTCTGTCAATGTCTGTTGTCCTGATGTTGTCTGTCAATGTCTGTTGTCCTGATGTTGTCTGTCAATGTCTGTTGTCCTGATGTTGTCTGTCAATGTCTGTTGTCTGTCAATGTCTGTTGTCCTGATGATGTCTGTCAATGTCTGTTGTCCTGATGTTGTCTGTCAATGTCTGTTGTCCTGATGATGTCTGTTGTCCTGATGTTGTCTGTCAATGTCTGTTGTCCTGATGATGTCTGTCAATGTCTGTTGTCCTGATGTTGTCTGTCAATGTCTGTTGTCCTGATGTTGTCTGTCAATGTTGATATTGTCCTCTTGTTCCAGCTTGTCAGTAGAATAATGGAAGCCCATGCCAGTGTCCAGGACATGTCTTTGATTGAATCAAAACTAGCCTACATCAAAGCTTGGCAGTCTTTACCTGAGTATGGCATCACCTACTTTAGAATTAAAATGACCAATAGCAAAAAAGAAGTAAGTACCAGTTTCTTACTATATTGACTGGACCAACCAAACTAATGTAACCAATTGACTGGACCAACCAAACTAAAGTAACCAATTGACTGGACCAACCAAACTAATGTAACCAATTGACTGGACCAACCAAACTAATGTAACCAATTGACTGGACCAACCAAACTAATGTAACCAATTGACTGGACCAACCAAACTAATGTAACCAATTGACTGGACCAACCAAACTAATGTAACCAATTGACTGGACCAACCAAACTGTTTCCTCCAGGAGTTGATGGGTGTGGCTTGTAACCGAATCATCCGTATGGAGCTGAGCAGTGGGGACTCCCTCAAGACTTGGCGCTACAACACCCTGCAGTCCTGGCATGTCAACTGGGAGGTGGAGAATGTCATTCTGGACTTTGACACAGAGAAAGTCATGTTTGCCTCCATGGAGTGCTCTTGTAAAACAATTCATGAATTTATTGGCGGCTACATCTTCCTCTCAATGAGGTCGACAGATAAGAACCAATCGTTGAATGAAGAAATGTTCCACAAATTGACAGGAGGCTGGCATGAGTGACCTGGGCCGTGAGTGACCTGGGCCGTGAGTGACCTGGGCCGTGAGTGACCTGGGCCGTGAGTGACCTGGGCCGTGTTTGCTTTCACCTGTCAGGGCTGGCAGGAGCCAGAGCTTAAGTAGCAGCTTAGCTGTGAGTTAAGGTGTCCTCATACCCAGGCTAACAGGCTGTGTACACTTGTAGCCAGACTTGACACAGAGCACCCTTACACAGATAGCTGTAACAAGAAAAACTTCTATGTTTCTAATGTTTCTTTGTATGCCAGTAGAGGCTTGTCCCATTCAGTCAAACTTGTGTTTATGTCCTGGTGCTATTATTAAGAGCCAATGGAAAATCACTTTACATTTAATGGTAGTAGAGTCTGATGGTTGCTAAGTATTCTTATTGCCTATGCCACTAAATAATTATGCATAATTTTCTTTCACTTACAAACATTTTAATATGCAAATTGCCTTACATTTTTTGTTTTAAATTGATTTACAAAAATGAAGCAATTCTATTATGTTATGCCTAACCTGTTATATTAGTCCCTTCTGGTAACATGGGTTGGTGTGTGGGTCAGTACACATGGGTCAGTGTGTAGATCCTGTGTATGGGTCAGTACACATGGATCAGTGTGTAGATCCAGTGTATGGGTCAGTACACATGGGTCAGTGTGTAGATCCTGTGTATGGGTCAGTACACATGGGTCAGTGTGTAGACCCTGTGTATGGGTCACTTGTTGGCCGTGTCATATTGTTTTCTATGTTTATCAGCAATGTATCACCCAGTGAATGATATCAATGCTCTTATTTCACCTTCTGTGATATGACCTTTAACCTGGCCTGTAGATCAAACTTGTACCTACAGTGGAACCAGCACAGCAGTTTTGTTTACTTTGCTACAGTAGCTGTACACAGAGAGATGACATGTGAGTTAGGGCTAGTCCACAAATATACTTCTTCAACATTTTACTCTATAGACCAAATGTTGCTCCTAAAAAACCAATGTGTTCTGGGAGAAAAAATATTGGCTGGATGGCATTATTTGAGCCTCCAGCAGCCTGCCATGTAGCACATCATCAGCCTAGGTGTCATGCCATACCAGAAAGATTGTATTTGACTCACTGAAGCTTTAATTATGGTGACCAAACTAGAAGAGATACAATGTTGTCATGTGACACTTAGAAGTTTCTTGGTTGAGAGTTAGTCAAGGACATGACTTGTTTAAATAGCAGTCATGTGACTGGTGGTAGTCATGTGACAACTTTAGACTGGTGCTACTAGTTGATTGTAATAGAAATTATCCCCAATTAGAGGAGATATAAGTTGACTGTAATTTTATGTAATTTATTCTTATAATGTGTACAGTTATTTATTTATTCTTATGATTGAACTGGGCATGTAGCTTAGCCAGCTGATGTGTAGCTAGCAACCTGCCTTAGGATTAAGGTAAGCTGAGAGTCTGGCTTAGGATTATGGTTATCTGACAGCCTGGCTAATGTGTTGACTTGTAAATTATTGTAACCACTGTCAGTAATGAGTTTATGAGAGATGAATTGACTGCATTTCTCTATTGCATGTGTTAGACTGTATCTAGTTTTCTTTAGCAACCACGGACCATGCATACAGATGTCAAATTGTATTCAGCTATTATTACTATTCTATCCATTTATTTTACAGCTATACAGCAGATTAAATCATGCTTACAACACAATCAGTTTGATATATTATTTGGCCACATTGTTGTATTATATAACTTAATCCTTAGATAGTCATGAAATATCTAGAGATATCTGTCAACACCCTAGAATGTGGAGGAAATAATCAATCACTTGGTTAGAGCACAACATTATGTGTGACACCACTTTAGTAGTCTGACAATCCACTCTGTGACACTCCACTCTATGAGCTCTGTGACACTCCACTATACAAGGTTTGTGACACTCCACTATACAAGGTCTGTGTCACTCCATTCTGTGACACTCCACTCTACAAGGGTCTGCGACACTCCATCATACTATATAATTTGGTCCTCTGCCACACAGCTGTGACAAGTGACCCACCTCCACACTGTCATGTGACAAGTGACCCACCTCCACACTGTCATGTGACAAGTGACCCACCTCCACACTGTCATTTGACAAGTGACCCACCTCCACACTGTCATGTGACTTAAGGACCTCAGAGAATGAACTAATAAAAAAAGTTCAATCTGCTACACTAGTTAGATAGAGGTGACTGACTGCAGTCTGTATATCAATATTTTGTTTAAAAATTACAGAAGTTTCCTTGGACGCTGTTCAGTAAATGAAACCATCATTGAAGGAATGAACAAAAATAATTCATTGGCTATCACGCTGTCTAGGCCACCAAGTCACTTCTTGTTTAAGCTAGAAACACATTTTCCTAGTGCTTCTTTTACATTCTTATCCACAAGAATTTTGAAAAGGCTGTTCTAACCATAAAGTAAAATGAAACCAGATTTCTTATGAAATTATATCCTAAATGACTCAAGGATTGAAGTGAAAGATTTAAGACCTGATTTTTCTCACAGCTTAGCTCTAGTTATCAGTAGGCCAAAATAAATTCATTAGATCTGTTAACCACATCCTATTGATAATATTGTTGGAACCTACTAGAAATAATAAACAGATGTATAAAGCTTTAGATTGCATTGAACTCTTCAATCAGCTGCATGTCTTCTCATGTTGTGGAATTAAATGTGTCTTTTACATTAAATGTCTTTTAACTTAATTACCGTCTATAAATAAAAATGTTACATTCATTTTAAACAGAATAATGTTTTCTATATAGTAGGTATGCAATTTTAAACTACACATACTGCAGATTTTCTTATCTTGAGACTTTGACAATATTATATATATATATATATATATATATATATGCACTAGGGTCAACTTGAGTTGAATACAGCGGACCTAGAATAATCAGTTTGCCAATGAGGCTACAAATCTGTAGTTGTAGATTAAAAACAACACACACGAGTCACTCCACACAATCTGCAATCAGAAACTGTTTTTGGCAAATCTTGATCAATAAATGTTCCCTTAACATCCCAACAGTTCCTGGCACAACAAAAATATCCCTAAACTAGCGCAAATGAAGAAAATTTCTCTTATGAATGTAATCAGAAAACAACTGCCAGTACCGGGCTGAAAATCTCGTCTGCAGTGATTGGTTGTCTTTTAATAGCTTTAGCACTGGAGTTTCAACACCATCCACCAGGTCATAGGAGGAAAAATTCCTGGGAAAGGGCACACAACTCTTGTTAGTTTTAATAGCATCTTTAGAGTCAGTTTGATAGAAGGAAAAAGTTTGATTACAAGTAATTAAAACAGTTGAACTAACTTAAACCCCTGATGTTGCCAAATTAAGCTTTTTAATTTTGTGTCATTGCAATGCTTTATAGACATTTACTACAATACAACAGTTATTTTTAGCTATCAAAATACCTCATGGGTTAAGTTTAAGAGAATTTAGTAAAACATGTCAAAATGTTGACATTATTGCTCTAGTAACATCACTTGTGGATTTTCTTCGTTCTTAATTTTTAGTGTTGGAAGGGATCGAGCCTTATCTGCCAGAGGGTTTGAACTTGAGACTTTCGAATTTATCAACCATGAGCTTTTTGCTGACTCGACCACGCCTCCATCACAATTAAGGATACGTGTCAACTGGTTATGCGCCATTGAGGCCATTGACTCTGATTTCAGCCGAGGGTTCGAACTCTAGACTTTTCGGTTTAGCAACCATGAGCTTTACCGACCCGACTTGTGGATCAAAATGTTAGCATTTTGGCATCAGTTTTGTATTTTTATATGGATGCCCCTGGACCAAGTTAAAAATAAAATGGTAACCAAAAAAAAAATTTATATTCTACTAAACGGGTTGTCAACTTAAGTTACATTGCAAAAACATATACAACTATACATATTTAAAGAGTACCACCCCATGCCCTAGGATTAGCATAATGATAATACATGATGGGGTTTAAAAGATTAACTGAATGAACTAAAACCATATGACAAAGATGAACTAAAAAAAAACATCAGACAGACATGAATGAACTAAAACTATCAGACAGACATAAATGAACTCGAACCATATGACAGACATGAATGAACTCGAACCATCAGACAGACATAAATGAACTAGAACCATCAGACAGACATAAATGAACTAGAACCATCAGACAGACATAAATGAACTAGAACCATCAGACAGACATAAATGAACTAGAACCATCAGACAGACATAAATGAACTAGAACCATCAGACAGACATAAATGAACTAGAACCATCAGACAGACATAAATGAACTAGAACCATCAGACAGACATAAATGAACTAGAACCATCAGACAGACATAAATGAACTAGAACCATCAGACAGACATAAATGAACTAGAACCATCAGACAGACATAAATGAACTAGAACCATCAGACAGACATAAATGAACTAGAACCATCAGACAGACATAAATGAACTAGAACCATCAGACAGAAGGGATCGAGCCTTATCTGCCAGAGGGTTTGAACTTGAGACTTTCGAATTTATCAACCATGAGCTTTTTGCTGACTCGACCACGCCTCCATCACAATTAAGGATACGTGTCAACTGGTTATGCGCCATTGAGGCCATTGACTCCGATTTCAGCCGAGGGTTCGAACTCTAGACTTTTCGGTTTAGCAACCATGAGCTTTACCGACCCGACTTGTGGATCAAAATGTTAGCATTTTGGCATCAGTTTTGTATTTTTATATGGATGCCCCTGGACCAAGTTAAAAATAAAATGGTAACCAAAAAAAAATTTATATTCTACTAAACGGGTTGTCAACTTAAGTTACATTGCAAAAACATATACAACTATACATATTTAAAGAGTACCACCCCATGCCCTAGGATTAGCATAATGATAATACATGATGGGGTTTAAAAGATTAACTGAATGAACTAAAACCATATGACAAAGATGAACTAAAAAAAAAACATCAGACAGACATGAATGAACTAAAACTATCAGACAGACATAAATGAACTCGAACCATATGACAGACATGAATGAACTCGAACCATCAGACAGACATAAATGAACTAGAACCATCAGACAGACATAAATGAACTAGAACCATCAGACAGACATAAATGAACTAGAACCATCAGACAGACATAAATGAACTAGAACCATCAGACAGACATAAATGAACTAGAACCATCAGACAGACATAAATGAACTAGAACCATCAGACAGACATAAATGAACTAGAACCATCAGACAGACATAAATGAACTAGAACCATCAGACAGACATAAATGAACTAGAACCATCAGACAGACATAAATGAACTAGAACCATCAGACAGACATAAATGAACTAGAACCATCAGACAGACATAAATGAACTAGAACCATCAGACAGACATAAATGAACTAGAACCATCAGACAGACATAAATGAACTAGAACCATCAGACAGACATAAATGAACTAGAACCATCAGACAGACATAAATGAACTAGAACCATCAGACAGACATAAATGAACTAGAACCATCAGACAGACATAAATGAACTAGAACCATCAGACAGACATAAATGAACTAGAACCATCAGACAGACATAAATGAACTAGAACCATCAGACAGACATAAATGAACTAGAACCATCAGACAGACATAAATGAACTAGAACCATCAGACAGACATAAATGAACTAGAACCATCAGACAGACATAAATGAACTAGAACCATCAGACAGACATAAATGAACTAGAACCATCAGACAGACCTGGCTATGTTTTTCCTACTTTCCCAAAGACCAAAATCTCTAGCTGTCAGCATGGGTTGGCTCTCACCAAACACTGCTTGACTGACGACACTCAAGGTCTCGCTAGTTGAAAGGTCAACCTGCAGGCAGATGTTGACCACAGACAGTATCAACACTTCCATCAGCTTCTCATTGCTTCTCAGTAGTGCACCTAGATTTTATACATCAAACTTTCATCATTTGATGATGGCCAGCCCACTAACATCAAACTTTAGTCCAGTAACATCAAATTTTCATCATTTGATGATGGCCAGCCCACTAACATCAAACTTTAGTCCAGTAACATCAAATTTTCATCATTTGATCATGGCCAGCCCACTAACATCAAACTTAAGTCCAGTAACATCAAATTTTCATCATTTGATCATGGCCAGCCCACTAACATCAAACTTAAGTCCAGTAACATCAAATTTTCATCATTTGATGATGGCCAGCCCACTAAAGAAAGTCTTACCTTCAGCTGCCACAGCATAAGGACAAGTTCTTAAAACAGTTTGCTGGTCATCAAGTGAATGGCTGACACTTCCCTGGCCTGCCCATTTGAAAGACCTGCTGTCCACAACATCTGACCACTCAAAGTTTGGACAAATGATGTTGGACGTTTCCAATAGCTGTCGCAGTCGTCTGGCCGGCAGGCCTGCACACAGGGAGATAAGAATGGAGGAGGCTGGAATTTGGCCGCTTACTTCTGCCGCAACGCTGGCCACTTGGGATGGTAACACACACAAAACAATGACATCCGCAACAGCAACCAGTTTTTTATTATCAAAATAGCAGGCGACCCCTTGCTGTTTGAGATGATCTAAAAATAACAGTACATCAGTCAACTCTATGCAAATTCTTCATGGACAGATTTAAAAAAAAGGTGTCACACAGAATTTTTTGTAGCAAATTTCTCAGGAATAGTCACTACATTAATAATGCTACAATGGAATAAAATAATGTAATAAAAAATATGTCAATAACAATTATTATAACAAATATTGTCATGAAAGAATTTGAACCTAGCTAGAAAATCTTGTAGCAATGGTTTTCTGTCAGCTACTACTGGAAATCAGTTGTAATTTAAAATACTCATTGACTGACCAAGTAGTTCAGGTCTCCTGGTGGATATCTGGACACAGTCTGTGTCAAGCCTCCCATTGGTTAAGAGTGTAGTGGTCAGTTGGAAGCCAAGTCTGCCACATCCAATAAGGCCTACAATTAATTTTTTCCTTGTCTCTTGTGTTTCAATGGTGGGTGTTTTTCTTTCTGGTTGTGTTTCAATGGTTGGTGTTTTTCTTTCTGGTTTAGGAAAATCTTGAATTAATGATCTGTAGATTGGTTTGACACAAAAATTCTAGATTCAATATTCTATTGATTTATAGATTAACAAAAATTCTGGAGTTGCTAAGAATCAATGATTAGTTGACAAAAAAATTCTTCATGAAAAGAAAGGAAGAAAGTGTCTGTGTGTGTGTGTGTGGGAGAGGGGGGGAGGTCAGGGTAGAGATAAGACCATTGACAAAATAGCTTTAAACAAGTATGACACTTGAAATATATTACATTTTTTCTTAACTGTTTATCAATCATGGTAGCTAAGAGCCAGTTTTAGCTAATATATTCATTTTTTTAAATGTCCTTTTGCTTCTATCAAGTTATAGAAATGAAATAAAAACAATATAGGCCTAAGCCAGAATTTTAATATTAAATGCAAAAAATATGGCGATAAACTGTACTACTTGCCATGTAGTTTTTTTTACAATGAATTGAATGGGATGACTGAAGATACTGATGTCCAATAATAGACTCTTCCAAAAATAGGCTGTTAGTAATATTGCAATCTCGACTAGTTTTATGGTTAGAAATTAGAGTTAGGCATGTGGTAGGACTAGGGTTATTTATAATGTTTTTTACCTGTTCTAATTAAAACACATTCACAAAAATAAATTAAAAAATAAGTAGATCTAGATTTCTAGATCTAATCCTTATGTTTTCCTAACTTTTTTGATTTTGTGTTTCCGTTGTGTTTATATTAGTTTATAATAAAATATGCTCAACCAGAGGTGAAGTTTAAGCTGCAAATAAAATACGCTAAATGGCGTTTTACCCAGATTGATTCAATGATTTAATATTAAAATTAATTTAATAATAATAGTAGGCCTAATAATTATTAATAGTGATAAGAATAGGCAATATTGCCAAATGGCAAATAGGCATAGGCGGTAAACCTCCATTTCAGCGTATTTTATTCTCCGTTGCTTGTTTACCTCCAGTTGAGCGTATTTTATTATAACAACCGAAACACACCAAAACATTAGGAAAACACGATTTATTTTTTGTATTGTATTTCTGTTTTCACAAATGAATAAAATGAATGTTTAAAAAACACGACTTATTTATTTGTATTGTATTTTTGTTTTAATAAATGAATAAAAAACAACAAAGAGACTGACTGAAGTGATTTGTTTGTTGGTTACAAAAATAGAGATGCACACTTTGTACAATTAAGTGTTCCAATTTCAACTAAACTGAATAAAAGTATTAAAAGGCACAATGATGCTGCCGAAAGTGGGCCGAGGGGGGGGGGGGGGGTGGAATTTGGTGAGGGATTGCTTGGAGTGTTAGAGAAAGTGTGACAACTCACGTTGTCATTTAAAAAAAAAATAATGTTAGAGGTCGTCCATAAATGACGTCACACTCGTAGGGGGGGGGGGGGTCTTGCTTTTTGTGACGACACGCTTTTTTTACGAGTTTTACCTCCCCCCTCCCCTCCGTTACACGTCGTCACAAAAAGTCAGACCCCCCCTAAAATGACGTCACACCATCTGAAACCCCCACCCCCTCATCACCAGTGTTTCTTCCAGACTTTTTTCTCCGGGGGGGCACTTGAAATTTTCGGGGGGGGCGGTAAACTTTCTTCGGGGGGGCGGACACTGTTAAAAGTATATATTTTCTATATAAATTATATAAATTTCATTTCGTTCGGGGGGGCGGTAAAAATTTTTCGGGGGGGCTTCGCCCCCCCGAAGAGATGCCTGGAAGAAACTCTGCTCATCACACACCGTCACAAAATTGCTGACCCCCCCCTCTCCCTTACGAGTGTGACGTCATTTATGGACGACCCCACATCAATTTTTTTTTTTTAAAGTCAGAAATTTACTCATACAAAAAAAGGAAGGATGGTAGATTTACTATGAATTTAAATAACATACAACTCTATAGTAAAATATTTTTTTCAGTTTTAGCAAAACTGTCAAATTAAAAAACACAGAGTTTGTACATTTATTGCATAAATACAAAAATATAAAACAGAATGATTAACAGTGTATCAGTTTCACCATGAGACAAATGCCTTTTTTTAAAGTACAATACAAATAAACAAGTCGTGTTTTTTAAATATTCATTTTTATTCATTTGCTAAAACAAAAATACAATACAAAAAATAAATCGTGTTTTCCTAATGTTTTGGTGTGTTTCGGTTGTTATAATAAAATACGCTCAACTGGAGGTAAACAAGCAACGGAGAATAAAATACGCTGAAATGGAGTTTTACCGGCATAGGCTACCTACTTCGCTTTTCGTAATATATCGATCATTACGGAAACAGCAGCACATTGTGTAACAACAATAGCATGGCTTTTCTTTCGTAACGGCAAAAAGTCGGAACCCTTTTCATCTACTGCACTCTCAAATCTCAGTGAAGGTAGGTTACATGTAATATCGTTGTCTCTTAAAATATCATTACATGAAATAGTTGATAACGCCATTTTGTTTCTAAGGATCAGGTACGACAACTCTATTCACATAGAGTAATCGGGTCCGTCTAAACTCAAAAACTCATGTCTGCTTAACCGGAAAGTCCTAAGTTCGAACCCCCAGGTAGATTAGGTTCGATTGCTTGGGATAGCAACTCCACCTAGGAGAGAAAATTCCAAAATTCCAAAATCAAACATCTGATGCTAACCAGGCATCACTAGGCTTGATTAAAATGCTTTATGTTGACAGAGTTCAAATAAGATTTTAAAAAAATAATAAAATATCGTATTTAAGGAAAAAATTCAACAGCAATTTTGAGGGGGGTAGGTTGAGGTGTGATGTCATTTTAGGGGGGTGGTGGTCTGGCTTTTTGTGACGATGTGTGACAGAGGGGAGGGGGTGGAATCGTCAAAAAAGCGTGACGTCATTTATGGACAACCACTATCCGTAAAAAAATATTATTGACGTTAAAAACCACTGTACTAACTTTTTTCAAGATGTTGGGTGGGGGGGGGGGGGGGGGGGCACTTTTTCGCCAACTAAAATCGCAAGGATTTATCACTTAGAAAAGAAACCAATTAGACTAAAAATTATTGTACTATTGTGTAACATTAATACACCGGGAGTGACCTCCCCTAAACTTTCTCAAATATTCTTATATAAAACTCCGGGGGATGGCAACTCTGGATATGGCCATAAGTTTTAATTCATTTTTAATTACTTAAACTGTAATAGATTGAGATAATTGTGAGGTCAAGGGAACTCACTCTTCTGTATTAGTATTATATTTATATTGTTATCTTGAGTGATGTCCCTTGTGCATTTGTACTTCCTTCCTCTGGCTGGTACCATCATGTAGTTAGACCCAATAAACGTTTTATATACAACCACATGCTTCTATCGTCAATCTATTATATCTGACGACGAGGATAAAAATCTACTAGAAAGAGCACCTACTTACGCAAAAAAGAGGTTTGCTAGAGCTTATTGGCTAAGTATTTCTAGAATAATGGCGCTGTATGGCCAAATAAAAGAATTTGATTCGAATGATGAAATCATTCAAGATTACCTAGATAGGTTAAGCTTTTACCTTGAAGCAAACAACGTGACGATAGAAGCCAAAAAGAGAGCTGTTTTGTTAACAGTCATAGGGCCTCAACAATTTAGGCTACTAAAGGACTTATGCGCACCAGCTAGTCTAACTACCAAGAGCTTTAACGAGCTGAGCAAATTGCTAACAGACCACCATGCGCCTACCCCATCAAAGTTTCTATGTAGAGCTAGATTTGACGGTAGGACTCGTCAACCAAACGAGTCAATATCAGAATATGTTGCTGCTTTACGTCATTTAAGTGAATTTTGTGAATTCGGCGATACGCTGTCTGACAGACTATGTGAAAAGTTTGTGACAGGTGTAAACAGCCCTGATATTCAAAGAAAGTTGCTGCTCGAGTCAGATCTAACATTAGAAAAAGCAATACAACTCGCAACTTCAATCCAGCAGTCATCTGATGCGGCGAGATCTTTAGCACCTTCAGAGATCCATGCAGTAAACAGCAGGTTAGTCAATAAACACCAACACCATCAGAGCATTTCAACTTATGCTAAACAGCCTGCTCGTTCAAATCCTAGATCTAAATCTAGTAATAATTATCAAAAATGTCATCGATGCAAAGGTCCCCATGCATCTCATCGGGGCAAGTTCAAGTCTGCAACTTGTTATAAGTGCAGTAAGCAAGGTCACATGGCCAAGGCCTGCTTTGCAAAGTCTTCGTCTGTTGCTAAATCTAGCCAGTCAAGACAGTACCGCAACCAAAGGCAGCACTATGTTAACTCTCACCAAGACTACCTAACCCAACCAATGAACCACTCTACCTGTGAAAATGCTCAAACTGATTCGCAGCCGGATTTCAACCTGTTCTCTGTGAAATCAATAAGTCATGCTCCCATCAATGTACTAGTTAATATCAACGGTAAGAGCATCAGCTTCCAACTTGACACTGGAGCATCTCTAACAGTCATAACAAAGAAAGATTTTGACGCTGTCACAGGAGGATCAGTGTCTCTACAACCATGTCACAAGTGTCTAACAACATACACTGGTGACAATGTTCCGGTAATAGGAGAGTGTATGGTTCATGTAAATTATAATGGTCAAAGTGTTAAACTTCCTCTTATTGTGGTTGAAGGAAATGGACTACCATTACTAGGTAGGAACTAGTTAAGTGATCTTAAGTTGAATTGGGAGAGTATTTGTTCAGTGAAGAATGTAAAAGAATCTAGTCTTACTTCACTAGATAAAGTAATATCTGAAAATAAATGTGTTTTTGGTAATCATGGATTACTAAATGATAGAACAGTGAAGTTAAGCATTAAAGACACAAATCCGAGATACTGCAAAGCTAGAGTTCCACCTTATGCAATGAGGAATAAAATTGAAAATGAGCTAAGTAGATTGGAATCTAATGGCATCATAAAGAAGGTAGACTATTCCGATTGGGCAACGCCCATTGTGCCAGTGTTAAAGAAGGATGGTTCTATAAGAATTTGTGGAGATTATAAAACTACACTGAATAAGCAAATAGAGCTAAATAGGTACCCTATTCCTAACATTGAGGAAATTTCTTTGAATTTGGCAGGAGGAGACAAATTCACTGAATTAGACTTTAGTCATGCTTACACTCAACTAGAACTGCATCCAGATTCAAAAGTCTATACGACAATAAACACACATAAAGGACTCTACCAATATGAAAGACTATGTTTTGGCATATCATCTAGCCCTGGAATTTTCCAAGCTGTCATGGACAGTATTTTTAAGGATATTCCAAATGTTTGTGTGTACTTTGACAATGTGTACATAACTGGTAAGAATGACACTGAACATCTTAAAACACTTGATAAAGTATTGAAAATTGTTGGTGAAAAAGGTTTAAAGATAAACAAAGATAAATGTCAATTCATGTTGACAGAAATTAGTTTTCTTGGTTATATATTAAGCAAACAAGGCATCAGACCTCAACCTGAGAAAACAAAAGCCATTAAAGAAGCACCCAAACCTGAAAATACCCAACAACTAAGAGCTTTTTTGGGCTTAATAAATTACTATGCAAAGTTCATAGGAAATCTGTCTGGTAAACTATCACCACTGTACAAGCTGCTACAGAAAAATGCAACTTGGCACTGGGGTAAACAACAAGATACTGCTTTTAATACAGCAAAAGAGGCTTTGTCTTCTGACACCTTACTAACTCACTATGACCCAGGGAAAAGACTTATATTAACATGTGATGCTTCACCAGATGGTGTAGGAGCAGTCTTGTCCCACATGGATGAGAAGGGTGACAGACCCATTGCTTTTGCCAGTAGATCTTTGAACCAGGCTGAGAAAAATTATTCTCAGTTAGATAGGGAAGGCTTAGGCATCATTTTTGGTGTTAAGAAATTTCATAAGTTTCTGTTTGGTAGGAAGTTCACAATCTTTACAGATCATAAACCATTGCTAGGTTTATTTGGAGAAAACAAAACCCTACCTGAGCATGCCTCACCAAGAATTCAAAGATGGGCTATCACACTAACTGCATACAATTATGAATTGAAATACAAACCTGGATCTGAGAATAGTGCAGATAGTCTTAGTAGATTACCTTTAAAAAACCAAAGCCTGAGCTATGTACCAGAAGATGTATTTGTTCTCTTCACTATCATGGATAACTCCAATATAAATGTGAATGATATTAAAAGAGAAACACAAAAAGATGAGTGCTTAATAAAAGTATATGAGTACTGTAAGAATGGTTGGCCTGAAGAGTCAGTGAATGAGGACTTAAAGCCATATAAAATAAGAAAAACAGAGTTAAGTCTAGAAGATGGATGTATACTATGGGGGTCAAGAGTAATTATCCCCAAAATGTTACAAAAAGAAGTTTTAAGAACTTTACATGATACTCATCTTGGTTCTTCCAAAATGAAGAGTCTAGCAAGATCATGGTTCTGGTGGCCACATATGGATGCTGATATTGAAAAATATGTAAAGCTTTGTTCAAGCTGTGCACAACATTCAAAGCAACCAGCTACAGCACCCTTGCAAAACTGGGACTGGCCAATCGAACCATGGAAACGTATACATATAGATTTCGCAGGACCTTTCATGAACAAAATGTTCTTAATTGTTATTGATTCACATTCTAAATGGTTAGAAGTTAAAATCATGAACACAATCACTGCAAATGATACCATTATAGAACTGAAGGAAATATTTTCAACTCATGGATTACCAGATCAAATTGTTTCAGATAATGGGCCTAGTTTCACAGCTCATGAGTTTAAACTGTTTTGTGTGGCAAATGGTATTGAGCATATAACCACATCCCCCTATCATCCTGCTGGGAATGGTTTGGCTGAAAGAGCGGTATGCATATTCAAAACCGCTATGGTAAAAATGAATACCGGTAACAAGTTTTCTCTTAGAGAAAGAGTAAACAGGTTCTTAACCAAATACCGCACAACTCCTCATATAACAACAGGTGTTGCACCATGTGAATTGCTATGTGGTAGGAAAATTAAAACTCATCTTGACCTACTACATCCAACTGTTCAAAGGTCTGTTTCCCAACATCAACATACACAAAAAGTAAATCATGACAAATCATCCATTGAAAGAGAATTTGCAGTTAATGATAATGTGTATCTGAGAAATTATGGGAGAAGGGAAAAATGGATACCAGGTCAAATTGTTCAATGTACAGGACCTGTGTCTTATAAAGTAAAAACAAATGATGGACTTATTGTCCGTAGACATGCAGACCAGTTGAAAATAACTTGTGCAGATAATAAGTGTGAATCTGCCAATCCCACCAAATCTAATCAGTTCACACCAACTCAGTTTGTTCCACAACCAAGTTCTGTTGATATGAGTGAACCAAGTTGTCTGGAGTCAGAAAATGTAAATTCTGGAGTTAATGATTTAAATCCTAGACCTCCTGAGATAGAGAATCCAGATGGTCAGAATCTTGAGTCACCAAATCAAAAACCACTGAGAAGGTCAAACAGGACAATCAAAGTCCCAAATAAGTTAGACCTATGATTTTAAAGGTCAAAAGGACTTTGACATCATTGTTTTGTATCTTGATTATGTTGTAGCATATTGTGCATTGTTTGTAAGGATGTAATCTACCATAGTGTTCATGTTACAATATAATTGGTGATTTTAGGATACTATCAATTGTTCTATTGAGAGATGTGTTATTGTGTTCTAAGGGTAAAGGGATGTAATAGATTGAGATAATTGTGAGGTCAAGGGAACTCACTCTTCTGTATTAGTATTATATTTATATTGTTATCTTGAGTGATGTCCCTTGTGCATTGTACTTCCTCTTTGCATCATGGCTGTCTGTAAATAAAGGCTGTTAACACCAATGTGGCTCCTCGTCAATCTATCACATAAACTTTTTAAAAATAGAATAGAATCTCGTAGAAAAAAGAATTGCGCATCGAATGAACGCCAAACAATCTGTGTATAATAGTGAGAAATATTGTTAGTACTTTATAAATTCACATGCGTTTCTTGAGAAATCCGAAATAGCGTAAAGTATTACTTCCGGTCAACGGAAATCACTCAAAATTTGATAGAGAGCAGATATTTAGATATTTTACTTTCATGGGAAATTTTATTTATCTATCTGAAATAGTACTCAAGTTAGATCTATATGCTTTTAAAAAATTGAAAGTAGAAAAAGTCCCACTTCCAATTATCGGAAATCGCTGAAAAGTTGATACAGAACTACAAATTTGATATAATATATATGAAATTTCATCAACCTAGCTGTAACGGTACTCAAGTTATCGTGTTTATACACACACGCACGCACACGCACACACACACAGACATACGGACATTATTGCAAAACTATGTTTCTCTGACTCAGGGAGGTGTAAAACGTCGAGATTTGTAAACATCTCTCTTTTTTTTTTTTTTTTTTTTTGCACGATTACAATAATTCCTCTATACTTCGTGTACGAGAAAGTAAAAATTCATAAAAAACGTTTTAATAACAAACTTTTATGTAATGATGCACTAAAATGTAGAAAATAAATGATACACTACTATTTAAATAAACATAAAGAAAAGCTTGGGTCTCGTCCTAAATATTATTAAAGGGAGTAAAGTGACCCACGCTTTTCTTTATCCATCTATATACTACTAAAACTCAAGTTTGTTTACATGTTTGAATATTTATTTGTTTGTCCGCTTTGTTACAGGAGAGATTCTGCACTATGTGTAGAGCTGTAAAATAGTATTTAGGTATTGAACAATTTTCTCTTTAAACAGACTGTTAATCACAAATTTAAAGACGTTAATTAATTTATTGATATATTCATTGGTAGATTAACCATACTAATTATAAAATTTCAGAACAATGACTTTACTTATAGTGAATAGTGACGTCACATGATTTATTCACTTTTTACAACAATAACGGCGGCTTTCATCGAAGATTTTGTTGCCCATTCAAAAGAATAACGCATTATATAGCTAATTTTCTGTCGGCTATAGCTTTAACGATACTTCCTTTTGCTATTTTTATTACGTTCTAACACATATCAATTTTCAACAGTCCTTTTCATTAGTAAAAGTTATAGTAAAGTTTCCCTTTCAAACCTGACTGTCTATGGGGCAAGTGAAGTAGAGTTCACTTGTTTCTGTGACCTCGGCATATGAAGAGATAGTGTGGTCAGCACTATGCCCAGCCGCCTTTACTTTCCCTAACGAGTTGGGTGGACTCAGGGACGGTCTACTGACTTGAACCCCGATTCGAGCTCGAGACTTACGGGTTAGCAGTCCTATCTCTACCACTAGACCACTCCGTCCCCTCACTTTTCATTAAGTATACAATAAATTTCTCAAGATCTATAATATAAAGATCAGATGTCGAAGGAAGTTATTTGTCGATCTAGAGTCAAGGTCAAACCAATATTAAATTAGTTAAAAATAAAAGACAATTTTAAACTCAGAATACATTTATTATTTTTATTAAACTATTTTAGTCCTTAAATATTTGATAAAAGTCTTTGCTTTTTAGCTTCACGGATCATCTAATTCATGAATACAAGTGATTTATCTATCTAGGTTCTAGATCTAGCAAGAGTTACGGCAAAAACTAGACTTAACCAAACAGTCGTAGACCCACGTGCCAAGTTTGAAAAAAATAGGTTAGTTTGAAGTGCTCGAAGTTTTGTTTGGGAGTTTCCATCTATGAAAGAAGACAGACAGAAAGACAAACGGAAGTAAATAAAAAAACTTGAAAAAACTTAATTTTCAAAGAGTTAATTTATCATCTACTTATGTCACAATACATTGACTATAGGTCTTGACCTACATGAAAAGTTAAAAATCACTCGGTCCGGTAGAAGTGTTCGAAATTTTGTTCGCTATTTTCCGACTGTGACGGCAGATACACAGAGGAAACAGGTTAAAAAAAATTATATGCGTTTATTTTATTTTATTTTTTGACGTACTACTTACGGTCACCGGAAATTACTCAAAATTTCACAGAAAACAGATAATTAGATCTTTAACCTCCACTTCCGGTTACCGGAAATAGCCGAATACAGAACTATAAATTTGATATAATACTTATATATGAAATTGCATCCACTTATATAGCTGTAACATTACATTAAGTTATCGTATTCAAAATACACAGACAGACACACATACTCACATACAGACATTCGGACAATATTGCCAAGCTAAGTTTACTGTCGGAATTTGTGAAAAATCGCCATTTCGATTTTTTGCACGATTACATTTACATTGAATGTGAAAATAGAAACATGGTCAAAGGGGAACAAACGTGAGATTATTTTATTTCGTAGTTAAAATTATAATATAAATGATTATATTATTGCTATTCCTCAACATACTTGTGGTCAAAGGGGAACAAACATGAGAATTATTATTCCTCCTAGTTTAGCCGAGGTTGTCATGCTTTTTGATTTAAATATTTAAGTATTTTGAAAATCACTGTTAGGCTAGTTTTTTCCCCACATTAATGTTAATATTACTTTTGTTAAAAAATTATGTAAAAATTATTAATTTTAATTATTATTCATGTTTCATTTTTTCTTTTATTTTTTTTTTTCAAGTGTTCATTCGGTTATTCGTTTATTTATTTAGTAATTTGGCAACTAATTTCTTCATTTTTTATTTTTCAAATTCGCTATTATTAATAATAAATATTAATTAATTAGTAATTTTTAAAATAATAATATTATTTATATTGAAGAAGAAATATCTAACTTATTAATAATAGTGTTAAGTGCTTCTTTAAATTTAAATATTTAAAAGCAAGATAACCTCGGATGAACTACGAAGAGTTACAATTTCATGTTTGTTCCCCCTTGACCAATAGATTTTAAAAGGTAGTTATGAAACAAGAAATATATAGTTATATTCATGGACTAATTATAATTCCATGAAGATTTACCAGAAGATCTCCCCTAAACGTTCTCGTATATTCTAATATATCACTCAGGGAGCTGGAGCTTCCATTGCAATCGGCATATAGATTTTTTTTTCACGCGTAAATACGTGTAGGCAAATAACAGCGCGGAAATTTAGTACTTTATTAAGGAAATTTTGATTAATTTAAAGCAAATATTTTAAACATCTAATTAATTAATATTTTATGTTCAATGTCATCGAATATTTACACGAAAAGCTTAAAACAAATCGGTCAACAATTTTGTCAACATAACTAAAACAGCACTCAACTTCACAGACACGCAGACATATTAGACACTTCAAACCAAGTTTTCTCCGTTCCGCAAGGTTGTGAAACGTCTAATTTTGTCAAAATCTCTACTTGGATTGTTTTGCACGATTATAATGCATCTTTTATGTTCCGCATATGCTAAAGTAGGGAGGTGTAAAACTGGTGAAACAGGTGTCAAAATAATTAGTCATTTAGTACGATTATTAACTTAATTGTAAATCATACGGCACGATTACATTTCCTCTTCTCTACTCTGGATACGAGGAAGTAAACAATTAAGTTGATGACGATACTTTTAGATAAAAAAAGGTTAATGTATACCTAAATTTCAAACTATATTATACAAACTAGTCTATATTTGGGCCTAGGGTTATTCTTTAGTTTAGGGCTTAGGGGGACTGTGTGTGTTAGTGTTTAGATTTTCTTAACTTCTACTGTGTATGATGGTTCAGTAATGCATCTTTTGGGACTAATCTAGACTCGCGTTCAAGGCATGTACCCCACCCCCCCCCCCTTTTTAACTTCGCTACTTCGAATGGTAAATTTAGAAATATTACTAAATATTAGAGTTTGAAAACCGCTGATTTAAAGTTTTCAATTTATGGCAATAAATGTGACATTTTAAACTGGCATATTGTTTATGTTTATTTTAATTTTTTTTCAAAAAGAGCACCCAATGTTGATAGGCCTAAATCTAGATCTATCTATCTAAATACTATATAATAATATATTGCATATTGTATTATAATATAGATTCTATATCTTCTTAGAATCTTATTACTGGACGTCTATAGTCAATAACCTACTCTATCATTCTCTATGAGTCTATGAGTATTTTTAATTAAGTCTAACTACTGTAACTAGGCCTAATAGTAATAATTAAAGTTTAAAGTAAGTTAGCCAGTCAAAACATCCCTTGGCTTATCAATCAAGTCAATCAAGTTATTACTATTAGTTAATGTTAATATTTAATATTTGTTATGAAGATGATGTATAATGTATCATGTTATCATCTTACGTTTAAGTTGAATAAGTTCTTAAGTCTTAACCTTGACTTAAACTCTTAACTTATAAACTACTTTTGAACTCTTACTTTTTAAGTCTTAAACTTACTCGGTAATCTATCGCTTATAGGTACGTAAAATCGCCCGCGACTAGTAATGTAAAAAACAGGTGACTCCTTACATTTTAATAATTATTTCACATTTTGAGGAGGATTTATGTTTTGAAAAATATAATTTTTTTTCCTTGTTTCATGGATGTATCTGTTTTTAAACAATTGAATTAAAACTTTTCAGTAATAAATGAAGACTAGCGATGTTTCCAACAGATGCATCCAAGCTCATTTACTATAGCAGCCATCTTGTTGAAGTTTTATTTTTGTAAACTTATAGCACGAGATTCAGGGGAAGCCACTCTATTTTACAAATGGCTGCTGTTTGTATAGCAAATCTTGCTCGCAAACACTGCTGTTTAAAGTTAATTTCTTGCCTATATTTATATATTTAGCCATTGATTTTGGTTTATTATTCAGTTATCTATATATATAATTCTCTTCTGGGAGCCGCTAGAAAACAAGCTGCAAACGCGCCTAGAAAACAAGCTGTAAACGCGCTCCCTCCCTCCCCACCCCTACATGGTTTTAGTGAGCTGTGTTCACTCTAAATGTTTACAAGCAGAGCCAACGATTTTAAACGTAGGGGGGGGGGGGGGGTTTATGGTCCTTAACGAGCTACTTATAGTATTTTAAAGAAATATTTTCAGTGGCAGCGTTGATACTGTCGAATTCACAAATTTTGAATTACTGAAAAGTAGAAAAAACAACTAAATAGCGGCGTATGATATGCCGCGGGCCGGCTCGTCTATAATATTTGACACAAATATATCACAATATACTTCTATTAAAGCCTTCACAATGAGGTAACTTTTTCGTACTTACTAGCAGCGGACGATTTTACATACCTAAAGCGATAGATTACCACTTACTCTTAACTTTAAACTCTTAAACTACAAACATAGAAATTAGAATCTACATCTACATATTTTACATAATGCAGGCAAGTGAGTTGAGGAGAATCCTTCCATCATGATGTTGACATGGAATAAAAACCTGCTTTGTTAGATTTAGACCGTAAAAATAATAAAAACTTAAGCCTAAAATTAATTTAGAAATTTTAGGGCCTAGGCCTATATTTTTATAATAATAAATGCTTTAAAACTTGCAAATCCAGAGAACTTGAAAATAATTTGTTGAGTTTAAGGCTACATTAAACATTTCTATTTATTTTCATCAAGCTTAAGTTATAACTGGATGTTTCACTTTTGTAAGACACGTATTGATTGGCTGTACAGGAACTCCGTGATCGATAATTATTTGTTAACAAAAACTTTGCAGATAAAGTTTTTAAATAACAATGCAAATTTAAACCCCATGACCTAGTTTTTCTTTTTTTAGCTTACAATGTGCACAATACAATTTATGGCAGCCTATTGTTTATGTCGCCATTACACGTGAAAACCAAATTGCTTTTTTTTTTTAATTCAGTTACCGGAAATATTAAAAACATCATGATTTTAAAATAATTGATTAATGGGCCTCTCGAATACTTGCTCGCTCGCGTTCATTTCTGCAGGTGATCCTGCAGGTATGTCTTGCAATGTCACATTTCACGTCTCTCAATTTCCCAACACCCCCTAATTTCCTGTCCCTAATCCTAACCTCAACCCTAGTTTTACCATATGCCTAACACTAATTTCTAACCATAAAATTTGTTGAGATTACAATACTACTAACAACCCAACACATCTATTTTATGGAAGAGTCTATTATCAGACATCGGTATCTTAAAATAAAAAATACATAATTCATACAATTCATAGTAATAGTTACTTGGTGTTGAAGTTAAGCTTACACTTTACATGCATACTAGATTAAATTTTAAAGTATCTAATATGTTACTAGCTTAATTAGAAGCTGAGAAATCATTTTTTTGTTGGTTTTTTATGTGGCCAATATTGTTAATGGGAGATAACACAAAAGGAAACAAAACAAAAACAACAACTCATTTATTGTGTGTAGAAGCATGGCCCACTGTAAAGTATAAACTTATTTATTGTGTGTAGAAGCATGGCCCACTGTAAAGTATAAACTCATCTATTGTGTGTAGAAGCATGGCCCACTGTAAAGTATAAACTTATTTATTGTGTGTAGAAGCATGGCCCACTGTAAAGTATAAACTTATTTATTGTGTGTAGAAGAATGGCCCACTGTAAAGTATAAACTTATTTATTGTGTGTAGAAGCATGGCCCACTGTAAAGTATAAACTTATTTATTGTGTGTAGAAGAATGGCCCACTAAAAGTATAAACTTATTTATTGTGTGTAGAAGCATGGCCCACTGTAAAGTATAAACTTATCTATTGTGTGTAGAAGAATGGCCCACTATAAAGGAGCTGCAAAGGAAGCGGGGAGAGCTGCCACTCTACTGAAGAAAAGAGCTCGTGAACAGGAAGAGGCTGAAGCTAAAAAGAAAAAGATTGAAGAAGAACTTGCTATTGGCAACATCCATAATAAATTTGCCACACATTATGATGCTATTGAACAGTCCCTAAAGTCAAGCACAATTGGTAATTTGTTTTTGTATTTAGATAAGATTTATTTACATTCTTTGTCATCTTTTGAGTGGACTAGTTCCATTTACATACATTGTCAGCTTTTGAGTGGACTAGTTCCATTTACATACATTGTCAGCTTTTGAGTGGACTAGTTCCATTTACATACATTGTCAGCTTTTGAGTGGACTAGTTCCATTTACATACATTGTCATCTTTTGAGTGGACTAGTTCCATTTACATACATTGTCAGCTTTTGAGTGGACTAGTTCCATTTACATACATTGTCAGCTTTTGAGTGGACTAGTTCCATTTCCATGCGTGATCTTGTGATCAGACTATTCTATAAAACAGATCTCCTTTATGACACCAGAGCTAATGTACTGAGTCAATTTGACCCCTAGGTCTGGTCACCTTGACTGAGATGAAAGCAAGACAAGAGAATGTCATTAAAGAACGGGAGAGACAACTTGCAAAGAAAAATGCAGAGGCTCGGCTGATTGCAAAAGCAAAAGAAGATAAAAAGAAGAAGGATCAGAGGAAGGTAAATTTAGCTGTTGCCACGGATAAATGCTGTCATTTATCTGTTCTATGACTTGCCACAGATAACAATGCTGTCATTTATCTGTTCTATGACTTGCCACAGATAACAATGCTGTCATTTATCTGTTCTATGACTTGCCACAGATAACAATGCTGTCATTTATCTGTTCTATGACTTGCCACAGATAACAATGCTCTCATTTATCTGTTCTATGACTTGCCACAGATAACAATGCTGTCATTTATCTGTTCTATGACTTGCCACATATAACAATGCTGTCATTTATCTGTTCTATGACTTGCCACAGATAACAATGCTGTCATTTGATCTGGAACAAGAAGCAGAAGATGATGATGATGATGACAAGGAGGAAGAGGCCAGGCCTTCAGATGATACTGATGATACAATGGCAGAAACAGAACTGTCAGAAGAACTCCGTGATTTGGCAGAAGAAAAGAGAGAGCAGAAAAGAAGAAAAAGGCTGGGTATTTATCATCTATTGTGTCATCACAGTTACATCACTAAATCACCATTCTATCACTACCACTAATTTATAATTAAAATTGTATCATCCACAATGTATTACCACTGTATCACCATTCTATTTCCTATCTTTGTATCACCACTTTGCCACTTATACTGTAGCATCATTGTACCCCCTCTGTATCACCACAAGCATTGCTCTGGTTGAACAAGAGATTGTCTAAACACTTGGTGTTCCAGGTATGAACCCACATGTTGACACCAGCTTTCTACCTGATAGAGACAGAGACGAGGAGGAAAACAAACTAAGGTAACTCATTCTACTGGAGGTCTTATACAGGCCCCCCCCCCCTAAATAGATCACACAGGCCTTACAATACTTACATAGATCATACAGACTCCCCCCCCATATCTAGATCATACAGGCCCTACTTAGCTAAAATCATACAGGCCCTCCATAGATTGTACAGGTCGTCCAGTCAGGTCAAACTTAAAAGATCATATAAACCCTTTATAATGTTTTAGTTCCTCTATGGTAAGATTATAGTGTCTATTATTACATTTAAATCGTATATTGCCTAAAGAACTTTTCAAACATTACAGAGAAGTTTTGCGCCAAGAATGGGTGGCTACACAAGAAAGAATTAAAAATGAGGAAATCACAATTACCTACAGTTATTGGGATGGCTCTGGACATAGGCGACAGGTAGGTCACAGGTCGGGACATGGGTGACAGGTAGGTCACAGGTCGGGACATGGGTGACAGGTAGGTCATAGGTCGGGACATGGGTGACAGGTAGGTCACAGGTCGGGACATGGGCGACAGGTAGGTCACAGGTCGGGACATGGGTGACAGGTAGGTCACAGGTTGGGACATGGGTGACAGGTAGGTCACAGGTCGGGACATGGGTGACAGGTAGGTCATAGGTCGGGACATGGGTGACAGGTAGGTCACAGGTTGGGACATGGGTGACAGGTAGGTCACAGGTCGGGACATGGGGCGACAGGTAGGTCACAGGTCGGGACATGGGCGACAGGTAGGTCACAGGTCGGGACATGGGTGACAGGTAGGTCACAGGTTGGGACATGGGTGACAGGTAGGTCACAGGTCGGGACATGGGTGACAGGTAGGTCATAGGTCGGGACATGGGTGACAGGTAGGTCACAGGTCGGGACATGGGCGACAGGTAGGTCACAGGTCGGGACATGGGTGACAGGTAGGTCACAGGTTGGGACATGGGTGACAGGTAGGTCACAGGTCGGGACATGGGTGACAGGTAGGTCACAGGTTGGGACATGGGTGACAGGTAGGTCACAGGTCGGGACATGGGTGACAGGTAGGTCATAGGTCGGGACATGGGTGACAGGTAGGTCACAGGTCGGGACATGGGCGACAGGTAGGTCACAGGTCGGGACATGGGTGACAGGTAGGTCACAGGTTGGGACATGGGTGACAGGTAGGTCACAGGTCGGGACATGGGTGACAGGTAGGTCACAGGTCGGGACATGGGTGACAGGTAGGTCACAGGTCGGGACATGGGTGACAGGTAGGTCACAGGTTGGGACATGGGTGACAGGTAGGTCACAGGTCGGGACATGGGTGACAGGTAGGTCACAGGTCGGGACATGGGTGACAGGTAGGTCACAGGTCGGGACATGGGTGACAGGTAGGTCACAGGTTGGGACATGGGTGACAGGTAGGTCACAGGTTGGGACATGGGTGACAGGTAGGTCACAGGTTGGGACATGGGTGACAGGTAGGTCACAGGTTGGGACATGGGTGACAGGTAGGTCATAGGTCGGGACATGGGTGACAGGTAGGTCACAGGTCGGGACATGGGCGACAGGTAGGTCACAGGTCGGGACATGGGTGACAGGTAGGTCACAGGTTGGGACATGGGTGACAGGTAGGTCACAGGTCGGGACATGGGTGACAGGTAGGTCATAGGTCGGGACATGGGTGACAGGTAGGTCACAGGTCGGGACATGGGCGACAGGTAGGTCACAGGTCGGGACATGGGTGACAGGTAGGTCACAGGTTGGGACATGGGTGACAGGTAGGTCACAGGTCGGGACATGGGTGACAGGTAGGTCACAGGTTGGGACATGGGTGACAGGTAGGTCACAGGTCGGGACATGGGTGACAGGTAGGTCATAGGTCGGGACATGGGTGACAGGTAGGTCACAGGTCGGGACATGGGCGACAGGTAGGTCACAGGTCGGGACATGGGTGACAGGTAGGTCACAGGTTGGGACATGGGTGACAGGTAGGTCACAGGTCGGGACATGGGTGACAGGTAGGTCACAGGTCGGGACATGGGTGACAGGTAGGTCACAGGTCGGGACATGGGTGACAGGTAGGTCACAGGTTGGGACATGGGTGACAGGTAGGTCACAGGTCGGGACATGGGTGACAGGTAGGTCACAGGTCGGGACATGGGTGACAGGTAGGTCACAGGTCGGGACATGGGTGACAGGTAGGTCACAGGTTGGGACATGGGTGACAGGTAGGTCACAGGTTGGGACATGGGTGACAGGTAGGTCACAGGTTGGGACATGGGTGACAGGTAGGTCACAGGTTGGGACATGGGTGACAGGTAGGTCACAGGTCGGGACATGGGTGACAGGTAGGTCATAGGTCGGGACATGGGTGACAGGTAGGTCACAGGTCGGGACATGGGTGACAGGTAGGTCACAGGTCGGGACATGGGTGACAGGTAGGTCATAGGTCGGGACATGGGTGACAGGTAGGTCATAGGTCAGGACATGGGTGACAGGTAGGTCATAGGTCGGGACATGGGTGACAGGTAGGTCACAGGTCGGGACATGGGTGACAGGTAGGTCACAGGTTGGGACATGGGTGACAGGTAGGTCACAGGTCGGGACATGGGTGACAGGTAGGTCATAGGTCGGGACATGGGTGACAGGTAGGTCACAGGTCGGGACATGGGTGACAGGTAGGTCACAGGTCGGGACATGGGTGACAGGTAGGTCATAGGTCGGGACATGGGTGACAGGTAGGTCATAGGTCGGGACATGGGTGACAGGTAGGTCACAAGTCGGGACATGGGTGACACTATCGAGTTTCTATACCTATATATGGATGGTGTAACACACACAAACTTGTCTTTACTCACTCATAGTAGTCCTTACATATTGGTCTTCCCTTGCTTTACTTTCATATATTTACCCATATGTTCTTCTTAAAGTCTTTTTACCCACAAATACTGTCCTTGCTTAATTTCAACACATTGGTATTTGCAATAGGGCTTGTAAGTAGGTCACCAACCAGTTCTACGGCTCAATAAAACCTGCAAGAGCCATAGAAATGGTTGGTGACCTACTTACCAGCCCTATTTATAACTTTTTGTATTTCCATTTAAACAATCAGTATATACAATTTTTCAGACCAAGATGAAAAAAGGAAACACAATCCAACAATTTTTACAGAAGTCTCTTGAGAACTTACGTAAAGAATTTAATGACCTAGTTCCAGTATCCGTGGACCAGTTGATGTATGTGAAGGAAGATCTGATCATACCCCACCATTACTCCTTCTATGACTTCATAGTAACCAAGGCGCGAGGTAAGAGTGGACCCCTATTCAACTTTGATGCTCATGATGACATAAGAATTGTCAATGATGCTAAGATAGAGAAGAGTGAATCCCACGCTGGCAAGGTCTGTTTGAGGAGCTGGTATGAAAGAAACAAGCACATATTTCCTGCAAGTCGCTGGGAGCCCTATGACCCTGAGAAAAGCTGGGACAATTACACAATCTCTGACAAAAATGCTGTCAAAATTACTGTTAAGTAACTGAATATTTTAAAATGCTCTGTCAAGTAAATTATTACATTGTGTTTTTAATTATTAAATATGCTACCATTAATACAACCTTTGAATAACATAATAAAAAACAAGCAACTATTGCAAATGCTCTTTAATATTTGTTTAAATGGAGGACAAAAAATGTCACAAAGATAGCAACTAGTAGATGTCCACCCACAACATAAGCTCTAACATCATCTACCACACACAACTTGAATATTGCACCACTGCACCTGCTCTACAGTACTTGCAGTGTCAACAAAAGCCATAGGTAAGACTGTTTGGGAAGGATTTCTTGAATGTATTCAAACAATTACATTATCTTATTTAACAATAAAACCAGCCAATAAACAACAGAATTACAGATGTCACTGAATATATAACAGCAAACATAAAGTGGTTTACAAATAGTTCCAACCTTTTGTTCAGAAGCAATCATTTATTACATCAAGCTACCCAACAATCTCTATTTACTTGTCACAAGGCACCCCAAAATAAGTGTAGCAATCAGCCACCAAACTGGGCCAGGGATGGCAGCCACTGATAGGGCCAGGAAGACTGGTAGCAAAGATTTGATTTACGCAAGTCTTGTTTTGTTCCTTTCAATAAAAAGATTTAAAAAAAAAAAAAAAAACTGAGGAAGAGAATGTTTTAAAGCACTCAATTTGGAATGTGATTAAAAAGTTTTTGATTATCAAAGATGAGTATTTATGTAGAGAGAATCTTCCCATCATTAGTTGTGCACCAAGTGGTCAACATGATGGGAAGCAGCTTAGATGTTGAAGACAATAATGTCTGAACACACTAAGGTTTAGTAGTCATTTACACAAGAGAATATAATGTCCTTACACATATAGTTGTCACTGCAAAGACAATGCACTTGTAAAAGGTTTGTCATCATAATTTTAGGTTGGGGTATTTACTTTAGGCAGGTGTCCATTTGGAGCAAGAAAATTTGAATGAATAGATTTACATTAGTTCATTTTGGTAAGGTAGGCTCCTAGGTACAATATTACAACATTAGAGTCAAGGTATTGCTTTTTAAAGCACAGATGAGAGAATAAGTGCATGCTGGCAAAATGTTGACAGACATATTCCCTACTGTGTGCAAGCTTCACACACTGAAAACCTGTGGTGATACAATAGCTGCTTTATAGTTGTCACTGCTTGACTGAAATAAGCAATCTGAATGCCATCATCAAATGTGTTACAAAGCTGTTTGCTAAATCAGCAAGCTGGGTTTTAATTCTGGCCTTCAGTTTAAAACAATGTAGTACTCAACTGATTGCACTTGGCTCAATAGAAAAAAATATTTACAGACTTTATAAATCAAATGTACACATGGCAATATTTAAAAAATTTGATCCACAAGTAGTTGCTGGCAACACGTTTCTTGCAGCCAATTAAATAGAGAATTTAACAACAGCACACTGTCATGCATGTATAATCACAATCAAATGAAACACTTAGCAGTTTCTGGACAATCAGCAATAACTAACATCTAATTGAAACAAAAAGCAATGATTTTAATGTTTGGCTTTAAATTAAAAAATATCATTGTAAATTGAGTTAAAAGCTAAAATATTTACAACTAATTTTCAGTGCAGATGAGACTGAAGAATCTAGTGAAAACTTGTTTCAGTATATGCTTCCTACAGAACTGCTTCTCCTAATGACTACAACTGAAGGTATCTGGGTTGGAGGAAGCCTCTGACTAGAAGATGCAGGATGTGCCTGACTTATCACAGTCTAGAACCATGCCAGGCCCCACATGAACACAACTGGTAGGGTGCAACAAGTCTCTACAAATCTAATGAGCCAAACACAGCCACTGGGAAGTTTTTCACATGTGTCTGCCACTGTGAAGATAGCTGAAAAAATTTCACACCACTCCATTCCACACCGTCCACAAGAACTGAAAAACAAAAGATGTACACTGATATTGATGGGACAATGTCTACAACTACAATAATCAAGGTTGTTCATGTCTACAATAATCAAGGTTGTTCATGTCTACAATAATCAAGGTTGTTCATGTCTACAATAATCAAGGTTGTTCATGTCTACAATAATCAAGGTTGTTCATGTCTACAATAATCAAGGTTGTTCATGTCTACAATAATCAAGGTTGTTCATGTCTACAATAATCAAGGTTGTTCATGTCTACAATAATCAAGGTTGTTCATGTCTACAATAATCAAGGTTGTTCATGTCTACAATAATCAAGGTTGTTCATGTGTAATAGTACACATCATAGTACATAATCAAGGTTAACAGACCATGACAGAACTAACCTCGAAGTTTGACATTTTGACTCTTAGATGTGCACACCATACGGCTGACTCCTTCTATAGCTTGACTTTTTGATTCCAATTCTTTACCTTTTTTACCAATTCTCATAACTGGAGTAGTACAAGAAGAACAGATAAAATACCTAAAGTTTCACAAGCCAGAGGTGTAAACAAATGAGAATGTCCTTACTTTTTTGTTTTTTCTCTTTTGTCACCACCATCAAGGAAAATGTAGCTGACTGAATGCCACCAGAGTGTGGAAGACGATTGGCATATAAAGCCCTGAAGGCTGTCTTTAGAGAACACTTATTCATATCTTTCTTTTCTTTCTTGTCCAAGCTGTCAGACTTGGGAGGGGAAATAACCCAGTAGTCGACCTGTAGATCCATGAACTCAGCCGGGGAAGAAAGAGTAGCAAGCCCTGTCCCAGAGTTACTTGAAAGATTGAAACAAAAAGTTACGCTTGAGCTATTTATCATGGACTAACCACACTGGTTTATCTGCGTCAAACTGTCCATGTCAGACCACAATTTAGAATACATACCTAGTAGGAGGAGACATGACAGATGCTCCTATGTTTGGAGAGCTGGGTGGTGTGTGGCCATCTTTTGTTTTTTCAAGGACTGGGGTGGATGCAGGTGGAGAACTAGACAAGCCAACTGGAGGAAGACTATCTTCATATTCGACTGCAGAAACATTTGAAGAGTTTAGTAACACAATGGAGAAACACTAATTACAGATTTAATTACCATTTAATAAATGATTGGTCAAGGGTATTAAGCCTAGGTGTATACCTCATCTACCTATCATACTCAAAACAATACCATTGCATTTCTATCCCATTCAAATATCTTTAGTTATAGCGTAAGTACCACATGTGTGTAAAACACCAGGTGATATTGTCAAACACACAGATTGGTCTCAAATGTTTCAATTAAAACCAGAGAAAAGTAATAGAGTTTATAGTGTGTAATCACCAATTTTCTTAGACCAGCATTTCAAATATTATATCAAAAAATTCAATGCACAATCTTTCATAGCCCAGAATTCTGTTAATGATAATGCTAAAAACTTACCCGATGAACTAAATGTGTCTAAAGTTCCTATTCTTACCTCCTGAAATAAAGAGCATATATTGTTAAAAAACAAATTCTATACTTGAAGAAGCTATCTCATCTATGATAGAAAGCTAACAACACTTACACTTAAGAAAGGGATAAACATTTGAGAAGACACTTCATCTGAGCTGGAAAAAAAGAAAACATTTTCAACTCCTGGGTACTAACAAATACAATTTAGAGATTAACCCTAACAGCCCTAAGTGCCTTCTATTCCCATTCCTTTCTCTTATTTATTTTATGCCCCAATTCCCAGTCAGGTAAATTTCTAACAAACAAGGGTACTAAATACATAAAACTAAAACAAAGCTATTGACTGCACTATGGTACTGAGCCAGAGGTTGATGCTGATCATTAGAATATGATAATAAACTTGACATTGGTAAATTCAATCAGTCTCATTTCAACCTTGGTTACCATTGAAATGAGACTTATTGAATTTCAACTTAACCAATAAAAAAATGTTAGACTCAATCTGACAAAATGTGTGTGATTGACATTGAATCTAGACGCAGACCAACACTAGCATTTGGTTTGTGATATCAGTTACTGCTATTAACACACCCTCTCCATGTATGTCTTATGTCTTTATTTCTGATTAAAAATGGTTTGAGCTGCTTGGCCCTTAAATAATCTTAACTGTTGATTTCAACTGTGGAGATTTCTTTAGCAATCAAACAATGTCATTTAAGCTGAGTAATGATAGTTTTACTGTTACTTTTAACAGGTATCCACAACACTTTCCAGTTGATTAAATTTAAAAAGAAACTTTTCACCACCCATGAGTGCTCATATAAAGTCCCAGCATTGATATCCTTGCCCCCCTCCTATTGTTGACTCGAGGTGCAGAGCATTTTATCATAGTCACTAATCATTTCCAACATGTCATTATCCATTTTTCAAATCAGTTATTTCTGTGATATTCTTGGGACTGAGAGGACTAAGCTGAATGGCCATGTCGAAGGGAATGAAGAGAAAATGTAGGACAAGGATATTATAGTTGAAAACTTGTTGTTATAAAGTTTTTTAATGTAATTTTAACAGAAAAATATGGCCCACCTTCTGCCTTTGCACATAATCAAAGCTTCTGCAATAGGCATCTGATGTGTACTATTAGCACCATTCATGTATTTGGAAATTCTGTTGATAATATCTTGAGAATCTATAAAAAAAGAAGATGAAAATGTTAGACCAGGAATAAACGTAGCAATATGTTAATGAAAAAAACCCAGATAACTGACCTAGTTTGGGAGATTCTGGTTTGTCAAAAGTATCTTTCCATTGTTGATCTAGGAACAGGGACCCATAAGTGCTGTCAACACTAGCAATGTACTTGCCTACTGAGCTTGGACCTGAAACATTGTCCAAACACATTTATTTGACAAATTAGACACCATATCTTTTGTTTGACTAATTATCCAAAGGAAAATATTTTTCTCTAATTATGAGTGGGAAAAACTCATTTAGCTGATTTGTCATGGCCTAGTCATGTTGGCTTAACCCCTTAACGCCGACTGTTGCAAAAAGGCGACATACCGCATAGGTACATTTATCCTACTGCTGCTGGTCGTTTTGTATTGGGTACATCCAGACAGTCATATAAGTACCAATGGTCACATTGTCAAGTCGAAATTTATGACGTCACTCTCTCTTGACTCACGCACATAGTAAATTTTTTGATTTTGTGAAATCAGCCATTTGCATTGATTACTATTACCAAATACGTGGTCAGTTTTTACTACTAAAAATACCAATAGCTTTATAATTCACGCTTTTATGTATATAAACAGTATAAACCACATATGAGAATAATTTAGGAAGTTATCTTCTGATTACGGTTTGTCGCATTTTCGCAACATCCGGCAACAAGACATGAAATTGTACTTGGGTGCCTAGCAGGTATAACGAAATAAGATGCCTCGCCAAACTATCATTTCTTCAAGTTTGATTATAAATAACTATAGGATTTACAAAATAGTCTTTGCCTATATATAAAAGTGCACTTTAGAACGTTACAGTCCCTGCGGTAGGTGAGGTAGAGTTCACCTGTTTCATTGACCTTGGCATATTGAGAGAGAGCGATGCTGGAATAATGTGATCATGCTGCTGGGTACAATATAACAAATTTAGCTTTGAAATAGCATTGTAAAATATTAGGAGAACATAAAAAATAGACAACAGTATGTGGAGTGGTGGACCACTATCCTGGATACCACCAAAGAAAGGTCTTCACAGTGACCCTGACAATAATAACACTGAGCATAGACCTACACCTCGTAATAAATACAGTAAGGTTGAGTACTGACAAACATACACTTTGCAGTGCTATTGAATACCCACATCAGTGGCATTATGCTGGCATTTAGTGCCAACAGCAGTGTTATTGCGTACCCACATCTTCAGCACTAAGTACCAACATCAGTGACACTGAGCACCCACAAATTCAGCACTAAGTACACACAGTAGTAATAGTGAGTACCCACTGCTAAGGCTGAGTACCCACAGCAATGTTATCGATTACCAACAGCGCCAGTGCTGAGTACCCACAGCAGTGACACCAAGAACCGACTACAGTAACACTGAATACCCACAGCTTTAACAGTGAGTACCCACACCTTCAGCACTGAGTACACATGGTTTCAACACTCAGTACCCACTGTTTCAGCACTGAGTACCCATACCAGTAGCAATATGTAGTTACAGCATTGTCATTGGTAATCCATAGAAGTATCATTTGAGTACAACAGCTGTAGCATGTAGTACCAAAATCAGAAATACTGGGTACCATCAACAATAGCAGTGAGTACCTACACAAGTGGCACTGAGTACCCACAGCAGTGACACTAAGTACCCACAGCAGCTGCAATGAGCATGGAAGACTGAACTCTTGTCATTATTTGTTCACATGCTTTGTGTGTATAGCAAATATAGGTCGAATGAGAAATATGCGTCTTTACTATTTGACCTTGAAAAAGAGTTCACGAAAAGGGCGTAACCAGGGACAACTAAGGCCATACACATTTAAAGAAGTTCTTTCATATGTAGTGTGTTACTGTAGTGAAGTAGAACCACAGCGACAAGGCTTCAAAGTATCCATTCATAAGAGTTAGTGAGCAGGTGCAGCAGAGTTATTAACTCTATGCCTGAGCTACTAAACTATAGTTTTCATTAATTTTACAAGTGAGTCTACATCTCCTTGCATGTCCATGTGTTTAGTTTGTGATATTCTATTTAGAGAAACATGTGTCAGTAAAAATAGTAAATGACCCGGACAAAATTTTTTTAAAAATTACTGTTTGGTCCATTAGTGCCGGATGTAGCAAATTTGCGACATACCGTAATTAGCATAAAAAATAAGTCCAAATTTAAAAACAATATACCTCAAATTCTATGTTGGTATGATGAGAGAAAATAATTTTTTACATGCTTTGAACATAATTCAGGCAGTAAGGGGTTAAATAAGTTGATGGAAACAATACAATTAAGGCATTAATTGTAATAATAAATTATACAGCACATAACGGGTGAAAGTTTCTTACCAAATGGAATTACCAGAAACTTGAGGTAGTTTTGCCAATCTGGTGACTTGCCAGAGAAATGTTCCACATAGGGGCGTAATACTGAGTTGATATATGCATCACCACCAACCACACCAACTTTTATAGGTGCTGGTGTTCTGGCATTACTGTTACAACTAAACAAAAATTATGGTCTTAGTTTTTAGGCACTGAGGAAAATTGTAGATTTTCTAGGTTTCTGATAAACATGTACCCAACATTTAGTGTCTTTATTTACTGTTTGAACTAATTCCATAGCATATAAATAAGGTTATCACAACACAACATTTACTGAAAACAACCACAATGGCCATCACAATCAACTAGGAGGATTCACTCTGCCTCTTTTACAGTAACCATAGCCAGTACTTGAGCTATACAAAAAAATCTCACACAACCCATTCTCTTCTTTCAGCTGCATTAGTCATAGCTTTTATTTTCTTACCTAACAGTTTGTTATTCTGCTTAAAGTATTAGAGTTTCTCTCTGAGTGCTGGGATCTAAGCATTAGCTTATGTAACATGAATACGACAGGCAAGTGAATGATATTCGTCACTGACTGACTGTCATGTATATTTTATATAATAGAATGGTGCCTTACCTACATGGCAAAGCTGTGTAAAATTTAAACAATTATGACACTGAATCAATCAACTGAAAAGTTTTTTTTTCTTGTTAGATTCTCACCACACAAAAACATAACATAAAAAAGTTCCTCAAGAAATGTGCTGTAGTAGAAAAATAACAACACAACTTACAATTTCTGAATCTTGGTTACTAAAAAACAAATGGCAGCTTTAACATCAGCTTCTGAGCAGGTGCAAATCAAGCGCAGCTGTCTGTCTTGCACTTTTTGGACAAGCATTTGACCTTGCCACTCCCAAGTGTTGACCATAAAGATAAACTCTGGGAGATAATCTTCGGTGCTGTCAAACACAACACTTAGCTGCTCAAGTAAAGCTTTACGAGGCTGGGAAGAGACAACATTCAAGAGTCAATTACCACTGTTAATAACAGTGAAAAATTATTTTCAGATTTAATATTTTTTAAGTACAAATATTATTGATATTACTGTTTATTCTCAATTTTGTTTATATAAAATGTAAAAAAATAAGTTCCAAGTTACCAAAAAAAAAGTGTAATTATTTAAAATCTATAATGTATCATATAATTAAGATTCTATTAAAAAGATAAAACATTAGCAAGTAACTAAATCTACAAAATTAGTATCTATGGTAGCAGGTTAAGTCAGCAGCATAACCTCAAGTTAATATGTTATACTTGTATCCAGCTACATGTTAACACACACACACAATGGTACATGTTGATACAATGTTTAATCACCTGTGTTGAAAGTGGGTGACAAGATCAGCTTCAAGGACAATCAACACAATATTTATTAAGATGTCACAATATAAAGGAAAACATTTTACATTTTATGCCTTAAAATTATTTTGTACATGTACCTAAACACTGTTTGGTGTAAAATATTTGTCTAGAGAGCGAGCAAACAGAGGACATTTTGTAGAACACAACATCTATTGTTAAGTAGTATTCAAGATATATAGGGTGTAGAGTGGAATAGATGTCTCAACAAACAATTGGAATAAATAGAATGTAGCAATTTAAAACATGTTTGAATGAGATGGATCTACATGTTCCTACTGACACTTTAGTGTACCTGTTGCAAACATTCTAATCTTGAGTTACCTGCTGTCAGCAAACGCAATACAACATTTATCTATAACAACTTGTCCAGAGAATATGTCTGTGAAGAGCTCTTAGGTCATACCTTTAAGTGAAATGTAGCATGAGAAAGCTAGACAAGTGTGTACAAGTGTGACACTGGCTGCCTTAATGTATTAGTGTAGAGAGATAAAGTAGCCATAATGATATTGTTTACACTGTCCACCAGGATTTTATTACATGATAAAACACTGACACCTATTCCAGTACATAGACCATAGAGTTATAGAGGCAAACAGTAGGTTGGATAAACTGGTCCCCTGTAGCCAGACAAACCTTAAATGAATGGGTAGTGTATTAGTGGTTGACAAACATCCAACAAAAAAATTGCAAAGAGTGGTTGAGCTAATGATTAAAGCATATAAGAGGCAGTGTAGCCAAAGAAGAAAGCTATAACTAGATGAAAGACCTGTGCCACTGACCAGTGACCCATCTTCACCAACACTACTTCTACGCTGATGGTTAAATTCCTTCTTGCTCTTCTTCTCTCTATAGGAAGTGCTGCGGATTCGTTCCCTATTCAAGTCTTTACTCTTGGGCCTGGGAGAATGAGGACGGGGTGAAGATTCGCTGGCTGGTGGCCACTGAACAGGTTAGAGAAAATCACACAAGCACACAGGTTATCCATGCTGCAGCACTATGTAATGCTAGTTAACCTTTCAACTTTCTACAATAAATAATGCCAGCTAACCTCTAAACTGGGCTACCAAAAACTGTCATTTTATTGCAGATCTGTAATATTACTAAAAAGATCTACAATATAAAAATATGCATCTCATCTATCAAAATATTTTAGTGAGACATCTTAGTAGACATGACAAACAATGTTTGCACGTGGGTAAAACAATGCTTTAACATCACAACCAGTGGTCGCTTACAGTCTATGTACCAAGCATATCAGGAATAACATCATAACCAGTGGTCACTTACAGTCTATGTACCAAGCATATCAGGGATAACATCACAACCAGTGGTCGCTTACAGTCTATGTACCAAGCATATCAGGAATAACATCACAACCAGTGATCGCTTACAGTCTATGTACCAAGCATATCAGGAATAACATCATAACCAGTGGTCACTTACAGTCTATGTACCAAGCATATCAGGAATAACATCACAACCAGTGATCGCTTACAGTCTATGTACCAAGCATATCAGGAATAACATCATAACCAGTGGTCACTTACAGTCTATGTACCAAGCATATCAGGAATAACATCATAACCAGTGGTTGCTTAGTCTATGTACCAAGCATATCAGGAATAACATCATAACCAGTGGTCACTTACAGTCTATGTACCAAGCATATCAGGAATAACATCACAACCAGTGGTCGCTTACAGTCTATGTACCAAGCATATCAGGAATAACATCATAACCAGTGGTCACTTACAGTCTATGTACCAAGCATATCAGGAATAACATCACAACCAGTGATCGCTTACAGTCTATGTACCAAGCATATCAGGAATAACATCATAACCAGTGGTCACTTACAGTCTATGTACCAAGCATATCAGGAATAACATCATAACCAGTGGTTGCTTAGTCTATGTACCAAGCATATCAGGAATAACATCATAACCAGTGGTCACTTACAGTCTATGTACCAAGCATATCAGGAATAACATCACAACCAGTGATCGCTTACAGTCTATGTACCAAGCATATCAGGAATAACATCATAACCAGTGGTCACTTACAGTCTATGTGCCAAACATATCAGGAATAACATCATAACCAGTGGTCACTTACAGTCTATGTACCAAGCATATCAGGAATAACATCACAACCAGTGGTCACTTACAGTCTATGTACCAAGCATATCAGGGATAACATCACAACCAGTGGTCACTTACAGTCTATGTACCAAGCATATCAGGAATAACATCATAACCAGTGGTTGCTTACAGTCTATGTACCAAGCATATCAGGAATAACATCATAACCAGTGGTTGCTTACAGTCTATGTACCAAGCATATCAGGAATAACATCATAACCAGTGGTCACTTACAGTCTATGTACCAAGCATATCAGGAATAACATCATAACCAGTGGTTGCTTACAGTCTATGTACCAAGCATATCAGGAATAACATCATAACCAGAACACATGTTGGACAGATGTAGACGGTCAATCAATTACCCCTTTTCAACTTTGAACTTTAATTGAAATCATTTGCGTTGATTCAAACTTAAAAGTTAATCATATGATGTTTTCTAATGTCATTTCTATGAAACGCTTTATCCATTGTTCATTTCATGATGAAATTAAAAAGGGAATTTCTAGTTGATTCACTGTATCAAACTAATAAGTTCCTACTTTCATACTTTAAGTGAAAAAAAAAATTATGCTAAGAAAACTGGAAATAAAAAGGTGTTTTACTATTAATTGTTTTCACAATCAAAATAAACATATTTTAAAGTTAAAACAATGTGTCTTTTATTAATAAATACTTCAAATATTTTTTGGTTGCAAATAAAATAAAATGGAGCCAAATGAATAAAAAGAATAATGTAACCAGTTCTGATATAAATGTATGTGTTTTTTTGTTTTTTTTTCTGCTGGAAAACTTGTTGATGCCAATTGAGGTGAATTTTTATTTAAGTCATTTTTGCATAAAATGTTTAAAAATGACCAATTGAAGTACTGCTAACATATTTTAATCATGACAAATTATGATAAACACAATTATCCCTATGACAGCCAGAATAAATATAATATTGTGAAGCAAAACAAAAATGATACGGTTAAATGCTCGGATGGGGTATTGATGGCAAAATCCCAAACGCTAAAAGTTTCTCCAAAAAAAAAAAAAAAAGGTTAGTCATACTTCCTGACTTAAGTCCAGCAGTACACTCTGTTGGAGATAATAAATGATCTACTGTAATTTCTCATTTACCTAGGGCAGTGGGATCAACTGTAATGTCTCATTTACCTGGGGCAGTGGGATCAACTGTAATGTCTCATTTACCTGGGGCAGTGGGATCAACTGTAATGTCTCATTTACCTAGGGCAGTGGGATCAACTGTAATGTCTCATTTACCTGGGGCAGTGGGATCAACTGTAATGTCTCATTTACCTAGGGCAGTGGGATCAACTGTAATGTCTCATTTACCTAGGGCAGTGGGATCAAATGTAATGTCTCATTTACCTGGGGCAGTGGGATCAACTGTAATGTCTCATTTACCTAGGGCAGTGGGATTAACTGTAATGTCTCATTTACCTGGGGCAGTGGGATCAACTGTAATGTCTCATTTACCTGGGGCAGTGGGATCAACTGTAATGTCTCATTTACCTGGGGCAGTGGGATCAACTGTAATGTCTCATTTACCTAGGGCAGTGGGATCAACTGTAATGTCTCATTTACCTGGGGCAGTGGGATCAACTGTAATGTCTCATTTACCTAGGGCAGTGGGATCAACTGTAATGTCTCATTTACCTGGGGCAGTGGGATCAACTGTAATGTCTCATTTACCTAGGGCAGTGGGATCAACTGTAATGTCTCATTTACCTAGGGCAGTGGGATCAACTGTAATGTCTCATTTACCTGGGGCAGTGGGATCAACTGTAATGTCTCATTTACCTAGGGCAGTGGGATCAACTGTAATGTCTCATTTACCTAGGGCAGTGGGATCAACTGTAATGTCTCATTTACCTAGGGCAGTGGGATCAAATGTAATGTCTCATTTACCTAGGGCAGTGGGATCAACTGTAATGTCTCATTTACCTGGGGCAGTGGGATCAAATGTAATGTCTCATTTACCTGGGGCAGTGGGATCAACTGTAATGTCTCATTTACCTAGGGCAGTGGGATCAACTGTAATGTCTCATTTACCTAGGATTGTTGGATCAACTTCAACATCTAATTTTAAATAACTGGGTATTGCCTTCCAAAGTATGAGAATTAGTATCTTGGTTGCAGAGATTTTAAATAAAAGTTGATAGAGTAAAACATGCCACATGCTATCAATAATAGTCCAAAAACTGTTAGCTGTGACCAAAAATATAACTTTATAACTTTTACTCTAAAATGGTCTTAAATAGACTTTGTACAAATGAGTGAAAATGTTAACTGCATATTAAAAAGCTGTCTATCGATGAAGCAACTATATCCACAGCTGGTTTTCCATAGAGTTTAGACCGGTGCCCACAAGTAAATTATTCAACTATACAACATGACATATGGCCATACACAGCACAAAACAAGCAATATTAATGTCATGTCACACAGACAGATGGATAGTTTACCTCTACCTGACAGATGGATAGTTTACCTCTACCTGACAGATGGATAGTTTACCTCTACCTGACAGATGGATAATTTACCTCTACCTAACAGATGGATAGTTTACTTCTACCTGACACTTGGATAATTTACCTCTACCTGACAGATGGATAGTTTACCTATATCTGACAGATGGATAGTTTACCTCTACCTGACAGATGGATAGTTTACCTCTACCTGACAGATGGATAGTTTACTTCTACCTGACAGATGGATAGTTTACCTCTATCTGACAGATAGATAGTTTACCTCTACCAGACAGATGGATAGTTTACCTCTACCTAACAGATGGATAGTTTACCTCTACCTGACAGATGGATAGTTTACCTCTATCTGACAGATGGATAGTTTACTTCTACCTGACAGATGGATAGTTTACTTCTATCTGACAGATGGATAGTTTACCTCTACCTAACAGATGGATAGTTTACTTCTACCTGACACTTGGATAATTTACCTCTACCTGACAGATGGATAGTTTACCTCTACCTGACAGATGGATAGTTTACCTCTACCTGACAGATGGATAGTTTACCTCTACCTGACAGATGGATAGTTTACCGCTATCTGACAGATGGATAGTTTACCTACCTGACAGATGGATAGTTTACCTCTACCTGACACTTGGATAATTTACCTCTACCTGACAGATGGATAGTTTACCTATCTGACAGATGGATAGTTTACCTAACTGACAGATGGATAGTTTACCTCTACCTGACAGATGGATAGTTTACCTCTACCTGACAGATGGATAATTTACCTCTACCTGACAGATGGATAGTTTACCTCTACCTGACAGATGGATAGTTTACTTCTACCTGACAGATGGATAGTTTACCTCTACCTGACAGATGGATAGTTTACCTCTACCTGACAGATGGATAGTTTACCTAACTGACAAATGGATAGTTTACCTAACTGACAGATGGATAGTTTACCTCTACCTGACAGATGGATAGTTTACCTCTACCTGACAGATGGATAGTTTACCTCTACCTGACAGATGGATAGTTTACTTCTACCTGACAGATGGATAGTTTACCTCTACCTGACAGATGGATAGTTTACTTCTACCTGACAGATGGATAGTTTACCTCTATCTGACAGATGGATAGTTTACCTCTACCTAACAGATGGATAGTTTACTTCTACCTGACACTTGGATAATTTACCATCTACCTGACAGATGGATAGTTTACCTCTATCTGACAGATGGATAGTTTACCTCTACCTGACAGATGGATAGTTTACCTCTACCTGACAGATGGATAGTTTACTTCTACCTGACAGATGGATAGTTTACTTCTACCTGACAGATGGATAGTTTACCTCTATCTGACAGATGGATAGTTTACCTCTACCTAACAGATGGATAGTTTACTTCTACCTGACACTTGGATAATTTACCTCTACCTGACAGATGGATAGTTTACCTATATCTGACAGATGGATAGTTTACCTCTACCTGACAGATGGATAGTTTACCTCTACCTGACAGATGGATAGTTTACCTCTACCTGACAGATGGATAGTTTACTTCTACCTGACAGATGGATAGTTTACCTCTATCTGACAGATAGATAGTTTACCTCTACCAGACAGATGGATAGTTTACCTCTACCTGACAGATGGATAGTTTACCTCTACCTGACAGATGGATAGTTTACCTCTACCTGACAGATGGATAGTTTACCTCTACCTGACAGATGGATAGTTTACTTCTACCTGACAGATGGATAGTTTACCTCTACCTGACAGATGGATAGTTTACCTCTACCTGACAGATGGATAGTTTACCTAACTGACAAATGGATAGTTTACCTAACTGACAGATGGATAGTTTACCTCTACCTGACAGATGGATAGTTTACCTCTACCTGACAGATGGATAGTTTACCTCTACCTGACAGATGGATAGTTTACCTCTACCTGACAGATGGATAGTTTACTTCTACCTGACAGATGGATAGTTTACCTCTACATGACAGATGGATAGTTTACCTCTACCTGACAGATGGATAGTTTACCTCTACCTGACAGATGGATAGTTTACCTAACTGACAAATGGATAGTTTACCTAACTGACAGATGGATAGTTTACCTCTACCTGACAGATGGATAGTTTACTTTTACCTGACAAATGGATAGTTTACCTCTATCTGAGACAATATTTCCTAATTCCACATACTGGGATGTGTCAGATAATGAAAAAAAAAGGACGTTTTATTTAACAAAAACTTTCTATGTTTTATCGCAGTTAAAGCAGTCTCACGCTGTTATTGTATTAATCGTTTAATATAGCTAATATTTAAAATGTAGTTTGTATTACTATAAAATAGAAGAGTTGTCTAATTACAATTTAATGTTTACCTTATAAAAAACCTTTTTAAAAAATGAAATTTAACAATATTAAAATTTTGTAAAAATTTGTCAGAGATTGAAAATCAGCGCAAAAATATGGAGAAAATAATAATTAGTGGAGGAAAATTGCAGCTGAAATGGAGAAATCGGATTTCTGCTAAAAATTGGTAAAGTCACATCCCTAATCATACAGTACTATACTGAAGAGCCAGAGAGCAGTCTCATTTTACTGGCTTGCCTGCTAGTTTGCCTAGCATTCAACTGAGCCAGCAGTGGTGAGATTTTGATTTGACAAACATTAATTTGTTTCAAGTGTAGATGAGTATTTTGTTCTTGGGGAAAAACCCTGTCAACCAATACACTAGTGAAGTACAAATGATGAGGCTGATTATAACCAGTGTTGTAGCATGTGGTGACCAACTAACTTGTATTAGCACCACTGTGTTGTAGCATGTGGTGACCAACTAACTTGTATTAGCACCACTGTGTTGTAGCATGTGGTGACCAACTAACTTGTATTAGCACCACTGTGTTGTAGCATGTGGTGACCAACTAACTTGTATTAGCACCACTGTGTTGTAGCATGTGGTGACCAACTAACTTGTATTAGCACCACTGTGTTGTAGCATGTGGTGACCAACTAACTTGTATTAGCACCACTGTGTTGTAGCATGTGGTGACCAACTAACTTGTATAAGCACCACTGTGTTGTAGCATGTGGTGACCAACTAACTTGTATTAGCACCACTGTGTTGTAGCATGTGGTGACCAACTCCTATGTGTTGCTACTGTCGCAGGAATATTTATTTTTGTATGTCTTGGTTTGACTATATACTGGTAAAAACTACCAATAAAACGTACAATGTATAGTGATGCCACATGCAACTATAAGGACTACAGTCTAACATACAGAATGCTACACATACACATGTAAAAAAACAAGCTGATGAATGAAGATGTCTTGCATAACTTACTGTATGTAGATCAGAATCACTTCTTTTTACTGGAGTCTCTTCTTGCGTGCGGAAAACTTCCTGGAATAAAAAATTGGGTCTGTAACATAAACAAAGTACAACAACCTAAATAACTAGAGCATGTACTCACTGAGCACGTTTGTGTCTTAGAGTTAACTACCTGAGATGATGCTTTTGGTTGCTCGGATGCCTCAGGAGTTACACCTCTTCCAGCAAAAAAAGGTCTAGAGATTGACACAAGAAAAAAAAATGACATTTTCCTTTTTAAGTAAAGTTGATTTAATGATGGCATAGGTTTAGCATATAATGTAAGTGACCTTAGCTTAGGTTTTGGTGTTGACATAACACTCATGGTATCAAGCTCTGGACCACTGTCTGAATCCTCCAGCTCATCAAATAAATCATCCAGTTCCTGAGGGTTGGGAATCTGATCATGGTCAGCTTCAGAATCCAAAGTTGTCAACACCTAGAAAAGACATGGGAGCTCATTCTTAAACTGACCAAACTTGTTTACTGCGGAACCAATTTTTATTTAAGCTAACTTACATCTTCTGAAATTTTGAACCTCTTTAACAAAGCTCTGAACTTCTGCTTGATGTTCCGTTGCTGTAGGTAAAAAAAAGCAGCACATTAATTATCAATCCTTATTCTTGAATGAAAAAAGTGCAGCCCTAGAGAAGAATAAACTCACAGTGACAGCTGGTCTAGCTTTTGATCTACTGTGTTTCCTCTGTCTGGCTCTTGCTTCATGTTCTGTCATGGTAGGCTCACTGTCGCTCATGTCGTCATTGGAGGAGTAGTCATTATAGTCTGGACCATCATCATCATCACTGTCATTATCTATATCTGGTGACCGATCTAAAACAGATTACATCATTTGGACATGTATCTTTCTTATTTCTACAAAAGCTTTTCCCATCAAAACTTAATAGTTATACACCAATGCTATCCACATCACAAAAATTATAATTATACAGGTCTACTAATGTTACTTGCAGTGATATGAATATGCTAAAGGAAACAACACAATGCTGCTCATGCTGACGCTATACTTAAACATATAAGAAATTAAAATTGACAAGACAAAAATTAGGTTTGTTTTCTGGATTTCATTTGATGTACAAAAGATGTAGAATTTAAGCAGCTTAAAGTGATATTAGTTGTTAATAATATGTGATGCCATTAAAATATTAACAAAACAAAATACACCATAATTTAGATATTATTCCAGACAAAGAAATAAAAATATTAAGTTCAATATTGAAATAATTATGTTTACTCTTGCCTTTACTTCTGTGTTTTCTGTGCCAAAATTATTTTAAAACATTTAGCAAGTTCATAATGCACTAATCAGAAATACTTACCAACATCAGAGGATGCATTTTTACGATGAAGATTAATATCCTGGTCTACTGGCTGACTAGTAGGTCCAAGCAAGACTAATTTAGCAACAGGGTTGGTCTGTTCCTTAACATCACTATATAAATTTAATTCTCTGTCCATTGAACATTGAAGAACCTAAGATTAAGTAATGACACAAATGTTAATAGCAATATATTGATCTAGTTGATCTAATTAGCAATTACATTACTGGGTCACATCAGAAAAAAAATCCCCAGAATATTTGGTCTGTACAGAAGAGAGTATAAAAAAACAACAGCAGTGCCATTTACAATAAAATGTAATAATTGTAAGAAAATTCCCTTTTTGAACCTTAAGGTCGATAGGGCAAGTGAAGTAAGAGTTCACCTGTTTCTGTGAACTCGGCAATTAAAGGGATAGTGTTGTCAGCACTAAGCCCAGCCACCTTTATTTTACCTAACATGAGTTAGGTATCCATCAGAGCCGCGTAGACTAAAGGACTTGAACCAGGATTTGAAATCGCGACTTACGGGTTAGCAGTCTAGTGTTCAGCTGCTAGGCCATGCAGTCCCCATAAATTTTTTATAATAACAGAGTATCTTTAAAATTTTGTGTCTTGATTAAGGTTTATGTATTGTTTTATATATTTTTAGATTGAAAGCGCCAAAGTTTATTTCATCAACAAAATCCCTTTTTTTAGAAAGGAGAAATACTCAAAGATGATTGTGGGGTGGAAAAATTATTAAAAATACTCTCAAGATGCTCTTTAAAATTTGTTTAAATCGTGTGCAGCTTAATTAAAACAGATGTGGTTATAAAAACAATTGTGTGGTTTATGTATGATCTTTCTAAAGACCTGATATACATTTATTATAATGTTTTTACTATTAACAAAAACTTATCAAAATTTTGAAAAAAAAAAGAGCATCAAACAATTTTGAAAAAAATTCTGCATTTTATGACAATAACATTGACTACAATGATTCTTAAAATATTTATTTTCTGATTTTGTGCCATCTGTGCTACCATTTTGAAGACTAAATTATTATTTAACCATGACAACAATAATGATCAGGGACTTTTAAACAAACTCGATGGGTGCCACAGTTGTAAGTAATTGTTAACTGAGGATGACTGTCTACCAAATATCATGCAAGTTACATCTCCATGAAATTTTCTTATAAGTCCAAGTCTTAGGTTGCTATCTATTATAAACACCAAGTGATGTGTTAATGTTAAAAAATGTATTAACAACAAGTTTTTTATAAAATAATGTACTTAAAAGAAAAGCGTGTTTGGACATATGTATTTAATACCCTCACTAGATCTAAAAATTGTAGGCGTGACCAATGCTTTTAGTTTGAAAGTATCAGTCGGGTAGAAGAGTTTGAAATTTTGCTATCCAATTTTGACTAAGCAAGCAAAATGTGCAAGGAATAAATGAAATGCTTGTTAAAAAGGAGTCCAACAGATACAAGCCATCAGGCCTAAAGGGTCAGAAAGTGCTAGAAGCAGTTTTGTCAGAGTTCTAATTAGTAAGGCAATAATGTATACCAATGTCCTACCTGTGACATGTTCACTTGGCCAACTGCTAGTGTCTTAAAGCCTAAGATTGTTCTGTTTTTATATTTTTTCCTTCTTTGAAGCATGACATGTAATCTATTGCCATCTCTCTTCAAAAAGTGAGGATACTTGAATTTGAAAAAAAAAAATATGCAAAAAAATAAGAAAGGATGTTGAAGGAGAGACATTTGTTGAACACATAAGAGATTAGATAAAAATATAAAACAGTTAGTTATTGTAAGTATTCATAGTGGAGGGAGGGGTATTGCCTTATAAATGATGAAGACAGCAATAAAAAACAGTACAATTGACATTTTATCCAGAGCTTTACCAGTTTGTCTGAAGAAATAAGTTTATATCTGAGTTTTTGGATCCTTTTAAAACCAATAATTCCAGATTAACAGACGCTGTATCAAAATATTTTCTTATTTATTTATTTTAAATTAATAACAAAAAATCTTAATAGGATTTTAAATATATGGTACTGATAGTGAAATAGACAAATAAAAAAATACCTGTAAGGAAAAAGAAAGATCCAAATCAGTATCCAACAGACCACCTGGTGGTACTCTAATTTCATTAGACCGCAATATACGCTTGGAATTCTAGAAATAGACAAGTTAAGCAATATTCCAGTTAAGCAGTATGTACTGATGATTTAATTCACTCAGCTAGTCAACTGCTTGCATACAGATGGTTTAATTCAATCAGCTACTTAACTGTATGTGTACTGATGATTTACTTCACTCAGTTATAGAAATGTAATGACAAGCCTATGTTTAGGTGATATGATTCAAAATTCAGCTAAATCTGTATATTATTTATAAACATTGCATTTCTTTAAGTTTGTTTAAAGAAGAAATTTCTTAATCTACATTAGTCAAAGATAATTAACAATGGAAAATAATTTACCTGCATTTTCACAGCAATCAAAAGTGCTGTAAGTTCTGATTCTAGTGGACGGAGAACCAACAGTCTTGTCAGTGTAAGACTGCAAAGTCTGATTGAAATACAATAAAAAAGGACTTATGAATTATATTATTTAAAAAGTATGAATTAATTCAACTTTACAGCTGATTAGAAATCAGGCATTCACAGGTGAGCTTGTCAGATTTTGTGTAATATAAATATATTCAGAGTATGTATCAAAGAACTGCAAAGAAAATTGCCCGAGACTGGCAAATGTGGAAAGAGCTTATTTTCTGGGTTGGCCCCATGTGTCCTGGGTACTGAAGGGAAAGATAAACACCACAAAGGAAAATATCTACATTCCTTTCTTAATAGACTTGAATTCAAATAAAATGAGATTAAAATACAGTTAGGACCCCCCACTCTATAGACTTTAGAGATAAAACCAGAAAGCAAATGGTCAAGAACATTTTATCTAAATAAATAAGTAGTTTATCAGTTTATGCTATCTACAAGTGGAACCAATCTATATATATAAAAAGCAATGTATGTTTGTGTGTGTGTCTGTTTGTTTGTCTTTTATGCATTGCTACACCTCTTATCACATCGCCTTGAAACTTTGGGAAGTTGTTGAGAATATTCCTGGGGAGGTTTCTGCGGAAAAAAAAATTTCAAATACGCAGGGGCGGCGCCCCGACAGGGCGCGATTTGTTTTTTTCTATATACGGTATATAAAAATTAAAGTCGATTTTGGTTTGGCATCGTTCATCCGATAGCCATGAGACTTTGGGGAGTTCATTATACCACTCTAGGGAAGGGTTCTGTAAAAATATAATTTTTAATTTCGCAAAGGCGGCGCCATGGGAGGGTCCGATTTTTCTCTATTTACGGTATATACAAATAATAAAACTGAATAGCAGTGACACCATTTATACGATAGGCATGAAAATTTGAGGAGGGTTCTGTAAAAAATCATTTTTAATTTCCCAAGGGCGGCGACACGGGAGGGTGCGATTTTTCTCTATATACGGTATATAAAAATAAGTCGATTTTGGTGTGACGTTATCCGATAGCCATGAGACTTTGGGGGAGTTGATTAGAACAATTCAGGGAAGGGTTCTGTAAAAAAATCTTTTTTTTTAATTTCGCAAGGGCGGCGCCACGGGAGGCTGCGATTTTTCTCTATATACGGTTTATAAAATTTCGGTTTCACACCGTTAATCCATGTACCATGAAACTTTGGGAAGATGATTAGATCACTCAATGTTAGTGTTCTGCAAAAAAAATATTGTTTAATATTGCAAGGCAAGTTTCTTATGGGCGGCGCCATATAGGGTACAACTTTCCTCAATACACGGTTTGCCGCCCAGAGTTTTAGAGCGACTGTGTTGGCACTTGGCATCCGTTAATCGAGCGTCCTGCATAGCGAGTAAGGGGTACTACTATATTCAGCAGTAAAACTACAACAGGCTTCTAAAAATAACTTTGTAACGCGAGGAAATCCTTCTGTACAGTTTCGTCACCTTGCGAAAGATGAAAAAATAACTTTTTGAATATCGAGCATCTAATAGGGCAGGCATAGTTTACATTTAAATAACTCATTTTTAGAAAAGAAGGTCACCCCTGCAAATTTGAAAATGTTTTTAGCGCAGAAACCTCCCCAGGAATATTCTCAACAAATTTCTCAAAGTTTCATGGCGATAGTGTTAACGGTGTCACTGCAATTCACTTTTATTATTTTTATATACCGTATATAGAAAAAAACCGCACCCTCACGTGGCGCCGTCCTTGCGAAATTAAAAATGATTTTTTTAGAAAAACCTTCCCCAGAGTGTCCCAATCAACCCCCCAAGTCTCATGGTTATTGGATAAAGGTGTCAAACCAAAATCGACTTTTATTTTTATATGCCTAATATAGAGAAAAAACAAATCGCGCCCTGCCGGGGCGCCACCCCTGCAAAATTGAAAATGGTTTTAGCGCAGAAACCTCCCCATGAATATTCTCAACATCTTCCCAAAGTTTCATGGCGATCGTGTGAACAATGTCACGGCAATTCACTTTTATTATTTTTATATACCGTATATAGAGAAAAATCGCACCCTCCCGTGGCGCCGTCCTTGCGAAATTAAAAATTGTTTTTTTACAGAACCCTTCCCTAGAGTGTTATAATGAACTACCCAAATTTTATGCCTATCGGATGAACAGTGTGAAATCAAAATCGACTTTTATTTTTTTATACCGTATATAAAGAAAAAAACAAATCGCGCCCTGCCGGGGCGCCACCCTTGCGAATTTGAAAATTTTTTTTCGCAGAAACCTCCCCAGGAATATTCTCAACAACTTCCCAAAGTTTCATGCGATGTGATAAGAGGTGTAGTAATGCATAAAGGACAAACAAACAAACATACATTGCTTTATATATATATATAGATAGATAGATTAGTAAGTTATACTAAGAAATAGGCCTATAACTTAATTATAAAATTATAGTATAAAGTATAATAAGCCTTAAATTTAAGTAGATATGTGTGAAATGCTTGACACTAGTTAATGTAAGCCAAAGCTTCTTGCCTTTCGTTTTTAATAGATAACTTGATCAATGTATTTCATCTAGTTTTAACAGTGCCACCCACAATTAAATTCTTTCCACCTCGAAAACTACACCATTGGCATTAGTGCGCGTATTTTATCGATAATAGGTAATGCGGTGCTAAACCGACGCCATGGCGTTGTCAAGGCCGAAGCGCTAGCTCGGGGATTTGACATGTATAACTCGTAAACAGATGTAGTGAATGCCATAAAACCGTTATTATAATAATATTTGTTTATTTAATGGACACTTAAAGCTAATGGACATGTACGCGAGATAAACTCATTAGAATCGTGCGATCGATTTTGGCTTTAAGATTGTCATAATGACTGTAATTTTCTAATTGAAACATATAATACGACTACACTAGAATATCTATATCGAATATTTCTAAAAACTCGATTCCAACAGTGAGGTTCGGCATTCTTCAAAAAATGGCGAGTTTTTATAAACACTGCATCAAAAAGTCCGGATGTGGAATACCGAATCGAAACAGCGGAAGTCAAAATGCCTATACTTTACCCATTGCCATGAAAATCTTAACTGACACGAACATATTTTCAGGAAAATAAAAGTTAAATCTAGCTAGATCTAGAGTGAAGTTCCACAGCCGACCACACATAGCGGAAAATTCCGAACTCCCGACTTTCATCAGGCGCTATTTTGTAACCGTTTCACACAGAAACAAACCCAAAGTACTATATTATTCCTCTGCCATTCTACTATAATATGTATTAATAATTTTATATTCCTACGCATAGAATTTGAGATATTCATGATTTAGTGATGTGCTACTTGCGATATCCCCCCCCCTTTTTTCCTGCTGCCACATGAACCGGCAAGTGTAACGATCATATTTTATACGCTTTAATCCAATTTTAATAACTAAAATAAATATTTTACACTTTTAAACGTGTTGTTGATTGTATTATTAATTAATAGATTGCAAAACCAAATAAAAAACACGTTAATTAAATTTATTACGACACATTAAAGGTTTGACCCAGTGATGACTCAATGGATGCAACTATAATAATAATAATAACAAAGGGACGTAACAATCACTAACAAGACATAACCTAAAATTTGCTAAGATACGCTTGTATGTAAAGACACAAACTAGATTTAGAAGAAGTGGATGATCGAAATAATTTAAAACAAAAGAAAAAAAAAATAGAAATTCTAGGGATTCTAGGCTTAGCTTGAAATATAGAGCATCTAGAACTAGGCTAGTCTAGCTCAATCATTGGTTACGCAGCGATGTGAAACCACACTAATTGATACCCAAGCTGAGGCCACCCCTATTAACCTCTCAGGTTGCTTTATTAGCCTTATCTATCGTATGTACAGTGTCCCGCACATATTGTAGAAGCTAGTTATAGTTAACCTAGTTATAAAAAGCTTTGATTGGTTGGTTTTATTCGTCTCATCCCGGACCTAGTGTTTTCATCCGGGGGAACTAGAATCGCCTATGACGTCATACCTCGAAACAAAAATTTAAAAACTCGTCTTACAGAAGGAGAAAAACAAAAGAATTTGACCTGGATATATTTAGAAATGGACATGTGTACAGCAGATATCGGTAGTTTGGTATAAAACATCCAAACAAATATTATACGAAGCGACAAACAGGCGATGGCCGCACTAGTGTTTTAACCGCGCGTGGAACTTCACTCTAGTCACTCTAGATTTAAATAATTAAATAATACACATTCAATATTCCAAATTTTGGATTTTTCTCAAGTTTTGACAAAATTAATTTTTAAAAACTAAACCAGAAATTCATAAAGAAATAGGCCAAGTGATTTCCTAACGTTTTTGTGTGTTTCGGTTGTGTTTATAATAAAATACGCTCAACTGGAGGTGAACGTGAAGCGGGGAATAAAATACGCTAAAATGGAGTTTTACTTCTATAATATATGTCCAGTAATAGTATCCACATCTAGATCTAGATCTAATTCTAAAAACAGTAAAACTAGATTCTAGATCTAGATTTCTAAATACTCCTGTCTAGAGTCTAGAATCTAGATTGAGTTAATTTAATGGACGCCAGCGAGAAAAGTCTCAAAGGTATTTGAGAGGTCCATAAATTAATTTAAAAATCGTGCACGGCGTAGTTACAATTAATATGGTAATAAAATCCTGCCTGTCTGGTTATTTTCTGACTTTACCAAAGATTGGATGTATTTGATGTTTTTAATATTTTTGGTAACTAAATAAAAATTTAAAAAAAAAGCAAAAACAATTTGGTTTTCACATGTAATGGCGACATAAACAATGGCATCCTGCTATTCGATAGGCCGCCATAAATTTTATTGTACACATTGTAAGCTAAAAAAAGAAAAACTAGGTCATGGGGTTTAAATCTTTAAATGTGCATTGTTATTTAAAAAGTTTTGTAAACAAAAGAACTATAAAGTGGGGCTGTCAGAAATCGATCACAGAGTTCCTGTACAGCCAATCAATGTTTGTCTTACGAAAGTGAAACATCGGGTTATAA